CGAAGAATGGAACTTGCATTATTCTTAACATATTGTTTACCCATTACTATGTCAATTAATTCCATAATGTTGTATATTGAAACTGAGGCCTTGTTGGGGCTTTTAACTGACCGGATCTTTACTCTGTTAGACCTATCTTCAGACCATAGAAGGTCTCCCCAGGAGGCCACTGAACTTATCTGGACAATAAGACGCTGAACTTTATGCTAGGCATGTGTTTTCAAGCAATGAATCTCAACTGAACTTGAACTATGGTTATGCAACAAGGTGGAGGAATCCACCATGGGGGGAGGGGTATGGGGAGGGGTGGGGGGAATCCCCAGCGCCTATAAAACTGTACTACATAATACAGTGTAAGCAACAATAAAAAAAAAAAAATGAGTTGGCTCTTTTGAAGGAAAGCTTTGAGTGGTTCTAACTCACACGAAGCCATGCTCCCTCCAGCCAGGTCTGTGACCCTGAGCCCCTACACGGTTCTGAGTGTTCTTGGCCTTGACTCTGATGAGGTGTGGAGATGGAGTAAAGGCCCTTTAGCATCTAAGGAAACTGTTCTCATAAAAAAGAACACCAGAGGAATTCCAGTAAGAGAGGCAACTTCCCCATGGGAAAAGTCCCAGGACCTTGGAGGATTCTCCCTGGAGGCTGGGTCATGCAGAGGGCTGCTTTCTTTTCTCTCTCTCTCTCTCTCTCTCTGAAAACCTGATGCTGCTGCTTCTGCAATGTCTACCTTAGCCACCAGGAGCTGTCCATCACACAAAGACCAGGGTGTGTGTGCGGAAGAGACAGACCTTGACAAAGAAGAAAGGGGGACAGGGCTGAAAGGCTGTGGACAGGGCTCTGCGCCGGTCAGGAGAGACCCTAGCTGCAGAGGTACAACTTGCTGGGCTCCGGATACTGGAGCCAGACCCTGGCATGGAGAGTGCAGTAATGAGCAAAAGGCTGCTGTGGCCCCTTCCAAATCCCAGCCCCCTGCCCCGGCCTGACCATTGCTTGAGCCCAGGAGAACAGCCTGGCTGATTGCTCTTCCAGAACCCGAGCTTGCTGACATGAGGCTGAGTGCCAGCGGCTGAGCCCACGGGGCTTACGCAACCAGGCTGCTGTGCTGGGGCCTGATAGCCTGACCAGGCTCTGGTTCTCCCATGACTCTTGCGCCATGATCTGCTGTTGGGCCATGGCCTGAGACTCACGCCACCCCTCAGCTGCTCCTCTTTGGTGTACCTGCACCTCTTTCCGCCTCCAGGCAGCAGTCCTGGCTCATCTCGGCCTCTCGGGTAGCAGCGGCATTGTGGAAGCCCCTTCTTTCTTCATAAAAGCATGATGAAAACTGTATAAATAACATTTGTGATTTCTATTCTTCTTGCTTGGTCATATATGGAGTGGTTAGTTGAATGTCCTCCTCTGGGTAAAGGATTTTTTTTTTTAAAAAAATATTGATTTATTTTTATTGGAAAGCCAGAAAAACAGAAAACAGAGGTGGAGAGAAAGAGATCTTCCATCTGCTGGTTCACTCCCTCAGTAGCCACAGCAACCAGAGCTGAGCTGATCCGAAGCCAGGAGCCTGGTGCATGGTCCCAAAGCTTTGGGCAGTCCTTGACTGCTTTCCCAGGCCGCAAGCAGGGAGGTGGATGGGAAGTGGAGCAGCCAGGACATGAACCAGTGCCCATATGGGATCCCGGCATGTATATGGTGAAGATTTAGCCACTGAGCCATTGTGCCTGGCCCAAGGCTTTTAAGTTAACATTTAGCTTTAGCTCTTAATCTTCTTCTTTTCCCTCTCAACACCTAAATGTGGAGGAAGAGAACAGCACTTTGGCCCTGAGCACATTTGTGAGCTGGCTAACACGGGGCATGGCCTGCTAGTCCAAGGCAGGGGGAACTATTCCTTAGTGAAGCCATAGATACGCTGATGCTGCAGTGGGCAGTGGTGGACTCAGCCCTGTTGCAGCACGCAGTGGAGTTTATTACAAAGTGAAGGTCAAGGGGCTGTATTTTTTCCCACCTCACACCTTATTTTGCTGTTACTGCCTTGCTTGAAACAATGAGAAATACATGTGTGAATGTGTGAAATACACATCGGCAGGGTGAAGATGGCACATTTAAAAAAATATCACTCCAACCCGTTGCAAAATTCCCCTTGCTCTAAAGGTGATTCTTTCTCTTGTAACGTTGCACACAGGATTCATATCTGCTGCAGAAAAAATCATAAAGCGTGCAAATCAAGGAGAATAACTATCTTCTGCCCCACCAACAGGCTTGGGTTTGGGCTCTGGGGTCATCGCTGGAGTCAGACTCCCCTCGTGGCATTGGCAGCAAGCTCACAAGGGGCAAACAAACCAGCTCCTCATGCTCCAGCTACTTCCTCTAGGGTGAGATCTGAGGGAGGATTAAGTACCTAGAAGGCCCTCGAGTCCTCCCAGTGTCTGGCATGGAAGAAGTATTTAATGAATATGCTGTAGTTACTATCTTCATGGACAAACCCCAAAATTTGAAACCTGAAACTTTGTGAGCATCACATGGAGTTTTAGAGCCTTTTGGATTTTAGATTTTTTTGGGTTAGGGTTGCTCAAATAGCAAAATGTAATCTATGCAAATATTCTTGAATTTGAGAAATCTCTGGAATGAAACCCTTCCTGGAATGAGAGATACTCAGCTTGCATTGAGGGAATGAATACAAACTGTGCATGCTGTCTGTCACCTTTTCTGAAATTTAATAATATATTGGAAAAACATAGCAGCAAGCCAATGATCAGAGGTGCATACCTCGATTTTAGTGGCTCTGCTGTGATGTAGCCCTCTCTTTTAGACATATTTTCACTATCATTAGATAATGTAAGCCACTCTGAAATGAGCGTGATTGGAGATGCCTGCTTGTAGGTGGATGTGCCCATTTCCTTTGGAGAAGCTCTCAGAAACGGAGCCACAGGTCCTCACAGGAAGTTCTGCTGTGACAGCCATCCAGAAAGGATGTGCCAATTGCATGTCACAGGCACGATCAGCAAACGCTCACTTATCTATTTACTTTTCCAACACCGGGTGCTAGAATTCTCTGTTCTTTGGCAGTGTGACAAGAAAATAAATGACTTCATTGGTGTTTCCATTTGGATTTCCCTATTGCTGTTGCCTTCAATTATGTTACATACTTAATTAGAAAAAAAAATTAGGAGCACATCAGCTAATAGAGAGAGATGGTTGTGGAGTTGTAAGATGGACCCCTTTCTCCTACTGTATTGCCTTAATTATCTGAACCAGCAAGCCATAGGTGGCTTATTTGCTTCCATGTATAGCTTACCTGTGACAGGTGGTGAGTGAAGGGCTTTGAGTGTTGCTCAGGCACTGAGATAGGAGGGAGCCACGCTGCTCTGCTCCCCAGGGTCAGCCCAACTCCAGAATACTGTGCTCTGGGGACAAACTCTATCAGACCTCAGACTGGCATGCTCAAGAGGAAAATCAAGAACATTTGGGAAAATACGTAGTCACGTGGAAGATGAGCACTGAAAGGTCATGTTTTAGTGTCTTGGAAAACTGGAAACCCTTGCCTCTGTGGTGTAAGAAATTCCCATGTCATTCTGTCCGGGAAGATTCAGCCAGCATTTCCTTTAGCGGCACTGGAGTGTCAGGCCCTAGGGTCTTAACCCTTCCCAGAATGTACAGTGGTCTGAGCATGGCTCAGGCAGGTGGATCCACAGTCAGTCCATGGAAGGGCCACTCCTCTGGGTGATTCCCACTCCCTCATGGGCTCCCTGAACACTCTGTAGGTCAGTTGAGCTCTGGGCAATTCTTTCTTTCAGTTTTCTACAGTGTCTGAATGAGCAGGACAAGCCCATAAGCTCAGGCCTGCACCAGAGTGCAACTCCTTCACTGGCATTTCCAGCTTGTGTCTGATCGTGAGAGGGCTCCAGCCAGGTTCGTAGTGTACAGGGAGGCCTGGAACTCAATCCTCAAGTTGCCTAATGTGCATTCAAGGAAGAAAATCAGGCAGTCACACTAAGGTGCAATGCCAGCAGTTGTCATGGCAGCATGGTGGGATTAAAGGCCTGATCACACCCAGTCGTCTCATACCCATTATGAACCTCAGACTTTCTGGTTTCAGAACGATCACAAATGAATCAAACATTGAATCATCTGAAAAGTGCTGGAGTATCTTGATCTACAAATGCCAGTGGCATCACCCTTTTGATAGGACTAAGCACACGTAGCTTGTGAGATCTTATAGGCTCAGTTATTACAATGTTCAGTCATCATCATTAGACCAAAACTGCAAATGCTTTAAGGCTTTTTACAAAGGAAGCTAAGGAGATAGGCTTAAAAATGAAAACATATTAGATGGCAAACAGGAGGACTTGGTCATCTATGTCCACATCCCGAAGCAGTGACTCTTACCCACATCTCAAAGTCCACCCCGCAAGGTGCAATCCCAGGGCTTTGTGGTCCCTCCAAGGGCAGCTGGTGGAGCTGCAAGGCCACATTCTGACTGGACTCAGATGCTCAGCATTCATTTATTTCAGCTGGTGGCATTTATTCAATAGACAAACGCAGCAGTCCTAACCCCCTTTAGTTCAGATATCCACATTCCTCAAGTAGACTGGTGTCGCCCCCAGATCAATCGAGCCTTGATTGCTAACATTACATCCACATGCAAATACAAATAGAAAAGTAGGCGTGGTGCGTAAGAATAGGCTGGGAACAGGGATATAGTTTATAAGCGATGATGATGATGTCTACATTGGTACTTAATTTTCATAGTCATTGATCTTTCCTTCCAACTGACCTTTCAGCTTCACGGTGTGTGTCCTTGTCTTTCATTATAAGACTTCTTTCTAAAAGGCGTGTAGCGCTTTGGTGTTTAGGAAGCATGGAAACCCAACTAATCCATACATGGGCTGATGTTTCTATACTAGAAAGCAAACACTAGGGAAAATGATCAGCTACTCTTAAGATACTACAAAGTGTAAACTGTAGGAAAATCGCTAAAAGCATTCCAAACACACATACCTAGGTCTGGGCTCACCTTGGCAGCACATATATTAAAATTGAAATGATACAGAGAAGATTAACACGGCCCCTGTACAAGGATGACATGCAAATTGGTCAAGTGTTCCATATTAGGTAAAAAAAACAACAAAAAAAATCTTGGTCTTAAAATAACACTTTAATTTCAAATGATTCTATTATTTAAATAAGAACACTTCCTAGTTAAAGCAATGTCGGTCCAGAACCCATCAGTTGCGTGATCTGATGGTACCAAAGCCCTTCCCAGGCAAATCAGTAATGACTTTATCCAGGCCAATACAATACAAATGTGACCTCTAATTCTGAAGCTGCATACACTCTTCCACTGTAGGAGTGTGAACATCCTGGGAGGGTGGTGGAGGTGGTGGAAGTCTAGAATCAGTGCTTTTCCCATCAGTCCCTGATTCCCACTTCCACAAAGTGAGCCCAGAGGGGAACTGGGCTAGCAAAATCACCCGCAGTCTCCACCTCCATTCCACAAGAGTGACCAGACATGGTGGGGGTAAACCCCTGGGCCACAGGGAGCAGACTGATACGCATCTGAGGTCAGGCCACACGCATGGGTGACAACCTACTGGCCACAAGCAAAGTGTCATCCCTTTTGGGAGTGGGGCAGGGGGTCGGAGCACAGCCTGAAGGGGTTCAGCTGGGCGTGTGATCTCCCCAAACTGCTCCAGAGGGACTCTAACCTGGCCCTGCTCCTCCCTCTGCCCTATTCTGCCTTCTTCATTGGCCTCTGTGACCACCAAGGCACTCCCTAAAATGTCCCCAGGTGACCCCACTCCTGGGCTGTCCCTAGGTAACCCACCCTAGGTAGCAGGCTGTGTTTGTGGTGGGCCAGCTCACTGGCTGCAAAAAGTGTCCTCAGAGGCGAAGAAACTTGTAGATTAAAGTTTGAGATCCTCCGTGTTCAGGGAGTCAAGGCTCAGGCAGGGGAGCCATCCGTCCCACCGGCTCTCCCAGCCCTCTGTGTCGGGGCCAAGAACCGAGGCCCCGCTTCTTTCAGTCCCACATGGACCTTTCTGAAACGAGTGTCCCGCCTCCACAGTCCTCACCCTGGGACACACCTGGACCTTTCTTTCTTGAACCCTGGATTTTTTTTTTCTTTTTTCAGAATACTCAGTCCTGGCAACCTTGAATCTTTACCTTTTATCTCATGATCGTTTTTCTATGTCTACACTTTTCTAAAAGTATAGGAAATTTTCCTAAATTGTAAAGATTTGCGTTCTGAAAATTTCTTGCTTTAACTTTAACCAATTATTTTGTTTGATAGACACTCATCGAGACAACCAGAGAGAGAGAGACAGAGAGAAAGAGAGAGAGAGGAGAGAGAGAGAGAATTTCTAGTCACCATTTTGTTCACCAGTGCCTGCAACTGTCATGGGTACTGCGGCCAGGAGAGGAGTCGGAAGGCACTCCCTGCATACCCAATCAGCTAGTCCGCCAGCACTCCCTGCAGGGTCTGCGTTAGCAGGAATCCCGGATGAAGAGCAGAACAGGAGCTACTCCCACTCACTCAAACACACTGATATGGAATGTCCATGTCCAAACTGCTTGCAAATGCCTGCGGCTGACTTCCTTCCTTGCTTCTTCCCTCTCTGTCTTCTCTCCTTCCTTCCTCCCTCCCTCCCTCCCTCTCTCCCTCCCTCCCTCCCTCCCTTCCTTCCTTCCTTCCTTCTTCCCTGCCTCCTTCCCTCCCTTTCTTTCTCCCTTCTTCCTTCCCTCCCTTTCTCCCTTCCTTCCTTTTAAAAGAAAGAACCAAGATATGTGAACCAAGAATCCTTCAGCTACCAGGAAATGCCAATGTATTGCAAGAATTCCACCAAGTGCTTCGAGTCTACTCTTAACAGTCAGTGAAATGATTTGGAGAATCAACATGTACTAATTCATTCTATAGAAAGGCTGGGTAGCATTTGAATTTTTGCTACTATTTAAGTGCTCCATATTCATGATAATAGTTTTCTCTCTGGAAATGACTTTCTTAACGGTTTACTCCTACTTAAGTTACTCATTAGAGCTCCAGCATGAGAAAACTACGTGGGTTACCTGAGTTGGTGTTTGAACTCTTCCCAATAAGTTGAAAATACCTTTTCCTAGTCCATGCAAACAGGCAGAAGAAAGAGTATCCTTCAAATGACTTTGCAAGATGTGCTTTATTTTAAGTCAGCCCTGAACCCAAACTATGCAGGATGATTTTTTTTTTGACATATTCTAGCTTATTCAATGCTTTTTCTCAGAAACTGCATTTTAATATGGAATGAAAACTACATTTCAATCCTAATTTTTTTTTGTCATGCTACAATGTCATTTAATGAAGAGGTTGTATTACCAGTAATAATAATTTAAGAAAAGGCCATTTTTATTTCCCCAAGCTCAATATACATATTTCTTCCATAATTATGAACTTAAAAAACCCGTCTCAGATTTGTAAAAATGTGAGTTGGAACATGTAAACTCTTTGATACACCTGAAAAACAGGAAGGAGAATGTCACATACTGGAAAAAATCATTGCCTTAAGTGATGGAAATGGGAGGAAGCATGTTGGGGAATGGGAAACGGCACAAGAGCCATCACGACCTTAGTTATGCAAGAGTTCCAAAGTCAGAGGAGTCCAACTCCATCTGGGTTGGCCTTCAGGGTGTTCTGTCCCAAGTCTGTTTCTAGGAAGGGCAGACACTGAAGCACAATGGAGCCACTTCCGGGCCTCAGCTAAGCACGGGTCCACACAGCTGCTTTGCTGCTTTCAATGTTTTCCTGAGAAGTGACTGGTGTTTAATGGAAAGATTTCTTCATAGTCTTCAGTTACGATAAGGCAGTAAGGATATCGCTAATGTTATCTTTTTGCTTAGAATGAGGCATATCTCTCCAGGGACATCTTTGAGGCTTTGTTCATTCCCTCTCGTTCTCCCCATGCTAGACACAGGGTGGGGAGTTTTCTGCTTCCTATTGCTGTTTAGTATTTGGAGCGTGCTGAGGGCTCTCCCAATCTCTTGGCCTCAAGCCTCCCCAGGTACAGGAGAGCTGCAGGCCTCATCCCGCCCGCAGGGGGGCGCCTTTCTCTCGTCCATCCTCTCAGTGGACACCACGTGATTCCTTCACGTCGTCAATCAGGATGCAAGACGCAATTGACTAAAACATAAAGCAAGTAGCCCTGATTTCAGAGACACGGAATTAGAAGGAACTTCTTCCCTGTTGTCCTCACTTGCATGGTAACTTTCTACTGCAAAAACAAGTCAGGTCCTTTCTGCCACCTGTCAGAAGAGAAGCCATTTCTGTCGAACGAGAAATGCTTAGCTCTTAGGAGAATATTGTGCTTTTTTTTTTCTTTAAAAAAAAATTTCAAATGTTAGCTTTCTTTGCAGCCTGGGTCCTAAGGTATCAGTTTGTTTTCTCTCTGGTCCATTTGATCATCGTTTCTGGTGAACGGTACAGGAATATTAATTTGGCATAAAGATCTTCTTCTAGTTCCAGTTCCCCTGTCTCTCGGACTAAAAAAATATCTGTGCATAACTTCAGAATTCGATCCACATTCGGCAGCTCTTCAAACATGATGGAGTGAGAAATTCCGCTGAAGAACTCACGGACAAACTTCCCAATCACCAGGACCACTGAGGCGTACAATCCCATGATACTGAAAAACAGAGAGAGTGCAAGCTGTATCCAGCAGTTCAACGTGGTTCACAGAGGAGGTTAACCGTAACATCAATACATTTGGTAAAACATAATATTAGGAGACATTATACTAAGTTTGTGGGAAAAAAATTCTCAAAGATAAGTTGACTTAGGTGTCCCAAATCAAAATTGCTATATAGTTTTCTTGTAAGATATATTCCTGCGAGCTTTGTGATGACCGCTGTGTTGGGTAGAAATGGCACTGTGTGAGTTGGTGCTGTGCTATAGCAAATAAAGCTACTGCCTGTGATGCAGGCATCACATACAAGCACTGGCTCAAGCCCCAGCTGCTCCACTTTGGATTCAGCTTCTTACTAATGTGCCTGGGAAAGTAGCCCAGCCCCAGCCATTGCAGCCATTTGGAGAACAAATCAGCAGATGGAAGATCTTTTTCTTCCTTTCTGTGCACAACTGAGACTTTCAAATAAACAAATCTTCAGAAACATTGGAAATGTCATGGTGTGATATGCACCTTTCTGTAGCTACTTTTCCCCCTTTAATGCAGGCATGGGGATTCCCCAGGTTTGTTTTTTTTTTGTCACTAGCTGTCTTGGTGTCATTTTAAAAGCATGATTCGTGATCATACAAAATGATTAACTTAGAAAAATTAGCCTGCCATGGGAACCGGCACTGTGCTGCCACCTGTTAGACCGACACCTCGTGATCAGATCCTGGCTGCTCTGTTTCCACTGAGCCTCTGCAGGATCGAGGAAGCCGGCCTGAGCACTCGGCCGGGTGGAGTTCCAGGTTCCTGGCTTCAGCTTGGCTAAGCAGCAGCTGTGGTGGGCACTAAGCAATGCAGCAGTGGGGGAGGATCTCTCTCCCTCCTTGTCTTTCTGTCACTGCCTTTTAAACAAATCAATATGTTAGTGAGTTAATTAAAAGCTGTCTGCTATAGATTTGTTGACTTTGGAATCCAGACCAAAAGCATCTTGGAGGCCTTGTATCTGTTATGGACTGGATGTTCCTTTAACACAAGCTGTCTTTTCTCTGAGATTCATGCTGATAAAACTCCAGGTGGAAACTGGTATCTTTCCTTCTTAGATTTATTCACCTATTTATCCCTGAAAAGCATGTTTACACGAAGAAGGAAACACAGAGAGTGGTTTTCCATCTGCTGTCTCGCTCCCCAAGTGGAGGGTGAATGAGTTGATCTGAAGCCAGGAGCAAGGAGCTTTCTCTGGGTCATCCTCAGCTGCTTTTCCAGGCCATAAGTGACGAGCTGGATTGGAAGTGGAGCAGCTGGGACTAGAAGCGGTGCCCACAGGGGATGCCAGTGCTAGCAGACTGAGGTCTGGCCCATTGAGCCACCGTGCTGGCCTTAGAAATTGGTGTCTTATGAGGTAACTTGGGGAAATGTCATATTTATCACCCGTACCTTCTAAGGAATGTGTGGATGTTAGGATTTCAGCATCAGAACATGAGATGGTCTGGATGTGTTGAGAACTGTTAGGGCTAATTGTTAAGAGTCACAAGGCAACCTGAGCAGGCAAGTGAATAGCCCGACGCCCCTTGCTAAGCTGAACACACCAAGCCATGCTACAATAGTAAGGTATAAAGCAGACAGGCCATAAGCTTGGCTTGTGTGAGTCACGTTCTGCATCCTTGGGAGCTGCAAAAATAAAAGCCCTAAGGTATATGAGTTGTAATGTTGTGGCTATGAAATTGGAGAATTCCAACAAGAAAATGGCTTCTCATCTTCTGAATAGATGATGCCAAGAGCCTTTACCCATAGCCAGCCAGGAACCCCAGACTGGGGGGACTGACTTTGTCGTTGAAGACCACCAACTCCAAGGCCTGGGACTGCTGCTCATAGATTCGATTTCCTGTCAGGTTGAGAACCCACCATTCACTGTTGGATTTACTTGTGTTATCTCTGGACAAAATGATGGTTATATTCATGAAATTACTTTCTGGAAAAGAAGAACAGAATCAAATTAGCATGAGAAGGTTAGGGTTTGAGGCACATCGATAGTTCTTTCATGGTAAAGTCTGGTCACCATCTACACTATTCAGCTTGGGGATTAGGACCATGAACCCATCAACCATGAGAGTGGACCAGCAGGGAGCTCTAGAGAGTCAACAATGTCTCAGTTAAACAGGTCCCTCTGTTCTGTGTGCGCTTCAGCTAAAACACTGGCAGCAAATGGGCAGCTATATTGATTATTCCAAACAACATTAAAAAAAAAAACCCAGAGCACTGACTTTTCACAAAATTCACTGATTCATTTCTATCACCAGTGACTTCTGAGATCTTCCAAGGAGGAAGATACCTGATTGACTGTTACAACGCAACAACCTTTCTTTATCTCAATGCATAAAGCTCATGTATGCGTCATCTATGGTCACAACCGTAGCAGCAGCATTAAGGGATCAGTTGGTTTCTAGGCGGGATAGTCCAGGGGTGCCTTCCAGAAGGGATGACTTTCGCATTGCTGACTGAGTAAGAACTTGGCTTGGGCAGAGAATCCTTCAGGAAGTATGGCTCAGAGGTTCTACAAATCCACACAGGAGAGCCAGTGATGGTTCTCATTGGAGCACAGGGCAAATGCAAAAGGACAGAAGAAGGCAAACACAACATCTGGAGTTTTTCATAGACTGTTCCCGGAAATTGCCTGCCCATGGTGACAGTGTCTCCAATGAGAAATGTGCCATGAAGGTAACAGCTGAGCCTGCACTATTTCAGGATCGGTGTCTAGATCACAGCAGTCGAGGACGGTGCTTGATAACAAACATCGTTAGCTGCAGGGATGGAGGATAGGAATGGGAGATGGCAGGATACCAGTATGCCAGAGTATGAGCCACTGAGAACGCGTGGGAGCGATGGGGACGTTGATTTTGGAGCCCCAAAGCCATGGGGAAGAATGAAAGTGGACCATCACGCTTCTTCCTTAACCAGACTAGGCACCCACTTCTGAGCTAGTTGATTTGTGGAAGCTGTTTTCGCACAATCGTGTGTCACTTGAAGACAGGATGCACTCTCTGAAATGTTATTAAACAATCGTGTGGACGTCTCAAAGAACACATCCATGAGCTCAGAAGACACAGTCCACTACATACCTAAGCTCAATGGTAACTACAATCATATACATGGCCTGTCATTAATTGAATGTTTTTTACTGGATAATAATTAATCCAAAACATCAGTTTGCTCTAATCACTGCTTTACTGGAGAAATACAATCACCAAAGCACTGCTCATGAGCCTTGGCTGTGTCACATGCATGTTGTGTGTCTCCGTAATGAGGGGCCACTGTACTTAACAATGTATGAACATCTCATTCAGAGTGTAATAGACTACGCTTAAGCAGACTGGCTTTCCAGCTGGATTTAAGTCAGACAGGCTCTATTTTGATGAAAATAAGAAAATGAAGAATAGCGTTTCCAGGTGAATGAGTGATTTCCTCTGACTTGTGAAAGCAAACAGATGCTTCACGTTTCCTAGATCATGGCAAAAAAAAAAAAAAAACAAAAACTGGCAAGTGTCTTGATGAAGGTTGAAGATGTTGGGGCTGCGGCACATCAGGCTACTCCCCTCTGTTCATGTCCTGACTGCTCTACTTCTGATCCGGGCTCTCTGTTTATGGCACTGGAAAAAAGCAAAACGTGGCTTAAGTCCTTGGAACCCTGCACCTATATGCGAGTCCTGGAACAACCTCCTGGGTCCCCCAACTTCGGATCAACTCAGCTCTGGACATTGCAATCGTGTGTGGGGAGGGAGCCAGGGGATGGAAGACCTCCCTCTCTGTCTCTACTCTCTCTACAAAATCTGCCTTTCTTTTTTTTTTTTAAAGATTTATTTTTATTATTTTTTCATTGGAAAGGCGGATATACGAGAGAGGAGAGACAGAGAGGAAGATCTTCCGTCCGATGATTCACTCCCCAAGTGACTGCAACGGTCGATGCTATGCCGATCCGAAGCCAGGAGCCTCTTCTGGGTCTCCCACGCGGGTGCAGGGTCCCAAGACTTTGGGTCGTCCTCGACTGCTTTCCCAGGCCACAGGCAGGGAGCTGGAAGGGAAGCGGGGCTGCCGGGATTAGAACCTGCGCCCATATGGGATCCCGGGCGTGCAAGGCGAGGACCTTTAACCACTTGCGCCACCGCGCCGGGCCCAAAATCTGCCTTTCAAATGTAAGTAAATAAATCTTTAAGAGAAGGTTGAAAATACATACTCTTAAAATTGAATAAAAAATTTTTGAAACTTGTTTCCTTTCTTACCAGATAAAAGTTGCTTTATGGGTTTCGAATTAGAATCACTTGGTGCTTTCACATAATATGGGTAGATCTTTTCTATTATCCTGTGCAGTAAGAAAAAAAGATGAAATTAAAATTTGACACACGTAACATTACATCTAACTACAAACTTTAGCCTCATGTCAACCAAATAATGATACAAGTCTTCATGCACGATGTAGAGATAATTTCTGGGTTTCTGTTACAGCCAGAATGGTCTGAAGCTGAACAAATCCGCTGGATTCTAGCCAGGCATGCACTTGAACTCTACATAGAGCTGGTTCATGACTTCAAAATGGCAACAGGTATTTCCCCATGTCTGTGACTTGCTGAACTCCTCCTGTGTATGACTCTGATCATCGTCCTGATCTACTTTTTAGGATTTCCTACGTATCTAGAATCAACTGGGCCGTATAATTGATCTGACGGGGGTGACGGGTTGAGGAGAGAGCTGTGACGTGTACCTTCAGCGACCTCTGCCTCTTTCCACTTAGTGACTTAGGACCATCTAGACCCACGTTGTCATCTGGGATGGACTGGAGCAGACACTAGCATCTTAAACCTCAGTGAGTCACAAGTCAAGACAACTATTCCTTCGGTCCCTAGGGTCGACGCAACACAACAGGGTTGGAGAGGAAGGATGGGGGCAACAGAGGCAGACGCAGGGAGATAGAACCTTCTGCTTTGCTATTAAGTAGTGGCATGACTAGGGTAATGATAATTCAGTGTGTTTTTTAAATAAGTTTGAAGAAAAAGACTTTGGAGTGTTTTCACTAGAAAGACATGATAGATGTGTGAGGACACAGATGCTCTGCACCTGATTTGATCACCGCATATATCGAAACTTTTAGAATACCCCATAAATAAAGGCAATTAAATGTGTCAACTGAAAAAAGAAAAGGAGTCAAATTTAAAAGGACAAGATCAGACAAGGGGTCAAAACTGAAAGAACTGCTAGCAGACCTTATTTCACAGTTCCAGGCCAATATTGCTTGTTCTCTTGCTATTTCTCATGTTAGATTCTAAACATCACAGCTTGCATCCACTTTCAATGGAGTATCTTGGTGGCAGCAGGATAGTTTGAAATACAATTTCTTGATCTAAAATTTTTGTTTATCCCTATCTGCCTTGCCTCACCTCCCCACCCCCATTCTCTTAGACCGGGCTTTGAAAGGGGTCCCATTGAAGGGTCTCAACAGCCCCCCTGGCTTCTAGAGATTATGGTGAGACAACAACCAGGTTTATAACCCAGGGACAAGTTCAATGCTTGGACTGGCTGGACAGAGAAATTTTTAAGGGGCTAAAAATACAGCTTCATATAGTGAATCCTTTACAGGAATCTTGAGCCCCAACTTCTTCCCCTGTGGGCTGAAGTGAACACATGGGAAAAGGGGCTGTTAAGGATCAACAGAGGATCTGGGTAATTTTTGTGGCATCTGGGGTCCAACCGTCGCCCATTCCTACTCTCTCCGCAGGGTGTTGAAGGCAACATAAGTCATAGTGCAGGAAGAATGGAACGCCACTGCCATGATATGCTGGGGTTCATGACCCAGAAGAGCATGACTGTACTGGCATCTCCGGATGGCATGGCAATCAGCACAGTGCACCCAGAAGGGGACCCGGTGGCTGAAGGAGCGGGTCACCTCTCTCAGAGGCTCTGGCACAATGACGTGTATCTCAGTGGAAGCCAGCAGGACAGCCTTGCCCATGGACGGATGCTCTCACCGGAGCCTGGCGCCACACACAGCCTCACTCAGGGCACAGGCATTACTCCGGGAGAGTTGAAGGGGAACCCAAGGGCAGAGAACACACTTTTTAAAACTTACCAAAGTGGGACTTGCAAATAAAAATTTACTTGTGTAACCTAAGAAGCAAGCATCTTCCCTTTACCAGACCCGGGAGTTTGTGGATGGAGACTTGTTTACCAGTTACGAATACCAGATGGAGTCGTAGCAACAGGAAAAAGAAACTTACACGGGTGTTTTTGAACTCTCTGAGTTGTTGCCGGCTATCATTTTAGCTATATTCTCTCGTGTAATATTTGAGAGAGTAAAGGAAAGCTTATCTGTTGCTATTTCTGCTTTTGCACCCAGACTCATGTTTCTGCGAGAGAAAACAAACAAAACGCTCAATGTCAGTGATGGCTCGGAGTTCTGGAAGACAGACTGGAAAGCTCTCTTGACTCTTGCTAATTCCAGTAAGGAATTCTCAAAACTTCTTGCCTCAGAATAAATTTATTATTCAATTCCACTTTCTATAAACTTTTTCAAGCACCTCGTGTCCTGTGCTGAGGAGTCTAAAACTGCATCACTCAAGTAGGGGCTTTCAGACAGCAGAACTTCTACTAAGACATTGAGACATGCCTTTTCTAACGGAGGCCGTGTGCCGGCACTGATTCCATCACGTTAGCTGGGGAGAGGTTCTGTGTTCTCTGGCCTCGCATCTCATGCTCACAGACAGGTGGCCAGGGCATCCCCGCGCGGGAGAGATGTGTGTGACATTGGGTCTTCCAAGACTCGCAACAGCAACATCTGATCATGGAAATCTTTGGCGTCACCAAATACTCTGCTTCACTTCATAAATCCTCACTTTCTTGTTGTTCTTCTCTCTCTCTTGCTCGCATAACTCACCGTTAGCTTTTTAATCTATTTTTTAATTCATTTATTTCTTAACTTAGAGACTAAAGTTGGTAACAAGGGGAATGGGAGAGCTCTGGCTGGGTCTAGTCATTGTTTTATCCACATTAATGTAGTCTTTAGCACCAAGGAAAGTTCCCAAGGGTGTAAGGATAAGTAAAAGCTGCATGAATCTAGTATTTCTTGCCGCTCCCTCCCCACACTCCTTCCCTGTTTAGGTTGGGGAAAGGGGAAAATTAGGCATGAGAACATGGTTACTACCTCTGAATACTCCACGAAAAAACGACAGAGAAGTCGCTCTTGGTGTCCATGAGTTCTTCTATCATTTTGCGCTTACTGGGTGGGCTGATGGTCCACAAAGAATTGGAGTTGCCTTCCAGTTCTGCGACTGTTATATCTTCTCTTTCATAATTCTCCAGAAATTGCATAGCACCCTGTGTGTGCACAAAAAATACACGCATAGATAACATACCCAATGCTAACTGACAAAGCAGCTGGAGAGAGGCGGACGTCCCTCCTGGAGAAGGAAGATCGACGCAGTGTGGTGTCCCGCTGAGCTTTGGCAACTTTACCCGCAGGTATTGGTAGATTCCACTCCCCATGGTGGTACTGCTACCCGTCCTTCCCATGAAACAAGAGAAAACGCAAGTAGCTTTATGTCCTTTTCCTCCTCCACTAAGAAGGAACATTGTCAGGTGTGGAGGTGTATGCTTTTCAAGAGGAAGATTTGGCCCACAGAAGATGTCTCGGCTGTCCTCACGCTTCTTGGCTCATGGTCGATTTTCACAATGTGCATTACTGGCTATCAAGTCACAAAAGAGGTAAGGACACATTTGTTTCGCTATTCACATTCTTAAAACATCACCTGTAAAATTAGTTTTGACAACAATGATCCGATGAAGTGTTATAAATATGCAGAAAGGAACAGTGGCCGCACTTTTGGCATCCGAACACTCACGGTGTTTTGTACAATACAGGCTTTATCATTAAAGACAGAAGTTTACATTCTTTCTCATCTAAGTTTGAGCTTGAGAAATTGTCATGCCGCCTGTCATCTCTGTCATGATTTTTGTTTATTACAAAGGGAGTTGCTAGGGAGATCTTCAGGCAGCATATTACGTAAACAAAATTAAAAAAATGTCTTGTCGGTGAGACCGAACACGCAGTGGTGGTCCCAGAAGCCTGCGTCACCGAGAGATGTGGCAACCCCCCCAGATTGAGTAAGAACAATCCCCAGTGTTCACACAGTGATGGAAATCACCTCCCGATGCACGTCTTTCGAATGTTTCCTTGTCTTTAAGCGATGCATGCCTATTTATTAAAGTAGATTTCCAGAATGAATCTAGTCAAGGATCAAAAAAGTCAAAAAACATTTTTAAAACCCAGCGATATCCGCCAAGCTTGCATTACGATGTTCTGAATTAAAGATGAACACCTATGACCAGTAACAGACTTCTCAGACGGTCAAAGTGGCAGTGGCTAGGAAGCTACCATATGTGACAACTGACGGTCCCAGAAGTCCTCTGCTGAAGCACCAAAGCCATGGCAGAGTACCGAGTGCTATGACAACCAGTGAAAGGTCTTTATGGGGACGTTTACTTACGGTGTCCCTAGAGAAAGCTTGTGTAAATCTGCCAAATGTTGGCTGGTCCATCACTTTCAGTTGGCTTTGCTGGGCACTCATGGTGAAAATAGGCTGGGGGAGGGAAAAAAAAAAAAGACACGGAGTGTTGTCAGACCAGCTGTCCTCTGCATGCCGAGTGGGAGCCAAGCCTCTACATGGCACATCAAGCACTGATTACCCAGATGGGTGCTGGCCTGCACATCTGTCTACACTGACTACCTGTGTGTTCACAGCTGGAGCAGACCCCTTCCCTCGCTGGCTCTGGGCCTTACTGCTGGGAATTCACCTCTACACAGGACAGCTGCACCCCAGAGCAGCCCTTCGTGTCCTGGAGCTGGCCCCCTAGGCAGCCTCCGCAGATGCGCTCAGGTTTACCTGATATCCTCCCAGGGTGATTGTGACAGACACATCCAGGGGCTGGTTGATGACCCCAGCGACAGATTTGATCAGCGACATGAAGAGCAGAGGGAACCAGACGATGCAGATGAGCAGGACGATGATCATGCCCCCCATGCCATACTTCACCACCTTCTTCTTCTTCTGGCCCCGGGGCTGCGGATACCTCTGCAACACAAGGTTCAGCCAAGGCTCAGGCACATGTCCCCCAGGAAAGCAGGCAGGTGGAAGCTAGGCAGTGCCATGAAACTGCAACAAGCTCACTGCCTACTCTATGGTGGAACCGTGTGGGGCCAGCATGACCCTTTGAAACTGGTATGTGTGTGTGTGTGTGTGTGTGTGTGTGTGTGTGTGTGTGTGTGTGTTTAAACATTTATTTCATTTTTATTGGAAAGTCAGATATACAGAGAGGAGGAGAGACAGAGAAAGGTCTTCCGTCCACTAATTCACTCCCCAAATAGCCACAATAGCCAGAGATGTACTGATCCGAAGCCAGGATTCAGGAGCCTCTTTCAGGTCTCCCACATGGGCGCAGGGTCTCAAGTATTTGGGCCATCTTCAACTACTCTCCCAGGCCACAAGCAGAAGCAGAGAGCTCGATGGGAAGCGGGGCTGCCAGGATTAGAACCAGCACCCATGTGGGATCTCGGCATGTGCAAGGCAAGGACTCTAGCCACTAGGCTGCCACTCTGGGCCCAAAACTGGTGTGTGTTTTGCTGAAGAGGAACTGATGGCTACAGGGGTCATCCATATATCTTGTTGAATACATCTTCTGATGTTAAGAGGTCATGCAGGAAGAAGACATTTTCCTGGAAATTCTTGACTGTTAAAAATTTGTGCCTTTCAACTGAGCCATCCCTGTGTTTGGAGTATGGAAGGACAATTTTGAAATTGACAGCATGGTGTGTCATCAGAGACACAGATCAGTCGCCCTGTGCAAGAGTGGCAGAGTGGGGACAAGACTGGGACATAAGGCGCAGCAACAAGCACAGGATGCCGACTGGGTGGGTGTCTGCTAGCGATGAGCTGCCGGCAGAAGCCCGAGCTGGCCTCCCAGCATCAGCCTCCACGTCCCACATTCTGCTTCCTCAGATTCAGCCAACATCAGGGCCAGAACAACTGGGAAGCAAGTATGCCTGTACAGAACACGGGCAGTGTTTTTTCTTGCCATTGTTCCTTAAACTATAGAGAAGAACACCTAATTTATAAGACATTGATGTTGTGTTAGATACCACGGTCCCCTAGGCTGAGTTGTGTGCAGGCTATATGTAAATTCTATACGATTTTATACCAGCGCCTTGAACTCCTGTGAATTTGGGTTCTTGATGGGGGTTCTGGAACCAAGCCCTCATGGACATAAAGGGGCTACAATATTTGGGAACAGAGACACAGCCAGAACCAGAGGGAACCCCACGCATTTGAACGAGACCCTCAGAAGATGTTCCCAAACCCCAACTGGGCCACCAGGTAACAGCAGGCAGGGGGTGGGCCCCAGGCATGGGACACAGTGCAGCCCAGTCCAAACTGCTGACTGAGAAACTATGGTGAGCAAATAAAATCATTTTTGTTTTGAAATCACTGAGTTTTACATTCATTTGCTAGCAGCAGAAGCAAACTGATATTTCATGTGTTGCATGAAAAACTCCTGGAGCTTCCAAGGACAGAGGTGCCTGGTGTCCCGTGACCCTTAGTCAATCCCACTTCCTCTATGGAGCTCATGGCTGCCCTCTTTAGGCCTCTGGTAGTGATGTTCACATTATGGGGGGAGTGTGGGTTATCTTCTCCCAGAGTCCTGTCTTGCTTTGGTCCCCAGTGTCATGGTGCTGAACGGCCATGGGATCTGTAAGAGGTGTTTGGACCAACAGTGGCTGATCCTCAGGCATGAATTACTGTTTTTCCTGCAGGAAAGGGTGCAGTATTCTGGCTTCCTCTCCCCTTCTCCATCTGGGTTCACTTGCTCGTTTGCCACACATGGAAAATAATGACATCCTCATGAGAAACCCAGTGGAGGCCCGTGTCTTCTGCTTTCCGAGGCCCGTGTCTTCTGCTTTCCGGGACTGTGAGTCTAAGCAAACCTCTTTTCTTTATAAATCAGCCAGCCTCAGGTTCTCAGTTAGAGCCACAAAATAAGAACTAAGACACACTGTCCACATAGCAACTTCTTTGGTGATGTGAAGTCCCCAGCCAGGCTTAGCTCTTCCACTAACCCATCTACACAAGGGTTGCAGTGGTGAGTCAGTGAGACCCACACTACAGCTGAAGTTCCCAGAGAAAGCTGGAAATCATAGGAATAATTGGAAACTTTTCCAAAGAAGGTGCTTTTAAGATGAAGAAAAAGGCATTTCACACTATCCCAGCTAAGATTTTGGGGGATATTTCTACACTGATTATACAACAGGCTTTTTTACTGGCCGACCTTTTGAAAGATCTGATAGGTACTGATCACCGTGTGTATTGTTGAACCTCAATACTCAGTGTTGGGAAAATGAGTATATATTTGCATCTCTACTTCCTTTGCACAAAGAGGTTAAAGGACAGATCCCCAGAAAGCAGTGAGTCAGAGGCAAGCTGAGCACCAGCCACCCGATCCTTCCTTCCACCTTACCACAGACCCACCTGCTCCCGCAGGAGCCACTTAAGGGTTACTGGGCCATCCAGAAATAAATATTTCTTGTTTTTGAAGGTAACTATGATTTACTGCTTCCAGAAGAAAAGAATATCTGGATGCTTACTAAGGCAGCAATAAATTTAAAGTTCCCAACTCTAGTGAGTTGGAAATCAATTGAATGTTTGTATGTAGGTCATGGTGGTTTGGGTCTCTGCCTCCATTTGTTTGCCTATAAAACTTGTAGAAGTTCACATCTTATTCTCCTCTTGTATTTAATAGAGACAAACAAGAAAGTATTTTCTTCTTATTTGAGAGAGAAAGAGACAGAGAGAGAGATGGGTGATGGGGAGAGAAAGAGATAAAAAGAAATCTGCTGTTTTACTCCTATGGCTGTATTAGAGAAGACTGAAGCTAGGATGCAAAGCTCAGTGCAGGTGTCTGCCATGGATGCCTGAGCATAAACCTTGCCTTCTGGGATACAGTAGGCTGGAGTCAGGAGCCAGAGGCCGGCATGAGAACTCAGACACATGCACGTGGGAAGTACCTGCACTGGTAGGCTGGCCGCTGGTCCTGGAAGAAGGCTTGCCGGTTGGCTTCTTACCTTTTCTGATTCCCGCCAGCATTTGAGGATGAAGATGTGAGCGTAGATGTCCTCCACGCAGATCCAGCTGGAGAGGCTCAGGGTTGTATCTGTCCATACCCAGTCCATTACTGCCCGCAGCTCTGTCAGAAACGGCACGAGGCGGAACCTGGCAGGAACCACGCTCTGTTAGAGAGACATTGCTGGGGCAGCCCCCACCCCATCCCGTCATTTCACTCCAGTAGTGTCTGTCCGACCTTATTTTGAACCCTTGAAATCTGCAAATAATTCTCAACATTAACAGTAAAATACAGCCTAGAGTACAGCTACTTTTTATGATAAGTCCAATGTGCAAATAAATATATTTTACTTCTTTTCCCTGAAAGCCTTCACCAGTTTAGCTGTGGCTTTGCTTTTAGGGGAACTATGCCTGGTAAGTAAAGAGGAGAGCCAACAGGAGACAGGAGATATAGGACACTTCATTCAGAGCTAAGGCAAGGAGCCCAACAGCTGGTCAACCTGCTGGATTCCCAAAGCTAACAGCCTCTAGCTCAACTTTGAGTATTTCAGAAGAGAATTCTGAATTCCAGTCTTTTCCGAGGCCTGAGAAATGAATGTTCCTTATTTCTTGACTGACTCCGAATTTCTCTCGGGCCAGGAGACCTGGTTGGATCCCAAGTCCCTTACAGTACTTTGGAATATTGTTCTCCCGTCAGCTCTCACACAGCTGCCAAGACCCCAGAGGACATTTCAGGCAGCCCTGAATGGCAATCTGCCCAACACAAGTGTCTGAATGTCACATCACTAGGTCATCAGTCAGGTCTGGAGTCGTAAAGCAGCCAGCACCACCCTTCACACTTTGCTGGAACTTTCTAAGGAAACAGAGGAGGACATAGTCTTGTTGAAATCATCGTAAGTATGTGTCTTTTGAATAGCTAACTGGCCCTAGGAACAAACAAGTTGTGTGGCACTCATCGTGGTCTTGACAGGAATAAATGCCTCCACCTCAGTTGGTGAACTTTGTGGGCACAAAGGCTTTGAAAGGTATTTTGGATTAACTAAATGCCAAACAATCTATTCGGGTGTGTTCAAATATGTATTCATAGTTGAAGATCATGTATCCTGGGGCTGGCATGGAGGCACTGCAGGTTAATCCATCTTTGGCATCCCTTATAGACACCAGCTCATGTCCCTGCTGCTCCACTTCTAATCCAGCTCTTTGGCTATGGCCTAGGAGAACAGCAGCGGATGGCCCAAGGCCTTGAGATCCTGCATCCAAATGGGAAAGGTCTGGAAGAATCTTTGGCTCCAAGCTCTGGATCAGCAAAGCTCTGGCTGTTGAAAGCCATGTGGGGTGTGAACCAGGGGATGGAAAACCTCTCTCTCCTTCTCTCTGTAAAAATATGCCTTTCCCTGGTTCCTGATAACCCATGTCCGTGGTAGGTATTCCTCCTCAATCTAGAGTTCTCTTTTATGCTCTCTCCTACTGGCTGAGCCCTGGACTCCACGTGGAGAATTGCTGGCTGTTGCCAGTCATCGCCCATTCATCCCTCTGTCCAGCCCCTGGGTTTCTCCACCAGCCCCACTGAAACCCAGCTCAGACATGGTCTGAATGACAACCAAGCCTGCCTTGTAACTTCTGTGTTAAGTCTGGCCTACCTGCCCCAACCCACATTGTCAGCCAAGCAGGGCTGACAGACCCAGTTCTGTGCTGGAGGAGTGGGCTGGCCTGGCATAAAATCTGTGTGTAAGTCAGGGAACAGGGAGGAGTCTCAGCCCCCTTCCCCCAGTCCTCGTGATCTGTTTCACCCCCACGCTCTGGAATGCATCCCATATCAGATCCTTTTCTTTGCTAAAAAACCAGGCTCTTTTGTTCCATTTATTTATCCTTTACCGCATTTTGCTAAGAATAATAAAGGCTACCTCACCCTTTAAAAAATATATATATATATACACACACATGCTTATCAAGTGAAAATAAATAAATCTTAGAAAAGAGAAGATCCTGTGTTTCAACTCTGCAGGCATCAGGTTTAGCACAGTCCTCATGCAGGATGTTGACACACAACATGAAAGCCTGTGCGTGGTCTCACAGCACCATGCTGGAAGCTACTCCTGTGTTAGTTTTTTTTTTTTGGCCAATGCTGTCAGGGTTGTGGGGTGATCTGTAGTGCTTTGTTCCTTTTCTCCCTGTCCTTTCCAGGAGTAACCCAAATGCCTCGTAGTGGCCAGTGTCCTTTCACGAATGACTGTGTCCTCCTTACCCCTGAAAAAGGAAGAGATTGACGTAGTTGTAGCTCTTGGTGAGGAAGTTTCCAAGCACGCGTGTTGGGTAGCCACACCGGATTTGATAAGCAGACAATCCAAAGTAGACACATTTCACAAAATACCACAACTGGGCCACCAGGTTCTGGCTGAATTTCCTAGAATGTCAAAGTACAGAAAGTGAAGGAATGGAATACGGTTCTCAATCAGAAACGCACCAGCTTGGATTTTAAAAGCAAAAGCAAGTTTTCTTTTGATGTCTCTAAGCAATTTTCTATATAGATCAGATAGCTTCAAAGACACATGGTAGATGAGAAAAATCTCACATTTTATAAATGATTCTTGGGCAAGGAGCTTCATCGGTGTCTATTACTCAGTTGTTCAAGCCATCATTATCATTTTATTAGTAAAATATTTATTAATACATTTATTTCTTTAACCAATTAGGCTATTAGCACATTTGTCATGAAACTTTTTCTCACAGCATTGTTCACCTTTAAAGTCCTGAACAAAAAGAATCAAGATGTATGTCCTTTTTTAATTCTGAAAAGCTGATCACAACTTTTTATGGGATACATCTAACACACCAAACTTTTGAAGCACCCGGATTTGATTCCAGTTCTGTTTACAAACTATGGGGGTGTGTCTCTCATCTCATCAGAACTTTTATTGGAACAATTTTCTGGCTCTGGACAACTATGCTGGCGCCCTGTACCTGCTTTCTGCTCATGTCCTCCCCAGGCAAGGCGGGAGTCTTCCTCCAGCTCAGCAATGAGTGACACACCCTGAGTCTCAGAGTTTCTGAGTGCGAAGAACAATTCTGAGCAAAACTTGGGTGGAAATAAATTTAGAAAAATTTAGAGCATAGTTTCAAAAATGACAAACTACTGGACCATTTTGAGCGGGCATACATGTAGCATCATTTAAGAATCTTAAATATGGATAATATTTTTTTAAAGGAAGTAAAAAAAAATGAGGCTTTTGGCTTGGTGTGACATTAGCAGAGTTTTTCCTGACCCTAAAATTAAGAGTAAAATCTTTTGAAAAAAATTTTATAGAAGCAGCATATCACTCTGCTGCGATTTGCATTTTTATTTTTGCTATTCATAGAACACTTGACGTTTTTAAAACTGAGAGTTGAGAATCCTCAAGTGAGAAAATCAGAGCCTAAGAACACTAGGTGAGCCTGTGTGTTGGATGGCAACAACCGGAGACCACGAGAAGAGGCCTTACAAATGTGGTCCCACAGGGAAACCTGACTTGACCTCTCCTGTGCACAAAAACAAAACAAAACAAAACAAAATCCTAGCTTTTTAATTTCCTAAGTTTTAGTTCAAGAAGCTTGCTAAAGCCAAAAATAATCAGGGAAATAAATTAATTGTTCATCTACTTCATATTTAAATGTGTTTTATTCCTCTGATGAAAAGAGCTATGACTACATATTTGTGAAGCAAATTCTATGGAAAGCTACCTAAAATGCACACTCAACTACTAACGTTGCAGCTATTGCAACTCTAAGTAATTACCCTAATTCGAGCTGTTTTGATCACCCATGCTCTCCCAGTACGTGGGGGAATTTGTAGAGCTCTTGACTGTCTGTTGGGGCACCATCCTTTATTTATCTAATTCTACTTTAGGACTTGGGAGAAGCTGTCCAAATTTCCTTTTAAAATGTTTGCGTTATTATCCCCTTATTACTGTCGTTTTAGCAGTAATCCCTATAGCTGAAATTAAACTTCAGAGCTAAAACCATCACAGGAAGCAGTTATCCAGGCCCAGCATCGTCAGAAGCAATTTGTGTTTCCTCACGAGAAATGAAATATGATTACTGTTCTTCGATTAAGCTTGCAATTATGAAATAAAATGAAAATATGTTGTTGCAAAAACCAAAAGAAAAATAGAAAAGGAAGGAGGAGGGTGGGAGGTACATTTTGTTCTTGAAACTGTATACATGAAATACATGAAATCTACTCCCTTTATATAAATCAATCAATTAACATTTACTTCACAAAAAATTTGCATTTGAGTCAGGTACTAATTAGGCAATGGACAATCCCCGAGGTTGCTGGGAAGTTGATTCCAGACGAGAGAAGGGAATAGGCAGTGATAACGCAGGGATTAGGAGTGGCACTCCCATTTCTGTCTCTCCTCTCTGAGAACCGAGATGGTGGAACAGGGTAAGGACACGTCTTAAACGGATGAAGAAACGTTAGCCACCCTGAAGCAGAGAGGGCACATCCTGGGAAAAAGGAGAGCACAGATCAACGGCAGAGGGGCACTGGGAGACCCGACAGACACAGGAAAGCAGCAGAGACAATACTGTGGTGTGGCAGTGACTGATCCCCCAGCAGCATTCAGCAAATGGTGATCTGAACTGCACTGGTGGCTGAAACTCCACCAGCAGCCAGGTGGGAAAGAGTTCATCAAGAGCTCAGGAGGTGAACCCAGACAAAGAACTGCCCGTCCTGCTGGTGTGTTTAATTTGACCAGGAGTGGAGAGAGAGCAGCAGATCCCAGGTGGTGCTGGGACAGCATGGATTTCACAGCCCAGAACGCCCACAGAGCCAAACTGGGCACCATTTTGTATAGGGAGGCAGAGGTTATAGGCCAGGACTGCACATGCACTAAGCTGGGAGCTAGCTCATTTCTGACTCAGTGCATTGTACCAATGTGTAATCCTCCAGGTTCTACCCAAAATAGGTCCTGTGGACCCTTCTCTTTCCCAACTGGATAGAACTGACACTTCCCACTGAGGGCAATACGTCTTGTCAACTGGTCCAGTTGCTTGTCCATGCACGAAGCACCCACTGAGAAGAGGTGTGGGGAAGGGAAGGGATGAGAAGGGATATCTGGATGGAGAGCTAAGGAGTGAGGAGGAGGCAGAGCTGTGGACTGGGGGCAGAGCAATGCGAGCTGCAGAGCCACGGGCACACGGGGAACCGAGGCCAACATGTGCATCGATACCCTTTTTTTTTGTTGTTATGTATTTATCAAAATGTTCCATAATGCTAACATTCAAAGTTCAGAACTTAAATATTCAAAGGAGATCAGCCACTCAACCTTGGCATTTTAGAAGTAACTTAGATTTCTTAATTAAAAATTACATCTGAGTTAGCTTATTTATGAAGCTGGGTCTTCCAGGTGAAAAAGGGATGCTCCTTACCTTCCCCAGCTATAGGCTGCTCTTTGATCTCACTTAATTTGACCTGCAGTGCACCCGGACCAGCAGCAATAGTTGTATCCGTAATGGTGTCATGGTGTGATGGGTGCATGCCACCCTTTCTGTGTGTGTTCTAAGCCCTCAAAGTGCTTTTTAAACTTGGTCACATTTAACTTTCACAGTTATCCCGCATGACAGGCAATACCACCAGCTGTCCCTACAATCTCTGCCCAACCCTTCCATACTTTCTTTGAGGACTAAGGAATCCCCATTTCTCTTTTATCTATTTCTCATAAGACCTGTCTTTTCCTCTTAATAATGCCTCCAGGACACCTTCCAGTTAAAGTAATTTGGGGAATCAACTCATTAAATTTGATAATGAGGGCTTGGCACGGTGGCCTAGCAGCTAAAGTCCTCTCCTTGTATGCGCCACGATCCCATATGGATTCCAGCTCTTGTCCCTGGCAGCCCCGCTTCTCATCCCGGCAGCCCTACTTCCCATCCAGCTCCCTACTTGTGGCCTGGAAAAGCAGTCAAGGACGGCCCAAAGCCTTGGGACGCTGCACTCGCGTGGGAGACCTGGAAGAAGTTCCTGGCTTTGGATCGGCTCAGGCCGTTGCAACCACTTGGGGAGTGAGTTAGAGGATGGAAGATCTTCCTCTCTGTCTCTCCTCCTCTCTCTGTATATCTGACTTTCCAATAAAAATACATCTTAAAAAAATGTGGTATCGATTTAAACTTTTATCTTGGGGCTGACATTGCGGTATGGCAGCTTAAGCTACTTCCTGCAGTACCAGCACCAGCATCTCATACGGGTGCCAGTTCAAGTCCTGGCTGCTCTACTTCCAATCCAGCTCCCTGCTGATGCACCTGGAAAGCAGGGGGAACTGGCCTGCTTGGGTCCTGCACCCATGTGGAAGAGCTGGAAGAATCTCCTTGCTCCTGGCTTCAAACTGACCCAGCCCCAGCCATTGAGGCCATTTGGAGAATGAATCAATGACAAGAGTTCTCTCTCTGAAAACAAAACAAAACAAACAAACAAAAGATTTCTCTCTCTGCAACTCTTCCTTCCAAGTAAATAAAATAAATCTTTAAAAACATCTTTATCTTTGCCTGCCCATGGCAGTGAGCGGCCACTGTGTTGTGCAAAGATAGAACCTCGTGTGACTCATTTGCAATCAAGTGGCCCCTGCTCCCAGCTTTTCAAGTCCTTACCTCTCAGTCACACCAGGCAAGATGAAGAACATCCAGAAGTGAATTCCAAACACCAGGATGACCTGGAAAATGACTTTGCCCAACACGGTCTTCCGAAGGTAGAGCGCTCGGTCCACCACCATGGTTCCAAACTGAATCAGGACCATCACCAAGAAGGGTCCTGGGACCTGGTCCTCCGACAGAGACGAGGTGATGTCAGCCGCTGCGGAGTGTTTCTGGGGAAGAGACAGCAGGTTGATGCCCGAGTGGCAACTCGCAGCAGGAGCGCCACCCCTCCTGGTCAACAGAGGATCAGTGACCGTGTCCCCCTACCTACCCCAAAGGCCCAAAACCCGAAGACAATGATGATGAAGTCCACGGTGTCTGCCAGGAACATGAGCACATAGACATCTGTCACTGCACTGTAGTCGGGATGGATGAGGTCATAGAAGAACTGTCTGATGGGCACATATATTTGCAGCGTCCTGCAAAAGAGAGTGCGTTTGTTTTGGCAAGAAGTGAACAGAGACTAGCATCAGGCCATTGCTCAGCCTTCCAGCCAGTTCCCACCTGCTCAGCCAGCCTCAGGACAAGCCCACTGAAGGTGTCTTCTGCCCTACCAGGAGCATTGTCCACCTATTCCCTGGTCTGATGGTACCACCAAATGCTTCACTACCTTGATACAATGCGATCGTAACCCCTGCAACAAGTTGCCGCACTTGTAGCCGCATTCAATCGCTCACCCCTCTGAGCCCTTGAGCAGCGGCACAGCTGTTGTCATGTGAGCCTCTGAGGTAATAAGATCAGATGCATGGGGTTGGAGTGAGAATTACATGACAGAAGGCATGATTTGAACTCCGAGACTTTGGTCTAAGGCCACAGGAATTTTCTGGGCCTCTGCTTCTGTGTTGGAGTCCTGAAGCACGGTGGTCCTGGGCTTCCATTTCCACCTTGTCTTGTCCTTTTGCACTGCTTCTTGCTGCCCCTGGATTGTCTGCCTCTGCCACCAATTCAAGGTCACGTCCATGTGCTGGCTGCTCTCCACACCTCAGCCTTTTTTCAGAACTGGCTGTGCAGGTGGTTGGACCTCTACTCCACACGCAGCCTGCAGACCCGGCCCTGTTCATCTTCTGATGTCCCTCTAGAGGCACCTGCACTGGGTGGCAGGAACTTGCAGTGTACTGTGGACGGGCTGCCTGACCTTTATGCCACTGGACAGCTCTTTCCTCTGCAAGAGCCTCAGGTGCCTGCTCTGGGGCAGAGCGGGCCCCCAGGGCTCTTTCAGATGTGACATGTGCCCCTTCTGTGCAGCTGGACAAGGCCCATGCATGGGTGCCCTGTACCTGGAGCTCTTAAAATCTACTCATGCATTCTGCTCAAATAGAAAAACTATGTCGGTGTACGTCATCAGTTGCACTTACTGAGCATTGACTTCTGATATGAGATGTAACTTCCCGCATCTTTACCTTTGGGTCTATGAAGGAGGTCCTAGTGGTTCCCAGCCCTAAAACGAGACACACCAGTTAAATACTCTCCGATACTCACTTCTTTATGGTAAACGCTTTGGCTTTGGTTAAGTGTTCCTGCAGTTTTTCCATGTAGAGTTCCCTTTTACTTTTTTGCTTAACGCTCAAGACACTGCTGCCTTTTTGACTGCTGTTGCGGGTGCTTGTACTTCCTGGAAACAGCAAGAAATAAAAAACGTGACAGGTTGTTCTGAGCAATAGGACTTGATAACCTAAACCTCCATGCCCAGGGTGCCCGGGGACTGCTTTGTCGCATCAACAGAAGGTGCCTCAAATTGTCCACAGACGTGGTGTGTTACAGTATAGCCATGCAGGGACTTCAGCGCGTTTCCTGCACCCAAAATACATTCTTTTCCTCTTTTGGTTCCATTTTCCAGACTTTTGGAAGTACTTCCGTACACACAATGCCTTGCAAAAGATTTCTGAACAGACTGGAATCTGTCCCCTTAACTCTGTTCCCATGGACCCACGGGGTTTTCTTACCCAGTGCTGGCTTTTCCTCAGCTGGTGTTATAGTCTTTTATAGAATACTCTGGAAGACCTGCTTTGTGTCATGCTAAATAGGATTCTTAACTGTGTGTTTTCCAAATGGGGTCCATGACTCATAGCCTAACATATGTAACTGGAGGACAAGCCTGAGATATTCTGCACATGTCTGCCTCCAAAGCAGATTCTAGAATGAATGCGGAGTGTCTGGGAAGCTTCACGGATGAGCCTATGAATGCAAAAAGCCCAAGTACTCCCAGAGCAGCAACTGTAGGATACAGCCACTCTTATCATTTCAGCTGCTCTGTAGAAATGATCAACTAGCCTCAGAGCAACTGGAGTTGGAGTGAACATCCCCATTGGCCCAGCTAGTAAAATAGATTGAAAATGTAATTATGCATATTGTCAAATTAATTTGTGATGAATGACGCTCTGGGCACACTTGGAAGAATTTCTGCATATGACTTAAAAATTATGTACCCAACATGGTGCCGGGCACTTTGCACAATGATCTAAAATCCTCATCATAGGGAGGAATCAGATGTTTCCAGCCATGAGGTCACACAGTAGAGGCAGGATTCACACTCAGTACAGACTGTCAAAGCCCATTCTCACACATCACAGCATCTGTGTTTTCACAGATTCTATTGAATTTTGCAGGTCCTCCCCACAGACCCACACGCATCACATAAGCGAGAATTGGTGGGTGACCCCAGCCTGGGGACACCACGTGACCGATACCTCTTCTGGACCTGTTTGAAGAAAAGCTGGACGTTGGGGAGATCTGGGAGCTGCCGCCAGAGCGTTTCCTGTGGACAGCCACCTGCTGCTCCGGGAAGGTCACGTGCACTGACTCCACCGAAGCGGCCAGGTTGATGGACTTGAGTGAGTCGCAGGAGTCCCTTCTCCCAGTACCCATGGAGAGCTCATTGTCAGACTCGTCCTTGTCCGTGGCACTCTCAACAATGTCATCTTCATCCCATAGGCCGTGGCACTGAGAGGGCAGGGAGAGTGACAAGTCAGGCTACAGATTCTGGGGTTGGGAGGGAACTGGTTCTCTGTCCCACGGTGTCTAACTCTGCCAGCTGTCCCTCAGGATGAGAAAGTACGGGCAGAAGACTGGAAGAAAGTTTGTTATCTAGAGCTATATGAAATCCCAGTGGGTGTTGACGACAAGGGCTTGGCTAATTGATCATGTCTGGCAATGAAACAATGCTGAGATGAGAATCACTTGTTTCTTGAGCAAAGGTACTTTTCAGAACACATCTCACAGCCGGCACCTGCAGCCTTACACCGAGGGATTAGAGCTGGCACTCCATGTTCACACACGTCTTTACTTGGAAGCATCACGCCGTCTGTTCCCAGCCTGCAGAGCAAGCAACGGCACTTGACTCACCCAGGGCTGACCGTGACCCAAAGCCTCCAAGATGCTGCGCTGGACCCTTGGACCCACATGTGAGACATGGAGTCAGATACCTTTGGCAGGTTTCTGCTTCAAAGACAAGGGGAAAAGGGCTGATAGGGAGAGGAGAAATGAGGGCTCAGTAGAAGGAGGTGTGGCCTGGGTTGCACGTCACTTGTGGGTCACCTGGCTAAGGAGGGGCACTGGACCCTCTGCCCAGCTCTCCTTCTCACTCACACTTCAGAGGGTCACAGGAGTTCCAGGCCATTTTTTTTCCCCCATAGCTTAGTTTTTATTATAAAAGTCTGGGAACTTCAAAGCTCCCAGAATAATCAGTTCAGATACTTAGGGAGACAGTGGGTTTCACACCAGAATCAAGAAATCCTCCAGCTTTTCAAACCTGTGGTTCTATAAATACAATTCTAATATTAAACTTAAGAATAAAACATGCAGTTAATAAAATATAATCTTTAACAACACACAAAATATGTTTCCTTTCTTCAATTGTGAATCCTCAACATTTGTGCTAGGTAGTTCAGGGCAAGGTAAAAAAAGAGGAGACCGTAACAATAGAAAAGGGAGATGAATGATGAATTTCTTCAATTTTGTGATTATTTTCCTCTGTTGTGTTAGCAGTCATTTTGTGCCATACTTAGAGTATAGAAGAGACGCTTTATATGTAAGAGTTACAGTAAAGTTTTTAAGCTAAAAGATAGATCTCATTCTGTAAGTTTTACTCAAAGATGACAATTTGTCAAAATTTAAAGACCAGACGAAGCAGATCATTGAAGAACTAGGAGTCAAGGTTGTGGTATGGAGGGTTAAGCTGAATATTGTGACACTGGCATGACATTTGGGTGCTGATTTGAGGCCTGGCCACTCCACTTCCAATCTAATTCCCTGTTAGAGTGCTCAAGAAAGCAGCAGCAGAAACTAAGCCTAAGTTCTTGAGCCCCTGCCACCCACATGCGGAACTCGGAGGGGTTCCAGGCTTCTGGCTTTGGCCTGGCCCAGCCCTGACTGTTGCAGCCATTTGGGAAGTGAACTAGTGGTGAAAGCTCACTTGCTCACTCACTCTACCACCTTGTCCTATTTCCCCTCTCTTTCACATGAAATATAGAATTAAGGTTAAGTTGATTTTAAAATAAAAATTTCATGGATGAACTTACTAATCTTAGTGGCTGCTAGGATAATTTAAGGATATGACATTTTAATCATCATATCCATTTTAATCATCATATCCAATAAAAAACAAAATAAAATCTCCTCTCCCTAGTCCCGAAAGAAGTTTACTGTTCTTCTGTTTCTGCGGACCACCTCGGAAAAGAACCAATTTTCCAAAGACAAAGTCACCCAAATAAAGATTATTCCTAAAGTTTTATTTAAAAATATAATTTTTTAAAGATCTGAAGATATTCAAAAGGTCTGAGGAGGAATGGGATTTAATGACAGCTTTGTTTTGCTGTAAAAGAATTTTTAAAATCTAAGTATAGTTTTCTAATAAAGAAAAGAAAACAAGGGATAATGAACCCAATTGTCCAGGGAATAAAAAATAGAAAGTTTATCTGAAATTTACTTCTTATACAACATAGATGTGATTTTTAGGTATCTATATTGAGTTGATTTTCTAAGGAATTCTTTGGAATACAGATAAATGAGCAAATAAACGTAAAAGGCTGTTAAAAAAGTCATTTTTAGTAATGAGATCTTTAGGCTTATAGGCATATCTTTTAAACTATTTCCAAAATTGTCTCCTGTTTTGTCAACACTTTTTTAAAGGTTTATTTTTTTATTGGAAAGTCAGATATACAGAGAGGAGGAGAGACAGAAAGGAAGATCTTCCATCTGCTGATTCACTCCCAAAGTGGCCGCAATGACCAGAGCTGAGCTGATCCAATGCCAGGAGCCCAGAGCTTCCTCTGCGTCCCCCAAGCTGGTGCAAGGTTCCAAGGCCCTGTGCTGTCCCCTATTGCCTTGCCAGGCCACAAGGAGGATGGGAAGCAAGGCTGCAGGGACACGAAGCAGCACTCATATGGAATCCCAGAGCGTGTAAGGCAAGGACTTTAGCCACTAGGCTACTGTGCTGGGCCCCTTGTCAACATTTTAATATGCTTAGATATTTTCATGACTCTTTTTGAACTTATGTGGCCTTTCTAATGATTTTCTAATGAATTAATTTATATATGTGCAAAGCAGAGTGGTGGAGACAACACCAGTCTACTGCCTAGAGATTCATTCCCCACATGGCCACAGTGGTTGGGCCTGGGACTTGGCCCAGGTCTCCCCTGTGGGCCCTCTTTCTCTGCTTCCCCAGGTATGTTAGCAGGAAGCTGGGCCAGAAGTGAAGTGGCTGGTATTCAAGCTGGCACATGATACCAGCTCCTGGTCTAACTAATACTGACAGTAAATTATGAAAAAAGATCCTTGGAAGCACTTCTGTAATTTCTATGCAGCTTTAAATATTTGGTTTTCAAAGTAGCATTGTAAAACAAAAACACAATTTTTTCAAAAGTTGCCAAGTGGCTCTGTCTTATGAAAAGTTTTATCATTCCAGAAAGCATTTTTCTTATTATTAGTCCAACTTTCAGCATAACATTAGCATTAGAAATCTTTTGTATATTTACCATGTATTAGGATCTGAAAGACAAGAGTCTAGAAACAGACCCCACCCACGGGCCCCTGCCCATTGCCGTCTCTAATACGCAAGTACTCCACGAGTGCCACATGCATGAGCAGTACCTTCAGTATGGAGCGATGGAAGAACAGAGCCAGGAGCTGAATGAGGTCGTAAAGTACATAACCTTCCTTCTTTTCCACTCCTATGATATTTGGGGGGTGGTAAGGTTTATCTTTGTACAATTCCACATTCTTATTCCATGGAAAGAACCCAAACTGGAAGAAATACTTGACTACAATTGCCACCTATACATGAGCGAGAGAAATAGAAACAAGTTATTCATGTTTAGGAACTGGTTATAGAAGAGACACAGTGCTAACAAGACAAATAGCCATCCTGCAAATTTGACAGTAGTGATGTACCCAATTCTTTGGGACAGTACCATTAGCACCTTCCCAGAGCGCTGGCTTTGGAATCACGGCAGCCTAGTACTGCTGTGAGATCTTTGTCAGAGCAGCTAGCAGACAGGAGCCAATCAGATTGCTCAGTCGCTCCTCATGGGGTCGGTCACTTCCTCCGTTACTGAAAAACCGCTTCCTCACTGATTTAATTATGTACTCACATAATTATTCAGATGCAAACGTTATCCAGATGCAGAACAAATCTGGACAAAGTTGACCAGAAAAAGATTTACATTTTTAGTTTTGAAATGCTCATTCATTTATTTGTTTTCATCCACTTAAAAAGCACAGAGAGAGAGAGGAGGGAAGGGGAAGAGAGAATATTTTCCACTTTTTGGTTCATTCCCCAGCTTCCCACAATGAAAGGGGTTTGGGGAGTACCAACTGCAGATGTGTCTTCTGCACGGGTGGCAGGGGCCCAAGGATTAGAGCCAGGTGCATTAGTAGGTATGCAGGTTGGAATTACAGTCGCTAGGACTCAAGCCAGGGTGACGGGGTTGGGCACAGTGTCAAGAGAGCTTGGCCCACTGCTCCCATTACCCACTGCCCTGCCTCTAGGGCATGATGGCATCGGGCATAGCTTGGCCCACTGTACCCACTGCCTGCCTCTAGGGCATGATGGCGTTGGGCATAGCTTAGCCCACTGTACCCACTGCCCTACCTCCAGGGCATGATGGCGTTGGGCATAGCTTAGCCCACTGCACCCACTGCCCTACCTCCAGGGCATGATGGCGTTGGGCATAGCTTAGCCCACTGCACCCACTGCCCTACCTCCAGGGCATGATGGCGTTGGGCATAGCTTAGCCCACTGCACACACTGCCTGCCTTCAGGGCATGATGGCGTCGGGCATAGCTTAGCCCACTGCACCTACTGCCCTGCCTCTAGGGCATGATGGCGTCGGGCATAGCTTAGCCCACTGTACCCACTGCCTGCCTCTAGGGCATGATGGCGTCGGGCATAGCTTAGCCCACTGCACCTACTGGCCTGCCCTGTCTCTAGGGCATGATGGCGTTGGGCATAGCTTAGCCCACTGCACCCACTGCCCTACCTCCAGGGCATGATGGCATTGGGCATAGCTTGGCCCACTGTACCCACTGCCCTGCCTCTAGGGCATGATGGCGTCAGGCATAGCTTAGCCCACTGCACCCACTGCCTGCCTCCAGGGCATGATGGCGTCGGGCATAGCTTAGCCCACTGCACCTACTGGCCTGCCCGCCCTAGGCTTCCTGAGCATCTCCCGAGGTCTAGAGGGGGCAGGTTTCCCTTGCCTCCACTCTGTCCATTTGGCACACCGGCTGTGAGTTTTTTTTTAAATGGAAAATCCTTTCTTTTTGTATTTAGTTTTATACGCTCATGAGTAGCAGAGTTCCTGGGTTTTGGCAATTAGCTTAAATCATAGACTGAGTTAACATCAAGTACATATTCAGCTTACCTCCACTTCTTAGTATGACAGGGAAGACACAGAACCCAAACTTCACTAGGAGCTATTTTTAAGGGAAAAGCTATAAAAGCAGCATTTGCTGTACTTGGCACATTTTGGGCATTGCTGCTTAGTTGCTGGCAGTCACAGAAGCGTTAGAGAATTGCCTGTGCCTCTGGAGTGATGCGGAGACGGTAATGTTCGGGACTGATGACCTTGGCATCCATGAATGCAAGGTTGTGGCAGCCCCACACACAGTCTGCTATGCTCCCCTTTGTCCCCCGCTGTGATTCTCTTCAAACTTTTCAACCTTCTCTCTCTCAAAAGGTTGGCGAGGAAAGCAGGTCCCTATGATTGGGCAGACTTCTCTGTGCCCTCACCTAGGTAGGCGATGGCTGACAATTCACCCTCTTAGTCATTCTGATCGGCATCTGGACGCTTAGGTAGCCTTGCATTGCACTGATGTGGACACTGGCTTCTGGAATTTGAATGGAAACTATGCACTCTGTGTCAAGCCATACTCCTAGTGCCCTGTTATATCATGTAACGCCCTGTCCATTGACTGAACATCCACTGATACCAGGCACCACGCATAGGATTGTTACTATCTTGCTGGTTAGTATTGTAGATCAATCACACTTCAAAAGCCCCCCCTCTCCATTCCTTACCTAAACACCTGTGCAGGGCAAAGAGAGAAACATGGAAAGATAGATATGGGAATGGTTTGTATGTCTCAGAACGTCCATGGTACTGACTGCTTCATGTGAACCTGCTGGGCTTGAGGCAGGTGTGAACACAGAGCGGAGACAGGGCTGCGGCCCCAGGCCTACCTCGGTGTAGACGATGGCCATCATCCAGAAGCGACGGCTGGGCCTGGGCACAGACAGCATGGCCCAGAGGAAGATGAGGATGGGCAGCAGCAGGGTGATCATGGAGGCGGAGACCATGTGGTTGAGGATGATGACGAAGTAGCACACCATTTCCGAGCGTGCCACCAACGTGTTGTACATGGCATAGAACAGCAGCAGGAAGCGGGGCTGGTGCACGTAGAACTTCTCCGACTCTTCAAGCTCGTCGTCATGAAACATCCTGGCAAAACAAGCGCTGCCGTGAGACGTCTGTCTTTGGTTTCTCCTAATTCCTGGTTCCCATTCACACAGGGTCCATCTTGTTGAGACTCTCCACTCTGCTCCCGCACCCCTCTGCACTGTCCAGGCCGCTAGCTAGGTTAGGTTGCTTCAGTGCTCATGGGAAAGAGTATTAGGAACAAACAGATGTGTGGATTTCAAATCTTAAAACAGCTTATCTTTAAACGAGAGTATTCTGCAATCTTTCTGAAGGGCTACTAAGATTGAGCATTGCTATCCAAAGACAGGATCAAAAAGTGTTTCAGATTTTGAATTTTTTAGATTTTTTAAAAATTGAGTATACACAACGGTATACCTTGGAGATGGTACCTAACATTTTAAATAATTTTGTGCATGAAACAGAATTTTATGGCTGCTGTTGTAGCAGGTTAAATTACAGCTTGTGATGTTAGTATCCCATATGAGTGTCACTTTGAGTCCCAACTGTTACAGTTCCAATTCCCTGCTATAATTTCCTGTTAATAAGCCTGGGGAAGCAGTGGAGCCCGGCTCAAGTGTGTGGGACACTGCCATCCATGTGGGAGACCCAAATGGATGGAATTCCATGCTCCTAGCTTCTACCTAGTCCATCCTTAGCCCTTGCCACTATTTGGGTAGTAAACCAGAAGATAGAAGACAGATTTCTCTCTCTCTCTCTCTCTCTCTCTCTCTCTCTCTCTTTCTCTCCCTCCCACTCTCCTTCTCTTCCTCCCTCTCTCTTTTCTCTCTCCATCCCTTTTCTTCCTCCCCCACCTCTTTGCCTCCCTCCCTCTCTCTCCATGTATCATTCAACTTCTCAAATAAATAACGAAATGTATAAAAAAATCAGATAATTTCACGGTGTGAAATTCTTTGTCCCTAAATAGACTTATCTCCCAGGTTCCTTGCTGGGCGGGCTGTACTCACTTGTTGAGCAGCAGCTCGCTGGCAGTCAGCTCATGAGTCAGGGCAGGCAGGATGCTGGATTCCAGCTTGTCTGTGCGGCTGTCATCGGGGCTCACCACCATGTGGTTTTTGGCCCCGTCGTCATCCTGTGAGCCGAAGGACAGGTGCTCAAAGCTGACAGCCTTGCTGTAGGAGGGTGGGGCCTCCACATCCCCATCCTCCACACAGAACTGTGGCAGCTCCTCCTCTGGGGTGAGGCTGGCGTCCTCCACCCCCACGGCAAACTCCATTTCCTCCTCTCTCTCTTCTTCATCCTCCTCCTCATCATCATCATCCTCTTCTTCCTCCTCCTCTTCTCCTTCCTCTTCCTCTTCTTCCTCCTCATCTTCCTCATCCTCAGCATCTCCGGGCTGGGGCACCACACCCAGCACCTCCTCCTCCTGCTCAGCCTCCACCTCTTCTATGGTTTCTGTGGTCCCCTGGCGTGAGTACAGCATGGTGCACTGTGTGGGCTCGCTGTGGGAACAAAGGGATGGGCACAGTGCCCTTGGCTCAGCAGCCACACCCCTGGGAACTTTACCAGATTCCCACGAGGTGGGCATCAGAGCTCCCGAGCAAACACACCAAAGAAAGGCAATATCTCATCTTTTCCAGACTCCCACCTGCTGTGCTCCTCCCAGTATCTGCAAGGCATCCTCTCCCAGGCAAAAGCCAGGCACAGGACTCTCAGGGCGCAAAGCCCATCTGTGCACGCAGGTGTTCTTAATGAGAGGCAAACACAGCATGAATCTAGTAGTTGGTTTCCCAGTCCACACACACACCCAGCATGGTGTACCTACCGTCCCAGGTGCTTTCAAGTGGGGCCATGTGGAAAGGGAAAGCCATCTTCTACAGGGCTTCACTCTCAGTCCTACACAAAAAACCCAGCCAGTGCCACCAGGAATGGCAGGAATAATCACACCTTAGCTAAGCTGAACAACAGGTGCAATCCTTGAAACGAGTCACCTTTCCTTGATATTTGCTTTTCCTCCCTGCTGTTTCACCCTCTGCCTTTTTCTTATTGGCATGGGTCACTCTTGGCCAAACGTCCATCATCCCTCCAAAGGCCATTTCTCACTGGCCTTTACCATGGGAGCACCTGCCCTTTGCTTGTCTCCCTGATGATCCCTAACTCTTAGCATCACTCCCTACAGTTGGTGTATTTTTCCTCTCCTTCTTTTATTCTTTTATCTTCCAACTTTCCTTGTTAGGTTTATGCCAGAAAGGCTGGAATTGGAAACAGAGCAGGCACAGAAATGAAAATTCTGCCTTTTATGATTGTCTACTCCTGGCACATCCAGCCCCTGAAACAGAGAGCAAGGGGAAATTATCAGGGTGTGTGAACCCCGTGGATTCAGGAATATCCTGAATTGGCAGATGAGACACGTCCTATTTTCTGAGTGGCCCCGGTGAGCAGTTAGACTCCCTATGCACTCCGAGTCTCCGCTGTGCAAGCTGTTTTCCTTCAGATACCTCCCCGGTGTGGGCATCTCAGTGAATGATGAGTGGGTGACCCTGTAAGAGCCCTCACTGGTACCATGGCTGTGCATGACAGGTTTGTGCAAGCCCTTGACGCTCCTTCAAGTCTTGTCTCCAAGTGTGCAAATCATGTAGAAGGCCCTTGGAGCACCAGAGCAAGCAGGAACTCTGACTTACCTCAATAACACAGAGCTTTTAACGAAAACCACAGAACTGACTCATCTCCTGGGAATTTTTTAATCACAAGGGCAGCCCTACACCAAGTGTAAGTGCCAAGATGAACATAACCAACTCTAAGCATGGTCGCTGTGGCTTGGAAGCATGTCTGGCTCTGAGCGGCTGGGGGACCCTGTGGGACCCGTTGGAGTGGGATGGCAGAGCTTGAGGATGACTCAGACAGCGGGGCAGTCTCATTGATGCAGGTCCCACCACACTGCAACGTGCTGTGCAGCTACCTGTGGCTGCCAGCAAGAGAATCACACTTCTCTGATCAGCCTCTGGGTGCAGTTACAATAAAATCCATTTGGGATTGGGTCATTTTACCTACCAGATTAATACAATGTGGCTGATGTCCCAGCTGTATCATTCAACTTTTTGGGATTTTATGCAAATAGTTGTTCCCAAATGATTATTGTGCCATGGGAGAATTTAGTGAAGAAGCAAAGTTTTTCTTCCAGGCAGAATAAGGGAGAGTGTACAAAGTGATAGTTTGACAATGTGCAAATACTCTTTTCAGCAGTTAATGGACAAATAATGTCTGACTTTTCTGTTGGTTTTGATCATTGGGCTGATTTATGCAATGCTAACTAAAAATGGCAACACATGGCGGATTTTCAGAGCCTTTTGATGGCATAGCATTTGTGGCAAAATGAGAAATCCAAGTTTTCTGCCTTTCCTGACGATTTTCTGCTTTGAGGGCTGTCTGCAACAGTTCTACATCATGCAAGAAGCATGCATTACGTCTTGGAAAATCAGAAAGTGTGAAATGCTTAAAAAATGGAGGACACTGTAGATCATAAGGATCGTTAAGAAACTTCTAACAGACAAAAATCAAGGAGCTGTTAGGTTCACACAACGCTCTGTCCTAGAACAAGTATGTGTCACCGCGGGCATGTTTTTGTTAGTCATGCAAATTCTTAAATGAAAAATGAAAAACAAATAACATACCTGTCAAGAACTGATATTTGCAACGACACAGAAAGGGGGCAAGACGAGAAAAGTACGGAACGAAGCATGCACGAGTTAAGCACCTTGATGCTAAACTGCCACTGTCAGCAGATGAGGAGGACATATCCATGCTGAACACTTTACGGAGCCTAGGCCGTGCGCGCTCGCTTGTTTTGGGAACCGTGTCTGATCCATCTAAATCATCAAGGGTAGACTGCCTTGAGAACAGCATGGTTGCTTCAGTGTAGCAGCTAGCAGCGCAAACAGTTACAGAAACACAGTGTTAAAATGCCAGTGGTACATCAGCTCACACACCGGTCAACTGGTTGACACACTGCCATGCAGCAAATCACACACAACACCAACACTGCTGAAAACGACCACCGCCGGGGCAGGGCAGGACCTGGTTAGCAGGATAAGAAAACACAAGTGGATCCAAGTTTCAAAGAATACATTGGCTAGCGATCAATGGTACAATGGCACTCTCTGGATGGGACAGGAAAATAAAATCATAAGAAAAATCCCTTTAACTTTCTCTTTAAAGCACAATGGTGGTGATTACAGCTTTGTAACAACGTTTTTTTTTTAAAATTATTAAAGAAAATTTACTGTGTTTGGTATTGCCACCTTGAGTTCGTTGAGAGCATTGATGAACCCATTGGCTTAAGCAAAAATAATAGCTTATGTGGAATTTATATAAAACATATGAATTTTTTGACACTGTCTCCAAATACAGAGAGGGAGGGAAACTCAGGAATGATACCAAACACTGAATTTTCCACCCCATGTTCTGAGTGATATTCAGTTAAGCCAAAGGAAACGCCTTGCATATGGAAGAGATGCTGGTTTGATATGCACTGGATATAAACCAACATCCGAAAAAAAAAAAAAAGATGCTACAAAGAAAATCACAAAGGAATTCCAGCAATGCCAGCTTCATTTTGTCTGTTAACTTTTCGTCTTGATTGGTTTCCAATCAGGGTCATGCTTTGGAGGTTGGTGGACATCATTAGGGAGAGAAGCCATTGGCTGATCTCCTTACCTCCTGATGCCCGGGGGGAGTGGCAGTCAGGAAGTGAAGGCTGAGACGTTGCCAGGTGGAACACACAGCACCTTGTCGGTGATATGTTTTAAACGACAGCCACCCTATTTCTTTGGGACTGCCTCGCTGAAGATAACAATTGAGCCAAATTGTTTCATTGGAGAAATGTAGATGATAGCCTGATTTTATAAAGTGGCAGCAGAAAAACAAGTTTGCCATTGTAAGTCTGGACCTGAGGGAAATCATGACAATTCCAATGTCAATGGGAACACACACTCACTGAGTAGGTTTCCGAATGTTTGCTCGGTGCAAAAATCTAGGGTGTGGGTGCAGGGCTAGGGTCCTTGCTAGGCAGCATGGCTTCATGACCCACTGGACCCCCACCTAACGGGCAGGTGCAGCCATGCACGCACGGAATCTTCTCTGGAGATGACAGCTGTCTCTCTCAGTACAGTGATCACTGTACTGATCACTGTGGGAGATTGGGAAATTCCTCCAATAGAAACACAGGGTATGCATGTGACTCGGTCATTAACAAGAAAGTGTGTCAATTGCTGTAATTAATGGATGCTACCGTAGGAAAACAAAGGCCAAAGACATCAAGAGGAATTGCAGGGATTTTAGCTTTTTAGTGAATGTATCTGATGACTGAGCATGTTCTATTTTAGAAAATATTTTGACAATCTTTGTGAAAAAGTAATCCAAGGATTTCTTTGTGTTGCTATGATTTCACATGTACAGTCTTGGGTCAGATGTAAAGGCAGTTACTTGATTTCATCTTACCCAGTTTTTCTTTATCCTCTTTCTTCCTTCTCAGCCGTGAGTTCCACTATGTAGTTTCTTGGTTCAATAATTTATGCAGCACTATGCAGTTAAAATCACTAGCTTAAGCATCATGTATGTTTCTTTCTTGGAAAATTTATTTAGAGTTTTCGTCACCGTAAAACAGCTTTCAAGTATCATGCTCAGGCGTCTGGGAAATCCTTAGAATGTTATGGGATGAGCTAGTATTTGTGTGATGTTTCGCTCTGGGAGTAGGGTCCAGCTTTACAGAGCTGTTGACCTATGTTCTTAGTTTCCGAAACACTGCTAGTTGGAGAAAACTCACCAAGTTTTTATTTGCCAAGCTTAGAATCTCTGGGGGTGTGGGCTGAGCTATGAAACAGACAGCATATTTTCAGTAATCAAATTACACACAAACTACACAGGTAGCTGGCTGTCTTCTTTACTATCTGGAAAAATTTCAACTGAAATGAAAATGGCTTTCAGGTAAAGAAACAAGAATTGGCTGGAACCTTTCATTTTGAGATTCTGAAAAAAAAATTAAAATGCAGTTTTGATCAGATCCAGTTCATATGCAATATAAAGAAGTTTTCAAAAACTTCATGGAAATACATATTATTTTTTAAAAAGGTGCAAGGATTTTAAAAAATCATCCCCAAGTTAAGTTTATCTTTTAATTTCATTTCCTATAAACTTTGAAAAGTCATCAATGCAGAGCACAAATGAGTGCAATGGAATGATTGGTTGACTGAATCCATGGAACCTTGTCTGGAAAATGCACCTGCTGAGTATCTCAGCATTTCCCACACTCCACCATTCTGCTGCACAAGAAGTGGTTGTGGGGTCATGAACAGGTGCTAAAGTAGGTGGGCTTGGGCCTTTTTAGGCTCCACAGTTCACCTGCATCCACCGCTGGACCTACAGAGTGCTGGGCCTGCTACACTCAGCCCTGTTCCCCCCACTGCCCTGCTGCGCACACACCTACATCTTTCATACGTCTGCTCATGCCGCTTCCACTTATCAAGAGGCAAGGAGCTACCATGAGACAAATTGGAACCCTGAGGAACTTGGGAACAAGTGGGTTAGAAACTCATTTTAAGTTTTAGTAGTAAAATGAAGTCAGATTTAATATGTGCATCTACCAATAGAGTTATTGCCAGAAGCACAACTTTAAGAAGGTCAACTTCTTCCAAACCAACAAGTTTGCTGAGAATCAATCACTGTTTATCTTGACGGCAGCTGTCTCGGGAAGACACAGTGAGGTATGCAGCACAGGGTCCTAAATGACCTCTTTGCAGCTGTATATTATTGTTCATAGGTTCAGAAATTCCTGAGTGACAAATGCACACATGCTTGGGTAGAAAGAGAGTGAGAGTTCTATTATTGTGGCACCTTTCTTTAATAATTAACTATTTTACTCTAAGAATCAGAAACTCCTTAACAGAATCTCAATTGGGAAACTGCTCTTTGGGCCTTGAAACCCTGAAAGGATTTCTCTCCTAAATCTTTCTTTTTCTCCCAAAAAGATGGAATAGTAAACACGTTTGTACCGTATTTGTGAAGCAAGGAACCTGATAATAAAACTCAGAGGAGAGAGATGCTCACAGAGAATTATCATCATCATCATCATAATCATTACTATGATCCTTAAAGTGGCAATTGCAAAAGCAAAAGGCTGAAAGTGGTATTAGCAGGTGGAAGACCTGGGATAGCAGGTGTTTTGCAGAGCAGTTATTTTTGAAAGGCACCAAAGATGCAACTTTCATCACAAACAATAGTTTGGGCTTTAGGGAAGGGTCACTCTTCCTTGTCTCTACATTGGAAATCTCTTTGCCATGTTTGGAAGAACTGGGGATTTCTAAAGGCTCCTTAGTGATGTGACAGTCCAGGCCACACAGCATTCTGTTGGGGACTGACTGCAGACATTACGAAGGAGTGAGGGATGCATTACTTTAGGTAACCTTCACCTCATACATTCATGAGATACGCCCACATCATTCACCTTTGTCCAAAGCAAATGCACTGTTTGGAGAGGGCAGTACCTGGAGATGCTGTCATGTGAGTCCAAGCTGTCAGCCCTGTGTGCTGGCTGTGTCCCCGAGGCAGCTCCGGGACGCTGGTCGATGGAGTCCAGGCCCGACTCTCTGGAAAGGTTCATGATGTGGTTCTGGTAGTACATGTGGATGCTCTCCCGCGTCGGAACGTTGCCCTAGGGAGAGAGGGGGACGTCACCGCAGCCTCCAAAGGAGCACTCCGCTGCCCGGGCCCTGCTTCCAGGGAGCACCCTGCTGCCCAGGTCATGGCACTCACTGGAATAAGGACTAAAGCCAACCAGACAAGCTGGGCTTTGCTGCCAACTCATACAAGATATGATGCCCTGTTTCAAATTGTGAAGCTTTTTGTTTTCCCTTAAATTTTGGAATGTATGCATATTGCTCATGAGTTGACTGGGAGATAAGACGACGCTGAAGCAAGAAGTTAGTGTCTCATAGACCCTGCAGGCACAGGGTGAAGGTCATTTAATACAGTGTTTTTTCATTGCCCTTATGTTTGGGCTTCAACCTGTCTCGTGGGAATTCTGCATCTGTGTGTCATGTCAGTAGTCATGGAGTATCAGCTTTTGGAGCATCTTAGAATTCAAACATTCATATTAGGAGTGTTCAACTATTAAGAGACCATTTATAAAGCACAACTGACCACATTTCAATTCTCTCCATGTGTCCTCATTTTCCTGTGAGAAGTTTCAGGTCAAATTTCCTTTACAAAGCATGACAGAATTCTTATGCCTGCAAACTCTGGCAAGGAGAGGGTGCAGAATGAATAAACCAGACATCATCATTGGTGTGTGTGTGTGTTTAATGTTTTTAGTATTGTGTTTATGAATGTGGGACAGATCTAAGTATTTCAGCATATGGAAAAGCCAAAAAGTTATGGCAACATCTATGAGAAAGAGAACATTTTGTCTTATCTTCCTCAAAATGTTAGATACTGACATTTTTAATGTTTGAAAAATGTATATAAGAGAAGACATTTTGCTTGTGTAGATTCAACAGCAAAATGATATACTGTCTTCCTACCCCCTCACTCCCCTATGCTTTTCTTCCCTCTTTCTTATTTCTCTTTTAATTATTTATGACATTTTCAACTTACATTGTAGTCACTAAATCCTCCACTAAATCAATAATTCAACATGGGGCAAAGAGAAAAACATTGTTCCTCAACAGTACAGACAAGTGTATAAACAACAATTAAATCTCAATGTGCCAATTTTGCTTTTTTGTACTTTGTATATTAATCACCACGAATCAGGGAAAATATGATATTTGTCTTTTGGGGTTTGGCTTATTTCCCTAAAAATAGACGTCCATCAATTGATGAATGGGTAAAGCAATATATATGTCGTGGAGTACTACTTAGCCACAATGAAAAAAAGAATGGAATCTTGTCTTTTGCAACAAAATGGATCAACCAGATAGTGACTTTTAAATGTTTTTTTTTTTAATGTCGCAGGAAGAGAGAACTATGCCATTAGTGTTACCTTCTTAATTTCCCTGGTCAGCATGCACCTCTCAATCCTCAGGACCGTCGATATGTCAATGTGCTCCCTGGAAATGGAGTTGAGCCACGTGGTGAAGCTGTCCACAGTCGCCAGAAACAGCACCCAGGTGAACTTCAAGATGTTGAATATCCTTTTGATGATGTTGTCTAGGAGAAAGCAGGACGACACTTTGCAAGCGAACGCTATGCTCGTGATGGTTCGGCTGTCCTGTAGCACGGTAATGTTTTACCCAAGCCACACTGGTTTGCGCCGTGATCCTGGTGAGAGGTGAGTCCCCTGACCCTCAACAGGACCTGGAAGACAGCGGCGGCATCCAAGCCAGACAGCTCCTCCAGAGATTTAAACGTGAGTTCCTTGGTCTTGAGAAAGGTTTGTGGAACGTTCACTAATCAACCTCCCAAAAGAAGGAAATTCTGTCATTCGTGACTGTCTAATGACCACAGAGGACATGGAATTATGTGAAATGAACCAGGTGAGTGAAAGCTAGTGTGTCATTCCACTGACTTGCAATAATCAGACTCAGAGAAGCAGGGACTGGAGTGGTGCTGATCAGGGACCAGGTCGGGGTGGGAGAGGTTGGGGCAGAACTGTTCTGTAGCATGACTAAGCCTGGGGAGCTGACGTACAAAATGACAGCTCCAATTCATAATCTTGTCTTGCATACTGGAAATCTGCTGACTCTAGACATGCTTACCACATGTAACAGGTGATAGGTGGCAGCTATGTTGATTTGTTAGACTGCATGTATGTTCATTGCATGCACACAATAAAAAAAGAATCCAAAGAGGGTAAAAGCCACGTTAACCACCTGTCTTACTCATGGGTGCATACCGATGGCTTTCCGCCTCTGACGGGAGCCCACAGGTGTATAGTTTGCTGGCTCCCAGGCTGGTATCATCAGCTATGACCAGTTTTGCCTTGCTCTAAAAGTTCTGATGGAAAACAAAGGAATTATAATGGAAAAAAAATAGAGTTATCTTTCAAGCTGAGGGGTCTGGAAGCAAGGCAGACCTTCTCTGAGGTGCAAGGTTAAAAGAAAATCCCCAAAGGAAAGTTGAGAATGGGATAGCTCCTGGACAGGGTCCAGATAGGCCGGGGTAGAGGGGGAGGACACAAACAAAAGTGAAAGTATCCAGGATCTCCAAGTGAACAGCCACACCTGGGGGCAGGGTGGGGGGAGAACTGTGACTGGGACAAAAGGTGGCAGAATCAAGTCACCCCCCCAAGGACCAGCCCCAGCTGCAAGGGAGACATCTGGCATTCCGTGTGAAGGGATGGCTTTCCTGCCTATGCTAACACTACCCTGGTAGTTCCCCCAAACATGTGTGAAAGCACGTCACACCGGACAGTCAGTTGGGAGGAGGGTCTTGGGCAGTGAGAGGACAGAGTGCCCGTGCTGGAGCAGAGCAGCGCTGCAAGTGACCAGCTGCTTCCTGAGCGGGGCTGAGCCAGGTAGGAGCACCAGGTGCTGGGAACACTGACAGGGTTCACTTTACCCACTACTCATTCCCCTTTAAAAGAACTACAGGCAAGGGCCCGGCACAGTCGCCTAACGGTTAAAGTCCTTGCCTTGCATGCCCCGGGATTCCATACGGGCGCCGGTTCTAATCCCTGTGGCCCTACTTCCCATCCAGCTCCCTGCTTGTGGCCTTGTACTTGGTCACAAGCAGTTGAGGATGGCCCAAAGCCTTGGGGCCCTGCACCTGCGTGGGAGACCTGGAAGAAACTCGTGGCTCCTGGCTTTGGATTGGCGCAGCTCTGGCTGTTGTGGTCACTTAGGGAGTGAGTCAGCAGACAGAAAATTTTCCTCTCTGTCTCTTCTCCTCTCTATATATCTGACTTTAAAAAAAGAAAGAAAGGCAGGCAAGTCTTTCCTACATTCATCTGAACAGAATGGCTCATGGCTTTGTGCATTTTACCTCTGGAAGCTGAAGTTTGACTCCTGGAATTGGAAGGATGTGGGGTTACACCTGTTGATACATTTCAGCAGCTCCCTATACCTTCCACTACTTACTTGTCTCTGATAGTCATGGTTACTTTTTCAGATTGGCAAAGATAAACTTTGTAGCCTTGCTGTGGAGCTCAAAACTAAATCACTCATTGGAGATATCAATGACATGTCTTTTGTTAACCTGGGGGATTGCAAATTAACTCAGAACATGAAGATTTTTAATTTTCACTTTATTTATTTTGCTATAAAAGCTGTATGACATAGCATTGATGGTCTCTTGGATCCAAACCAAACTCTATATGTGGCAGTTATAGACTTGGAACAGTTAATCTCTCCCTGCCTCAGTTTCCCTTCTGTTAAGAGGGGAAGTGAGTGTTTGAGGGTGTTAAACAAGAGGATAAGACCAAATATCTTGGAAAAAGGCTTGGAAACATGATGGGAAACTAAATTGCTAGCCACTGCTATTGGAGAAAAAGCTTTGCCGTAGTAACACCAGCTTGACACCCACGTGCCCCTGATGGGGAAATGGAAGACCAGGGGCAAGCAATGATTGCCTAGAGTTCCATTTTGTGCCTGAAAATGGCAGCCTTAGAAGTTCAAGGATATAAAAAAAGTTTGTGGAGAAATGGAATGAAAAGGTAATTTTAGTGCATGCATTTTTGAAATTCATGCTTACATGGAGTTCTACAAAGATTCCTGGAAATGCACATTATGAAAAATCCACACATTAATTTCAAAATATTTGTGTCCCACCAAAATACTTTTTGATTCTGTCTTTCCACACACTTTCCGACATCTCCTTGGTTTGCACTGGGTGTCCAGGGCCTGACTCTAGATGGTAAGGAACTCATTCATGAGCGGTGAGGACATGTGGAAGTGAGCGTGTGGTATGGGGGCAAACGAGGGCATTTTGCTGGTGTGCTTTGGCTTTCCTTCTTGCATGGAGACATCATCCTGCAAGAGAAGCCTGAATGGCACCACGACTGGGCAGGTGTTACTGTATTGGAATCCTTGCCTGGCTCCATCACATAGACTCTTTGATACCTGAGCAAGCCACAGACTTGATGGTACTTGGTTTTCCCTTCCTAAAATGGAGAGGCTGTCCAGGCTTCCAGGGTCCTTCTCATCTTCGCAATCATACTCACCTCTTATTTAACTCCTTTCTGTGCTCTTTCAATAATAATCTATCATATGTTCCAAACTAGCTGGAAGAAAGAATTTTAAAAGTTTCAACACACAGCAATGATACACACTAGAGGTGATGGCTATGATGGCAAATTACCCCACTGTGCCCCATAAATTTGTCCAACGATTATGGACCAATTAAAATCAAATGATTGATTATGCAAAAACAGAACCTGTGCTCTTTGGGCCTCCAGTTTGATGACTTCCTTAGGAGTTTTAGAATTTGCTCTCTCAAGACCTCTGACATACATAATCGCGTGAAGGAATTTTTCCCCATCCAGCAGCGGAAAAGCCAGATCTGTTTTCAGGAGTCACTTGGCCATCTCAGTGGAGAAAAAAATTCAAAGGACATCAACTGCTGATCAAAGTGCAGACACAGCGCTTGGTTCAAGACCTGCCAGACATTCTTCCTTTGTGGATGGCCTGGGCAGGGATCCTTTCCCATCCCCCAAGGCCGCCATTTGCTTCACTTTCTTACCTGGGCCATCAGACTTCTTTTTGATGGGCTCATCCTCTCGGTCTTCCCACTCCACGGGACCTGGTCAACATGTTCAACAAAGAGGAGTTACATATCTTAGAGGGTAAATTAAAATGTCACTACTATCCTTCTAGATGAAAAGGAACTCTAATTAAATGGAACATTCTGCCTGTCTTTGGAGTTGTGTAGGTAATTTGTAAGAACTGAGCTTTCAGACCATCCTTACTCCACTGCACAAGAACCCTGACTTCCAAAGGTTGTTATTATATTGCCTGTGAACTCACACCTGTTTTTAGAGGATACAGCACATCCATTTGTTCTCTGATTGCCTCAACTCCACAGCAGCAGAGCTGAGCTCTAAAAGAGCTTTTCCAGAGCGAGCAGTTGAACACAGGTATATTCACAAAGGTTACAGAAAATGGAATTTGAAGACACATTGATTTTGTGCACATTTCTGAAATTCATGTATTTTTTTGTAGATATATACTTTCCAGATTTTTGTTTTTTAAACAGAAAGCTCCTTGATTCCTGATATGTGGCATGGAATTTTAATTTTCAATTGTAATCTCTTATAAGTAACACCATAGGATTCCATTCTTGAAAATTTTATTAAAATGTATTTGGGAAGCAGATAAATGAAGAAAGAGAAGGCAAGAGGCAGAGAGAGAGACAGAGAGAGAGCTAGCTCCCAGGTACTAGTTTACTGCCTAAATGCTTGCACATCAGCCAGGGTTGGGCGCAGGCTTCGCTGGGAGCTGGGAATGCAATCCATGACTCCCCATTGTTTGAGCTATCTGCTTCCCAGAGTCCCCTAGAGTCAGGAGACAGAGCAGGGAATCGAACCAGGTACTTGGACACGTATGAAGACCTCTTAACTGCAAGGGCCAAATGACAGCCCCTCATTTTATTTCTTAACCTTTCTTTTAAAGTTAACGTTGTCAGAGCTACACAAAGGGCATCGGATGACATTTTCATTTCAGATCAACAAGTTTTCATCGAACTACATTCGGTGAAATATGTCCAAATTATGGTTGAATTAAACACTGCTGTTATCTAGAGCATTCAAATTCAATGAGGGTTTCTGAATTTAAGGTTTTAACCCTATCAAAACATTCATGAGGGCCCGGCGCGGTGGCGCAAGTGGTTAAGGTCCTCGCCTTGCACGCCCGGGATCCCATATGGGCGCCGGTTCTAATCCCGGAATCCCCGCTTCCCTTCCAGCTCCCTGCCTGTGGCCCGGGAAAGCAGTCAAGGACGGCCCAAAGCTTTGGGACCCTGCACCCACGTGGGAGACCCAGAAGAGGCTCCTGGCTTCGGATCGGCATAGCATCGGCCGTTGTGCTCACTTGGGGAGTGAATCATCGGACGGAAGATCTTCCTTTCTGTCTCTCCTCTCTGTATATCCGCCTTTCCAATTGAAAAATAATAAAAATAAATCTTTAAAAAAAATAAAAAATAAAAAAAAATTCATGAATTTACTCTACTTAATCTTCTGAAATACGCTTCCTGGCAAATCCTATTTTCCACTGGCATTTCACGTTTGATCCTTGCCAGTTTCCTTGCCTGGCACTCTAGTTTTCACGCACAGCTTACTTCCTTCAGGCCTTCTCTTCATACAGTGCTCCCTGACACTGTAACAACAGGAGATTCCTTCTCTCTGATCCCACAATCTGGTCTAGCTGTATTTTTTTTTTAAAGGAGCTCTGCAGTTTCTACATCCTTTAGATTTAAAAATAGACATTTGTGTTTTTCCTGCTGATTAAGATAGAAGGCTGTGGAGTCCAGCTGTCTATTTGGAAATCCAAATCCACTCCTTGAATGGCTTCGTGGCTGCCGGCAGGTGCTTTGCTGGACTTACCTGTAAAGTGGAACTAATAAAACGCCCCTGAGTTGCCGTAAGCAACCATGAGTGACTACCAAGAATCACTTGCTAGAGTGCCTCTTCCTCAGAATCCCAGGTCCTCTGCGCTCCCTGCCTGCAGAAGCATTCCCAGACCAGGGGTCAGGGGGCCACCAGGGCTGCGTGAAGCAGAGAGCACTTGGAGGAGTTGGCACACACATGAAATACAAAGATTGCTTTCTTTTGCAGCTAAAACGTGAAATTTCATGCGTAACTTTTTCATAGTCTACACTTTACATCACCTTTTGATGAGTCTTCATATTCTTAAAAGGAATGTATGCAACTAATTCAGTGTATCTGCAAATGGATGCTGTTTTTGATTTGTGGGTAAAAGTTGGTGCACTTGCACATGAAGGAATCGATGTTATGGGGGAGTAAATTATTTTCATGGTGACTGAAGGACAAATTTCTTAGAAATGGGTTTAAAAAGAGGAAGAAAAGACTAGAATAGCAGAGACAATTAAAACTAACTTTGTTTCTGCTGGACTCAATTGAGTAAACTTAAACCCAGTAGAAAAGAATCACTTAGTAAGTACAGACAGCATATTTATGTATGCATCTACAAGTAAACAAGTTAGATTGCTACTTCTTAAATACAAAAAAAAAACATAGAAATGAAATCAGTGGAAAATATTTCTAAAACATTTGATGGAAGAGAATTTTTAGAGTAACATGAAACATTTAGAAGGTACACAAAGAAATTTAGACTGATCTGACATTAGGAAAAAATTGCTTAGATAGCAATGCCATAACTGAAACCAAAACATAGGTATTATATTGGGAAAATATTTGTAACACACACACAAAAGGATAATATGCCTAACATACAAAAGGCCTCAATCACAGAAGAACAAATATCGAGAAAGAGTGACAGAGAAAAATGATAGAAGATTTTAGTATCAGACTGAGAAGTACAAATGACCTTGAAACATGAAATAAAAAAAAATGTTTAGACTTATTAGTTAAAAATTCAACTAGATTAAAATCAAAGCCACGCTTCATCCCTCAAAAAGGCAGACAATGAAAAGTACGGTTTCCTGTGGCATGGGGTTACAGGACAACATGCGTAAGCATGGCAATTTAAGAGAGGCCTACTCTTTGGTCCAGTAATCCTACTTTGAAGAATCTACTTAGTGGAAGCCATTTTTTTTTTCCTGAAATTAGTAAAGTTTATAGTGCAATCAGACACACATTCACACATATCTGTGTATAGGATTCTGTGCAAAGATCCTTACTACGGCATGGTTCGTTGTGGCAAAAATTTGTTCATGTCTAACACAGGGTGGACAATTTAGTTGGCTAAACTTTGTGCATCTCTACTGTACAATATTTTGAAAATAAAAAAAGAATGATATCATTTTAGAAACATTCAATGGGAAAAATGTTTCTGATTTACTGTCATTAAAATTCAAGGGTGGGTGTAGAGTCTGAACACGTATTTGAAAAGCGACCAAAATAAGTAGTTGGTGAGTGCATACACATTTGAGGGCACTACAAAACAGGGAGGGAGCAAACCTATTTCCTGCCAGGATGTAACCTGGAGGTTTGCAGTAGGTGGGGTGGGGAAGTCATGCATCCACCTTCTCACTGCAGGTGACATGGGTGGTGTACTAACTTCTCTGTTGAATCAACAGGCTAAAATTCAAGAACTCGTATTGCAGCACGGCAAGTTAAGCCACCACAAAGTTGCCAGTATTTGGTGCAAGTGCCCGCTGGTTGGCTTCCAATCCAGCTCCCTGATGATGCACTTAGGAAAGCAGCAGAAACGCATCAAGCATGTGGGACCTGCCACCCATGTGGTTGATCAGACAAGACCACGAGAAGATCCCTGGCTCTGACGCATGCCTGTATCAGCTCTGGCTGCCACCGCCATTTGGAATGTGAATTAGTCGACGGAAGAGTCTCTTTATACATGCATACCTGTGCTTCTCAAACAAATAAATAAATAGAACATGTTTTAAATATTTATTTATCTTTATTGGAAAGGCAGAGTCCAGAGAGGAGAGACAGAAAGATCTTTCATCTGCTGGTTCGCTCCCCAAGTGATTGCAACAGCCAGAGCTGAGCTGGTCTGAGACCACAAGCCAGAAGCTTCTTCCAGGTCTCCCATGAATCAGTGGCCATATGGGATCCTGGTGCTTGCAAGGCAAGAACTTAGCCACTGAGCCATTGTACCAGATCTGAATAATTAAATGTATTAAAAATGATAAGATCAAGTAAAATTCAGGTTACAAGGAAGTATCATAAGGAAAGATAAAAGCTGAGTAAGGTTTTACAATTGTAATTTCATTGGAAATTATCTTTTTCTTTTATTTTTCATCTTTTTAAAATCTCATAGGGAATCTATGAATGCATTTGTTTTGTAAAAATCCAAAATATAATTTCCTGTCATTATATCACAATCTGCATTTGTCTAAAAAGTGACCATTATTAATATGCTAACATTCGTCCTGAAATTTCTTTTGCATTTGGATACTATTTTATGCACTCATTAAAAATTAAAAATCTGGGCCCAACACGATAGTCTAGTGGCCAAAGTCCTCGCCTTGCACACATCAAGATCCCATATAGGTGCTAGTTCGTATCTTGGCTGCCCCACTTCACCACCCAGCTCCCTGCTTTTGTGGCCTGGGAAAGCAGTCAAGGACACTCCAAAGTCTTGGGACCTTGTACCCTCTTGGGAGACCCGGAAGAGTCTCCTGGCTCCTGGCTTTGGATCGGCGCAGCTCCAGCCATTGTGGTCATTTGGGGAGTGAGTCAGTGGGCAAAAGATCTCTGTCTCTCCTCCTCTCTGTATATCTGACTTTCCAGTAAAATAAATAATTCTACAAATATATAACTATAAAACAGGCATTGTTCTCCAGAACAGTATTCCACAGTATGCTGGTAACATAACTGACTTGACTCCTTGTGTGAACGTTTAAGATGTTCCCAAACTTCTGTTAGTAACAAACAAGGTTTGATGAGGACTCTTGAACCTGTGTGCTTGTATACATGCTCAAATACTAAATGACCCGAAGTGAGATTGTTCTGTGGTGTTATATGTACATTTGAAATCATAACTGATATTGACACCCAGCTCTTGAATAGGATATACTACTTGTGTTTACTATTTAAAGATTTATTTATTTATTGGAAAAGGAGAGACAGCTATCTTCCATCTGCTGGTTTGCCTTCTGAAATGATCGCAATGGCCAGTTCTAAGTTAGGCCACAGCCAGGAGCCTGCATTCTGTCTGGGTCGCCCATGTGGATGGTCAGAACTTTAAAGATTTGGGCCGTCTTCCACTGCTTTCTCAGGCAGGCCAGCAGGGAGGGCAGTAGCAGGGAGCTGCGCTGGAGGTTGAGCAGCAGAAGTGGGTATCCCATTTGATAACCACTGTCATGATCTGTGTACTTATTTGTATTCTTATGAGTCCCAACCAATGACATTATCAAATATTTAGCTTCTCGCCAGCCCAACAGATTAATAACCACCACCACAATGAAAAGCCAGTTCAACTGTATGTTGAACTACACAGCTTGTGCCTCTGAGAACTCCTAGCAAACTGAAGGATCTTGGGCAATTTCAGTTTCCTGGCCTGTGATTTTCTCCCCAGTAGCTTTTCATTTACAGGGTTGAGTTTACTTGTATTGCTTTTTTAGTATCCAGTCTGTGTTTTGATATGTACAATGGAAATACCATTTCTGAATGCACCACTCACCTTTAGCTTTACTTTGGTGTTTATTTATTGGGACTTGGAATAATTTTCATATTCAAAACGTGCTTATTGCGTATTTTCAAATATATGACACCGGATATGGTGGCACCAGTTGCCTTTTGTTTTTTCTTGCAGCGTGCTTCCTGTATTTCTTTGATAAGACTGACAAAGGTTCTCCTTTTTCACTACCAGATCTTGTACTTTTAAAATTATTATTTCATAATAGTATCTAAAAAATTACTTTCTTCCAGGGACTTTCCTGGTTTTATGGTGTGACTCTCATTTCTTCTCTCTTTATAATACACTTCTTAAATGCATGCTTTCATTTATTCCCCGTGTTGGATAGGATCCCTGAACGACCATGGAAACCACTCTCTTGGAACTGAATGTGCTCCCCCTGGAGGCCCGTGTGCTCTGCATTGGAGCCTGTGTGCTCTGCCCTGGAGCCCGTGTGCTCTGCGCTGGAGCCTGTGTGCTCTGCATTGGAGCCTGTGCGCTCTGAATTGGAGCCTGTGTGCTCTGCACTGGAGCCCCTGTGCTCTGCATTGGAGCCCCTGTGCTTTGCATTGGAGCCCCTGTGCTCTGCACTGGAGCCTGTGTGCTCCCCCTGGTGGCCTCTGTGCTCTGCATTGCAGCCGCAGGAGGCTTGGATGCTATGCTGCCCCTCTTGCCCAGCACTCACCGTCCCCTGAGGCTTTCCGCCTTTGCGCCTGCTCTTCTCGCGCGGATCTCTTCTCTTTACGCCTCTGTCGCAGGGCTGTTTTAGGATCAGTAATCCAGGCTTGGTAGACAAACTGAAGAGACAAAGAGAAATCAACTTCCGGCCTTTGGATAATTGGGCATTAAAAAAAAGGGGGACCTACACCAGCCTTCCTTTCTTGGGGAACAAGAGCTCCCTGTCTCCCACCTGAAGCCACTGAGTGAATCTGTACTAGTTTCCTCATCCTGAGATTGAAAACTGGTGTTGCAGGAATAGATTTGTTCAGCTTTACTGAAGACCACAACATGAACTTGGCTATGTGTAAACTATTGGTTGTCCTTTCTCCCAAATCCAGCCATCATTTGCGTTACTTAGTTTCTGGTTTTCTCACACTACACAAGCTGGTAATAAGCTGAATACCTCCGTAAGCCTCCATGGAGCAGCTGGTCAGCTCCGTAAGCATCCATGGAGCAGCTGGTCAGCTCCGTAAGCATCCATGGAGCAGCTGGTCAGCTCCGTGAGCATCCATGGAGCAACTGGTCAGCTCCGTGAGCATCCATGGAGCAGCTGGACACCTCCCTAAGGATCCATGGAGCAGCTGGTCACCTCCCTAAGCATCTATGAGCAGTTTCTGTCATTACACCTAAATGCTGCATCCAAAACCAAGGAACATCTTAACAATCCCACTTACATTAGGAAACTAGTGTTTGCATGTTCAGTACTCTCCTTGGCGAGTAACAGCTGTTACCAGCAGCGTGAGAAATGATTTTGTGTATTAACAAGTACACTGAGAAAAAAAACAATGACATTAAGATCCAAGAGTTGTTTCCAGAATAGTACGGAAGGAAAGCTGCAGTGAAAATGGTTGCCTTTTGTCCATTGCATTCAAGAGCTGAACACAGTCGCAGGAATAGATTATAACCGATAACCAGGAAAATACAATTTGGAGCAGTTTGCCCATCGGAAGCCTCCCAAGTCATGCAGAAGGAACAAAAAGATGACCTTGATCTACAGTCAGCGGCCAGGAACCCCGAAAGCCAAGCAGGCATGCTCTACATGCACCCCAAACACCCCAGGTCTCAGGGAAGCTGGGTTTTCGCTCGATGCTATGGTTTCACAATGTTTGGTGGGGCGTCTGGGAAACTCAGGCATTTTCATTTCTCTCTATATGATTTTCAGATTTCTGAAATCTTTTCAAAACACCACATAAGGAAGACATTGGTATTGTGGTGCCAGTAAAAAAAAAATAAATAAAAGATGGATTCAACTTCTTCCAAATATGGAGGTGTGGAGGCATCAGCTTACTAAGAATATGTCTTTAAGTGACAGAAATTTGAACTGCATGGGCCATGAAAGCAAATGCAACATATTCATTATTTCTGAGTAATGAAGCTAGGAGGAAAAGAAAACTTGTCTTATTTTATGCCAAAACAGGAGAAGGTAAGCTGGAATTTGAAGGATAGGCACCAAATGAAGATGTTTATGTTCATGAGGGAAGTCCATCAGGAATATCTCTGAGATTTAGTGCACTGGTAGGCAACTGGCTTCAGTGCAGAATGGGTGATTTTAAAAGAAGCTGAGCTACTACACCTAAGAACTGTCCAGTGTAACAGAAACTGATGGTAATAGTTACTATTTTATGGTTAAGTGTTATCACACGATTACTTTTATATAAAGCAAGAATCCCCCAAAGAGCAAATTTTCTTAAAAACTAAGATGTGTGACTATAGAGCAGGCACACACCATCGTGGGAATTCTTTTGTTCTGAAGAAATGGGAAAGAGGCAGAGAGGATGGGTGAGGGGGGAGGCCCACGGGCGGGAGTGAAGGAAGTTCCCAGGGCAGGTGCCACCGACACCGAGGGATGGAGAGGACAGGCTGGCCACACACACCACCTCCAAATGCTGGGCCTGCCAGGGCTGTCTAGGGGGCAGGAAAATGGAGAACACGGAACTCAGGGGATGCAGGGGACACACGACAACTTCTTATTTGCAGGGAAATCACGTTATCGATGAAGTTTTGAAATACATTTTACAGTTTCAGGGACATGTGTGAAGACTGAGGGTGATTTGGTCTGTCTGTGTATCTCAGGAAACACATTTACAACCAAGGAGGAAGGGTACACATCCCAGTCCCTGCTGAACCAAGGAGCAGGAGGGCTTGTTCAACTTCCAGGCTTCTGCTTGGTGCCTGTGAGAATCATTCGCGTCGGCAGGTCTCTATGGAGTCACACACAAACATCACCCAACTCCAGCAGGAAGGCATCCGGGGCTGGATTGAAGGGGACTGCTGTGTGTTCTCCAAAAGGCTGAAGATGGCACTAGCATCTTCAATCGGTGTTAAGAGATGCTGTCTTAAATTTATTCATATCTGTTAGAATAAGCGGGATTCATTTTGCTGAAAATTTATTATGCAAAAATACATTTTTCCCCTTTAAAACAAAATGAGCTTTTTAAAAACTGCAACTGGCACAATTTCACATTTGTCCTTTTCTTCCCCCTAAAACATATTTATATATTTGACAAAGAGAGAGAGAGGAGAGAGAGAGAGAGAGTCTTGCTATCTGCTGGTTTACTTTCTAAATGACCCCATCAGCCAAATCTGGGCCAGGAAGAAGCCAGGAGCCAGGAGTGCCATCCTAGACAGGTGCCACTCCTAGACGGGTGGCCCCACCTCTGCTGGCTTCCCAGGTGCACTAGCAGGAAGCTGGCTGGGAAGCAGAGCAGCCAGGGCTTGAGTCAACACTCCGATATGGGATGCCAGTACTACAAGTGGGCACTTGAGTGGGCCTAAGCCATTGTGCCACAATGCTGGCACCTGATGGCTGTCCTTTAATTCAGGTGTGACACAGGGTCTTTATCTGCAAATTAACTTAACATCAAGCATTGTTCCACCGTCATCTTCCACTTATGTATGAACTGAGTCCTATGAGCAGTCTCACTAGACCTGAATCAGAACCTACATTTCTGTAAGACCCCAGGTAAACCAGGAGACCTGCCAGGCTCTGAAACCCTCCAACCTGATTTCTCAACACCTGAGAACAAAGACCTGTCCCTGACTGAGTTCAAAACAGTTTTCTGTAAAATTCAAGGATGGAGAGTTCTTGTTTATGATTTTCAATAACGAAGCAAAGCGACTGCGTGTAGGTGGCTGAATACTTTCAAATGTGCATTAGATGAACTGAACAAAAACTTATAAGACTACCAGTAACCCTGTGGGAGTGAGGAACTGCATAGACTGTCCACAGCAGAACAGTCTGGAAAGAATAGGTACTGCTTTCAGACCCCATTTAGGAAGGTGGAGACTGGAAAGAAGCCAAAATAGAGATGGGGCAACAGGAGTCTTTCATTAGCTTGTCCACAATTTTACCAGCTTTCTGAGAAATTTTGGTGTAGTTTTTATTCATCATAAGTAATGCATGCAACCAGTCGTGACCCTTAGAGAGAAAGAGAGAGACGGAGAGAGAGACAGAAATGATACTTAGGCAAAATGATGAAGACAGAAAGTGTGAGGGAACTTGAAAAAGTGCATGGGAAATGGTACTAAATATGGCTTATTTTGGTTGAAAGAAAAATGAATCCATATATCTTTTTCCGTAATACACATTTTCCATGAACTTTTTGAAGGCCTCCTCAATGATGAAGTTTCTGCATTTTCTTTTTCTACTTTTCGATAATCTCTGGTGTCCGCTTAAAAGACAGAAATCAATTAAAAAGAGATTTGGCTCTCAGAACTCTTGTTTGGGAAACTTTTGCCAATCGTTTACAACCTCATAATACCTCATGATGTGATGTGTAGAACAGAGAAAATGCAGACCCGGGGCACAGTTGGTCTCAAGTTGTAAGGAGCGGAGAGTCACACGCTACATGTCAGTAAATCATCAAATACCTTTGCAGCTCTGATTAAATACTGAAGAATAGTTTTGGGAAGTTTAATGACAGACTTTGGCAAGGCTAAAATGGCTGATGCAAACTTCCCAATAGCTCTCTATAAAGAAGGACAAAGCAAGAGTAATTAGTAGAAAAAAAAATAATAAAATTGTAAGTCAATAGATGATGTCAGTATGAGTTGGTATCTGCAGTTACAACAGGTTAAAATGTGCTGGTCATTGACGCTAGGATAAAGGGTACTCTGGGACGAAGTCAGGAAGAAAGAAGACAGTCACTCATCAAACACAGCCAAGAAGGTCAGGTTCACTGCTTGGACACACGACGAGTGGTGTTCACAATAAAATCCACTAGTGTAAAAATGAGCAGGTTAAATCGTTAGTGTTAGACAAACCAGCACCCATGCACGCAAACACGGTCACTAGGGAACCACGGGGCCAGTAAGAAACCATCAGACCAAAATGTCTCTAGGAATGACTGAGTTTTTCAACTTCGTGGGACAAGACGGGAGTAGACCGATGGCACGGATTGGGAAGGCCTTGCCTATAAGCTGACTTTGGCCTTGTCATTCCTTGTGCCTTTAATATAGCCAATGGGAAATAAAAGCGCCAACATGTGGTTCACAGGAGAAACATACAGCCCATGCTTTCATCCTGCGTGTAATCTTTAACCAGCGTTGCTTACACATTCCCCGAGGACACTGCCTGAGGCTGATGAGCTGCGGTGGGGAAGGAGAGTGCCAGGAGCAGACAGCTCAGAACCGAGCTGGGTATGTTTTAGGCTCCTGTCAGTGAATTCTCAAGGCTTTAGCAATAAACATGCTGCTGATTTTCAAAACTTTGAAGCAACATTTAATCATCATTTGCATCAAAATGAGGCAGATGCTGCATTTCATTTTAATCTACATAATGCAAACATGTCTATTGCGACACCCCAAAGCTTTCAATAAAAATACGAAGCTCTTGCCACTAAAAGACATTATTTTAATCGAAGTAAACAAGTTCAGATGTGGGTCAGTGGCCTCTGAGAGCTAACACGTGTGAGTGCTGGACAAGAGACCTCGGCCGGCCGTTAAGACTAGTCAGGACACAAACCCGTCCGAACCAGAGAAGAACATAATTTTTCTGAATCCCAAGATTACCTGGAATGCTGACTTCCGTGGAGGTTCTTCATCTTCCTTTTTCAGTTCTTCCTCTTCCTCTTCTTCACTATCCGTTTCAAACAAATAATAATCTCCACTCCTGACCACTAAGTAAAACAAAATATTTGCTTATTCCTTTGAAAGAAGCATGAGATCAACGGGGGGCTTGCTAATAAAATGCCCCCTAATGAAATACATATTGTTTACACAAAGATCACAGCGGAGTAGTTGGCGGGTGGAAAAAAAAAATCAAGAATCAATAGGACCCATTTTAGGATATTACTAAATGGTGTTGGCACGATTGGGTCCACAGAGCATGAAGCCTTGTCTTAGGTCATGAAAGAGAATTGGCCACCATGGACTTGACCTTTTTGTTGTTGTTCCTTGCTTCACTGTAAATTTTCAGATGTATCAGATAAACTCCACAGTGACTAGTTTTGCTACCACAAGGGCCAAAATAACTGAAAGATTGTTTCACAATTCAGCAATGCTGATCTTTTAAACAAGGCCAAAGTGAAGTGGAGGATTTGGCACGGTCTGAATGGGTCCCAACTTTTTCATGGATAAATCCATCAGGGTGATTCAGGACCAAGGTCAGGGCTACCAACCTTCTACTTCACTTTATACTGTGCAGACCTGGCTCCCCACATGGAACACAAGAGACATGACATCAATGACAAGACACATGAAAGAGTTGAACAAAAAAGGAAACACACACACGGCCACGAGGACGATACGGTCAGGTAATATTAAAAGCAAAATACAACAAAACATGGCAATGACAAACACACCGCTGCTCTGGCTGCATCTACATGTAGCTATGGAACAAGAAGGAGGAATGTAACAAAGCTGCATGTGGCTTAGCACTGTGAGACTTCTGGTCAACCAGTGGCTCTCCACTCGCTCATGAAATCCGAGGAGAGTTCTGCAGACCACAAGACACGCAGTGCAATGGTACAGATTGCCTATGCCTTGTCTGCTGCTTTCCCTGGAAGAATGTATTGCCTGTGTCAATTGGGAATCCAGAGTGAAAGAAATTTCAGAAGTTCAATCACGGTCTGTTTCCTCATTGTTTCGGCAGAAAACAGAGACCCAGCGTGTACTCTGATGTGACGGGAACTGTACCATTGTTTAAGGAAACATCGTCAGACATTCAAAATCATATTTGGACTGGCAAATGATGAGGCATCTTTTGGGTAACAGGATGTGACATCTTAAATTATCTTTTGGATTCTCACGTTAAAACAGGAAACCTTGGCTTGTTTAGTTAGTTGCTTGGCTATTATTAAACATGATAAAAAAAATTAAGTAATTTTGCCCACGATTTTAGACAAATTGGAAGTGTCCATTCATGAAGATGCAGAGTAATGAATTGGGCCTTATATCCTTGAACAGAAACACTGTAATTTGTTATTTCTGTTTTGATGAAAAAAACAAAACAAAACAGGCCCAGAGTACTGGGTCCAGGCCTGAGGAAAGAATGCAATACAGCATAGGGTAGAATAAGCGAGAACAAACCAAAGTTAACAGCATTACATTTGATAGTGAGGATGACCATAAAAGTAATGCCTTCACGGAAGCTAAGACATTTGCGACAAAGTCATGTGGGTTCTATGTGGTATAATTATCTGTAAAAAAACCACAGAGCAGTAACATAATAGCACATTCTACCCTCATTATAAGCCCTAAAATCAACAGTAGCTTAAGTGGCATTCAATCATACCTTCTATAGCTCACGTGCTTGAACCCAGTTTTCACATCAACACTGATACTAGCATTGGAAGCGTCACCAATCTACAGGTGAGCAAATGGAGTTTGCACATTGAAAAAAGGAACTTATCAAAAGATGTCTCATTTCTTTAGCACATAGTGTCAAGATAAAAGTAAGACACAACAGTGGTGGAGCAGCTCTGCTGATGTTTGCGATGGAGGCCTGCCTCTAGCCTGTGTCCATTTACATGCTGTGAATGTTGAAGTGATGCTGAAATACATTCACTTCTAAATGCCACCTTGTGCATCCTCAGAAACTTGGCTCTTCACTTCAAACAGCTGCTGACAAAGCATGGCTCGGCTGGACTGCTAGAGGAGCGTACTGAACGGAAGGTATCATTGAACAGCAATAATGCAAGCGTATGTGCGTACGTAGGAATGGAAGGAGGAGATTTAGTGCCTATAAGTCAGGCTACTATCTTTGCTGCTTTTCACCAGTAATATCAACGACATAATAACATGATTGTGATGTCAACAGATGCACACATGGGTTGAACAACTGCACTTGATTTTTATACCCAGCATCTCCAAGAAATCTGTTGAAAACCTACTCACTCAAAAACAATAAGACATTAACAAAATATTCCCAGCTCTAAAGATCGGCTCTGGAGCTCACCATACGTCTCCTTTCATTCCTCAACATCTCGTAAAAATTCATTTTGCAGAAAAAAAATGTAATATTATAGTCAGGATATGATTCCAAACCATGAATTACACACATTTCTGCATTATTGCATCATAAGGTATTGTAACAAGGCATATTTACTTTAATACCAGTCTTCAAAAATTTAATATAATGAGGGTGAAATGAGTAAGAAAAATCTAACATCAATAATATTCACAAATAGTTCTTTATGTTATTACCAACTTGTCATCAAAGACCATATCCAATTCCTTGAAAAAATGCAATGTTTCAAAAAGGAAGGACAACCACCATGATTGCAATGGGAATTTTTTCCAGGTAAAATACAAAACATCAAATACAACATGATTTTGAAATGGATAGGTCACTTTAAACTAGCAAAGGACCTTTACCAACAGAAAAAGGCATAGTTTCCTTGTGACTTGATAGAACCAGGCAGCCAGTGCACCTCATTGTCAGGTTGTTAGTTTGATTTATATCATAAACAATAAACCCAGGAGTGAAACTGAATTTCAACTTGAATTTTTGTCCTGGGAAGTGGACAGAGATGTCAATCAAAGTCTTATTAACTCATGGGTTTGAGTTTATTTTCGTCATAATGCTAGCCTTCACTACTGGAAATTGAACTGAATTATATCCAGTTACCGTGCAAATCTAAAATACTGTTTCACTTAACTGCCTTATCAATTTCAGAAAACATTAAGAGTTAGGGCTAAATAGCAGTTTATTTTCTCGTGATTCAGAATCTCCCACTGTGAGAATCCACCTGGCTGAGTGATGGCAGGCATCTTGGTGAGATGTCACACCTGAGCAGGTAGCCTACAGTTACAGAGACACGGGATCAGAGGCAAAACACAAGACATTACAAGTCATTTGAAAAACAATTCTTATTCTGTAGTCTACGAAATTCAAAGGGGGCTAGATTGAAATGGGATACTGCATTATAACGTCATCACCTAGCCATGGTGACATTTCTTGTACTAATAGGCAAAGCAAACAGAGACACTGAGTTCCATCAGGAACCAGATCATGCTTTGTGTGAATGTCAAGCTTTGTTTCTCACAATTGTTTCTCAGCTTGGTTCTTCCTGATCATCAGAGAGAAGAAGTCACGCTAGACACAAAGATTTGCACTATATTTTAGAGACTTTTTTTTTATGCTTGGGGAGGAGATAAGGTGCAAACATGATTTCTTATCTTGATATATAATGACTTGCCAAAACACCTTCAATACAAGCAAACAAAAGAAAAATGAGCCAACTCAAAGTTGTGGCCTTGAAGGGAAGGGATGCTCACTGCACTTATACGGACAGATCCTTTAGGACAACCCTCCTGGATCTGAGTGGGAGAAGCCCAAACTGAAGGTGGAAATGTTTTCAGCAATAAAACAAAAGTGTTAGTGGAGCTCTAAACCTCAGAATGGAATACAGTGATAATTCTTCTCCCCTTTCTTCATCCATCCTGAGGAGTTCATAAGCCATGTTCTTGATTGACATCTACCAGTAGGGTTATCAAATTGGTTTCTCTGCAAGAATCAGTTCCTGGGACCCAGAGACCCACGGACATTGCAATTTTCCTACACTCCAACCCCTCTATCAAGTCACAAGGGTCAAACCATGCATGGGACACACAGGTCATGGGAGTGCCTGAATTCTGGTCAAGGATATAAGGGTTAAAGTCGATGAGATTGTAAGAGGATCGAGGAAACCTACTGGAAGCATGATCAACCCAAGGCCGCCACCACTGCTTTTTTTTGCCCTTGGCTTTCTGTTTGTCTGCTTCTCCTAAAATGAAATATGTCCAAATATTAATTCTTATAAAGCGAGAGAACAAATTTTGAAAACCACGCTTTAACAACTCAATTTAAGTCCAAATAAATTGCTACAAGTACATCAGAGGTCAGGAGAAGGAACTATATTGAACTTGAAAAGCACACCGGTATTAACAGTCAATTTCGAAGTGCTAACTCTTCTCACAGTATGCTGTGCCTTCAGTTTCTTCTTAGAGACTGAGTGTATATAAAGCAATCGAAAAATGAAGGGACTACCTGACCAAAAAGCATCTCATACTGAATTAACAGAAAAGAAGTATTGCTCAAACTTTATAGACCACGTAGGCGCGAATTGCTGACTGACATTCATTGATTATAGTAATTAGAAAATTTTCTTGTCATTGTTTTAATACTTGGTTAGAAAATACAAATTTATGGGTGATGAACAAATACTATATTTAGAGAAAACATCAAACATGGTTTATCTCTTTTAAAGGGAAAAGCACGTAAGCTTCTTCTAAACTTCCATTGTGTATAACAATTCTACAATTACACAGTCTATGCATAGACTGAATTTCTCCACTAAAACAGGGGAAAATGGAAGATCTCAGCTACACAGATCAGGCACTACATAAAATACACATCACTCCACTGTCATAAACATTTACAGAAATCACATATCCAAAATATCCTCTCCTTAAGCAAACACTCTGAGAAAAATCATGTCAAGTTTCTTAAAAAAAAAAAGAAGTGAGTCAAAACGAGATGACATGTTTCATATACCTGTCTTGCTGAAGCCTGGCTTTTTATAAAGTGACTGAGTCACTAAAAACGTGCTTGATGAAACAACATACATCTGTCACTCGTAACGGGAAAGGGAACCTCACTAAGTTAAAAGGAAACACAGGGCTAATATTGCAGGATGGAGAGGCATGCTATGTTACAGTCCTTCCCAACATCATGCTGTTTTTCACTGTACTCGAGTAAGTGGAAAACACCTTAACGTACTTTCATCATCTTCTTCAGAGAGCTTTTGGATGTCCTGGCCTTCCCCCGATTCCTGGGTCAAGCTCAGCATCCTCTCCTTACCCTTTTTGTATTTCTGTTGCCTGGCCTTTATGCGATCCATCCTGTAAGACAAAATAGCATCAGAGAGAAGGGCACATTTGCAGTAGTCACACAGTCGTATGTGGATGGATACCGTAGCTACAGAACTAAACATGGACGAAGAATTCCAATGTACTTTGTAACACATGAGAATTAAAAAGACATAAGACTCGTGTCTTACGTAGCCAGTCTGAATGTAGCTTATTATGAAGAATAAGTACCTCCCCTGTAGCTGATGAGCAGCTCAGACCAGACCAGATCACACGTGTAGCTCAGGTCCGGCAGTGGGCCAGCCTGCACCAGTTCATAACACCTACTGGTAGGTCTGAGAACCAGGATGGGGTGCAGCATAGGCTGGGTCTGGCCATATCACCAGCCAGTTCACATTAGGGCTAGGAATAGGGGTTGACTGTGCCGGGTTGGGTGGCAGAACCCACCAGCACGAGCTGGAATGGGAGCAGATCGGGCCAAGCTAGGCTACAATACCAGTCTGCAAATGCTGAGGTGAGTCAGACCATGCCAGACTGGACTGCAGCACCCAACAGCACACACAAGATGAGAGGAGGTGTGTGAATCTGGTAGGGGAGTAGTGGGGACTCCTTTGCAGGGTCACTGCCCCTGATGGTGAGCATGAGAGCTGGGACTGGGGGCAGACCAAGGTGCGCAGGGTTACAGCACCTGTTGACCTGCATGTCAGCTGGGTTAGGGGACAGAGTGAGGCTAGGCTAACTGATTGTATCCACTGGTGCAGGCATGAGCTGAAGTAAGGGAAGGAGAGTTGGGCTTTGCTGCAGCAGCAGCTGGTAAGTTGGGACTAGGGGCAAGTCCTGTCTAGCTAGACTGCAGAACCAACTGGAGAGTGCAAGATCTGGGGTAGGGAATTGGTCCATTGGGGAGGCTATGAGTACCTCTCTGATGGGTTGCAACTCTCACTGGTGAGCATGGGAACCAGGACTGGGGTTGGGCCTGGATGGACAGGTGGCATCCACTGGTATGGGTGTGGACTAGAGGGTGGAGTCAGTTGGATTGAATTAGGCTTCAGTGTCCAATGATGTGTATGAGAGCTGAATGGGATATGGGACAGACTTGACCCGTCCACTGCACACTCTGGAAGGCACAGAAACCAGAGCTGGGGACTGGTCCAGTGGGGGTTATTGAGGGTTGCTCTGACTGGGCTACAGCTTCCCTCTCCCTCCCCAGTGTATGTGAGAGCTGAACGTGTGGTGGGCAGGGCAGGGCTGGACTGCAGCACCTGTTGGTTTGCAGAGGAAGCAGGGCAGAACAAATCGATCAACTGCTCCACTGAAACTTGACAGCAAACTTCTGGGTGAATGGAGAATCTGAGACAGACTATGTCAGCCAATTGATCTCAGAAGAATTTCCTCATCCTTGGAGCAGTGGTATCAACAGCATCTAAGAACTATCAAAACCACTTGAGTGGAACTCTCAAAGCATGCTACACAACAAGGACCCTGAGATGATATCAGGTACTGGGGAGGCTGGGGATGCTCTCTCACTGTATCCTCCACTCCTCCAGATACAGGAAGAAGAAAAAGGAAATTTGTAGACAATGGTCTTGCCCACTTTCATCTAATCCTTGACCTTTCCCGCCCTAATCAACTATGTAAATATCATCCAAAAATTAAAAAAAAATTGCAATAATAATAATAATAGTAAAGAACTATAAGTGCTTTATTACGTGAGTTTTGTGTTCTTAAATAAATAGAAAAAGAGAGAACATGTTTTAAATGTCAATCCAAATTTGATATTCCTCTAGATCTGATCTGGATGGCTCGAAAGAGCAATAGTAGCAACCAGTCACACTGCATTTGCATTATATTTTGTATGTAGATTTACACCTTTGCAAAGGTGGTAAAACTATAGTACTCAAATCTCTACTAAGAAATATTTCTGCTTGGGGTAGAAGGCTTGGGATGGAGGTTAGTAAGGAATGATGAGGCTGCCCTAGGGAACTGGAATGTTCCTGACAAGCAGGTGAACTGCATTAGCTTGGGGTTGAAGTTTTGAATTCCATAGCTATTCGATTGTAACCCTGCTTTCCGCATATGACATGTCACCAGTTCTTAGAGGCTGTATTCACTCCTGGAAATTTTACTCTGAGAAAACTCCTTTCGATGAAATTTTCAAATTTCTGTGATGGCATCCATTTATGCCTCACTCCATCCCGAATGGTGCGGTGGGAAAAAGTTTTGAACTGAATATAAGGAACATGACTTTTGCTTCTTTGATCTTAGGATTTATTTATTTATGAAAAAGCAGAGTTAGCAATAGGAAGGAGGGAAGAATGGAGGGAAGGAGGGAAAAAGGAAAGGAGAGAGGGAAAAATAGCGATGCAAGGGAGGGAGGGAAACAGAATTTCCCATTTGCTGGTTCACTTCCTAAATGGCAGCAATGAATGGAGCTGGGCCTATGTGAAGCTCAGCCAGGAACTTCTTCCAAGTCTCCCATGTGGGCGCAGGGCCCAGGGATTCGGGCCATCCTCTGCTGCTTTCTCAGGCACATTTTCAGGGAGTTGTACTGGAAGTGGGGCAGAAGGGACTCCAATCGGCACCCATTGGGATGCTGGCGACACAGGTAGCAGCTTAACCCCGTATGCCACAGCACAGCCCTTCCACCGTTTTCATTTGTTTTCTTTGTGAGAGTTTACTTACTGTTTGAAAGTGAGAGTTACACAGAGAGTGAGAGAGAGAGAGAGAGAGAGAGAGAAGGTGAGGGAAAGGCACACCACAAGAGATCTTTCATCTGCTGGCTTACTCCCCAGACGGACTCAACAGCAGTTCCCGAACCAGGCCCACGCTAGGAAACCAGACTTCATCTGAGTCTCCCATGCAAACGGCAGAGACCAAAAGATTGGGTCCATCTTTTGCTGCTCTCCCCAGGGTATTAGCCGAGAGCTGGATCAGAAGCAGAACAAGTAGGACACCAACAGGTGCCCCTATGGGATGCTGGCATCACCGCCAGCAGTTTTATCCAAAACAGAACAATACCAGTCCCTTTTTTCCACTTTTTAATAGAAAGCCTTTATGAACATTAATTAAGAACCTGAGAGAAATAGAGACTGGGAAAGAGAATGCTTTGATCTACTGGCCTACCTACCGCCCCAAAACTGCTCTGCACAGTTGAGGTTAAGCCAGCCCAAGCAGCTCAGCCTGGGCTGGCAGGGACTCTGCATCACAACCTACTGTTTCCATGGGGGAACCAAGGCAGGAACTTGGAATTGAGCATGCAGCTGAGACTTGAACCCAGATACCTGGTACAGGACACAGGCGCCCAAGGCGGCGTTTTCACCACTGGACCAGATGCCTGCCATGGATTGTATTCTCAGTGCTGTCTCTACTCATATGAGCTTTCCATCCGTTAGTATCAGAGGCTGTCTGTTTCCTCCCAGAGACTGGGTTATAGCATCTCAAAACATGTACCCAAAGTTGGCTCACTTCTATTCCTTTAACTTTCAAAATTTAGCTCAGGTGCCTGAATCTGGGTGAGATCTTGCCTAATTCATGAACTTTTACCAAAATCTAGGAACATAGAGTTATGATCCCTGGTTTAAACACAGGTAATTGTGATTCAGATAAGCTAAATGACCTGTTGAAGGTTCGAGATTAAGTAAGTGAACTAGAAATTTGTCCCCGGTACTATTCAAGATGGTTTCCAATACAATAGTGTCGGAGGTATCTTTCTGCTAAACCACTTCCCTTGGGGCTGTCGCAGTGGCATGTCAGGCTAGTCCTCTGTCTGTGGTGCCAGCATCCCATTTGGGTGCTAGTTCTGGTCCCAGATGCTCCACCTCTTATTCAGCTCCTTGCTTATGGCCTATGAAAGCAGCAGAGAATGGTTCAAGTCTTTGGGTCCTTACACCCATGTGGGAGACATGGAAGAAGCTCCAGGACCCTGACTTCAGACATGCTTAGCTATCATGGTTGTGAAGATGGTAAGTGACCAGTGGGTGGAATCTCTCCTCTTCTCACTCTGTATAATATGTCTTTTAAATTTAAAACAGTAAATAAATAAAGCATTTATTTATTTATTTATTTATTTTTTCTTTTTTTTATTGTTGCTTACATTGTATTATGTAGTACAGTTTTATAGGCGCTGGGGCAGCACAATCAGTAATTGCAAAAACATGGAAGCAACCGAAATGCCCATCAGCAGAAGATTGGATAAGAAAGCTTTGGTTCATCTACTCCATGGAATACTACTCAGCTATTAAAAAAAACAAAATGCAGTTCTTTGTGGCTAAATGGGCACAACTGGAAACTATAATGCTAAGGGAAATGAGCGAATCCCAAAAGGTTAGATACCACATGTTTGCCTTGATTTAATAAATAAAGCATTTAAAAAAACCCAACGTTCATCTTCAGTCTAGCAGGTGAAGCAATCATCCTGACACGAAGGTAAATGCCTGGGTTACTGTGAACACAAATAGGTTTTCCAGGGGTGTGTTGAGCCCCAAGAGCTGAGAGTTGAAATGTAGTCACAGGGATCAGAAAAGAACTAAAGGAGAATGAGCGCAAACAAACAAGAAAGCATTCTTACTGTCTTTTTAGCTGATCCATGGATTTTTTCTCTTCCTCGATTCTTGCCTTGACAGCTTTTACAATTGTGGCCTGGAAAAGTTCAGCCCCTCTAGAGGAAAGTTAGGAACACAGGACAAATTAGTGCTTGTGTTGTTATTCATCGCTTTCCCCTAAAAAACGTGACTCCAAGGAGTTCCTCATGACATGCCCTTCCTGTACACACGGCCAAGCACGTTCTGAAAATATTAACTGAAATCTTCAGGAAATAAGCAGCTAGAATGCTTACATTGTGCCCTGGACTCAGCAGCGTGGAGCCGTCCTGTCTCATCCTGGACTTGAACCATGCCTTTGTTTGATGTATCCACACCGTATACATTACCCACCCATCAGTCATGCAGAAGTTGGCCCCACGATCAGATCGAATGCAGTGGTATGTTTGAATAAGCCTTATTTTACTTAAAAACAACCCCAAAGCAGTTGAATAGTGACATTGGCAATCAGGATATACCAGAGAGAAGCCAGAAAAAGGATCTTTTCAGAGCAAAAGGTGAAAGTTCTTGATTTTGTAAGGAAAAAGCTTAGTCTGTGCTGAGATTGTTAAGATCCATGATTAGAACGAATCTTCTATCTGTGAAATTGTGAAGAGGAATTTAAAAACCTTGTGTTCATTTAGCTCTCACACCCCAAGTGGCAAAAGCTACAGTGTAGAGAGAGCTTCATTAAGCGAGACGTCCTGTGCATGTATAAACGAGGAAAGACGTAGCATACACAGAATCTGTAGCTTCCGGCTTGTTCCGGAAGCTTCCAAGATGGCTCCTGTTGAGGACAGCACCACCGCATCAAGGTTTGGACAACAGACAGTTCCTTTCTAGAATCTGACAGAAGTTTCCTGAACAGGTGTGGGAGTCAGCAAGGTCCCTTCTAGAAGCCATTTCCTAGTGAGTGAACAAGACATAGCCTTTCCTGGGGAGTGAACCAGACACTACAACTTCTGGAAGCCAAGAAGGGAAAATGGTTCATGTTTTCTATGATATCAAAGGCCACAAATGCCTTCAGCCTTGTTCCACAGATTAGACTGCAGCTAAGCATTGTTCACCTGGCCCTATCACGGTCATATTGTGAGGGAAAAAATTCAAAATAAGTGAGTTCAGATTACAGTTCTGCACACTAAGAAGAAACGGGTGTGGGGATGGTGTTTCTGCCAGCAGATCTGGAAAAGGTTGGGCAGAGCTCTTGCTCCATCATCTGTACTTTCAATTTCTCTGTGATTCTCTTCCTCTTTCCCTTCTGTTTCCTTCTCTTCCTCCTTATTTCTCAAGCCAGCTTAAGAATCCCCGCCAATCTTGATTTCTCTCATATCTTCTTTCCTGGGAACCAAGCTGACATAAGCTGCTGAAGATGAAGCCTGGCCTATCCACAACATTGTTCCTCTTCTAGCACCTGTTCCAGACTGCTTGTACTTTCTCAATGTTCAGATGCTGTTACTTGGCAATTGACCTCCCAGAGGACATAAATACCGAGGCACCACGGTACCCAGCTTGCTGCACCTGTTTCCTCCCGCAGACATCCTTCCCTGAAGAGACAGCTGTCTCTCTTGTCTGCAGCCTGTTCTGTGCTCAGGGTCCCTGCCCCATCTACAGCTTGAGGGACCACTGTCCCTCCATTTATGCCAGTTTTCCTACATTTTCAAACTTATCCATTGCTGCTGAATTCTGCTCATAGCACACAGGAACTCATAGCTCAAAGGAACTCAGGGACATGTCACACCTGCCTGCAGACCTGCATCATTGTCTCCCAGCACTTAACTGTCCCCTACAACTTGTGGCTGTTTGACCAGTCAAGGTCAATGATGTTGGTGTCAAATTGTCGGTCTCTTTAGAACATATCTGCTGAACGTCCATGGACAAGCACCCTCCTGGGGCTGCTAGGATAACCTGCTCTTCTGGTTTCCTTTTTCCTTTCTGTTTCAGGCTTTGCGACCACCTTTCCTGCTCTTTCTTCCTTTGCCTGGGACTCTCACGTGACTGTTGCCTGGAATCTTCTTCTCAGACTTCACACTCTTTGCAGTTAACTTCAAGCCCACCTGCTCCAATGCCACATATATGATGGTGGCTCTCAAATGTATTCCAGAACTGTGCACCCAGTGGCTTGCCAGACTTTGCACTGGTTAATTTGTAGACTCACGAGACTCACAATCCTGCCATTGTAGACACATCATCAACTAGATGCTCCACGTTGGAAACTGGTCCTAAGGCCCCCCAGAACACATTCGTGGCCACACTAGCATCACGTCATGCTTTTCTGTCATATCTCCCTTTCTTGGAATCTCCTCTGCAAGTTGCTCTCTTAAATATCTTTCTACTTTTCATATGTTGGTCCTCCTTATATAGCTGACCACTGTAGCAGTTACTTCCCTGTCTCTACCTGCCTTGTGTTAAGATCTATTCTATTCTCCACACCACTAGACTGAGTTTCCTCAAATGCAAAGGCAGTCCACATCACTTTCTTGTTTCAGTGCTTCCTTGCCTTCCTGTAGCATGAAGGAAAAATTTCACAGTCATCCACACAGTTTATTACCCACCCCCATGCGACTGTGGCTTCCTCTTATTATGTCCAGGTTACTCCTGTCACTCACTAGCTTTAAACTAAAGTGCTTCAGCCACTGTGAACTTTCAGGAGAATTTTCCACAGCATCCTGCATCCCTCCTCCTGCTGACCTGCTTCCCTTACTCCTCCACTGGCCACTCTTGCTCATCTTTCCCATGGCAGCCTAGAATGGAAGGTCATGTTCATTCATGCTCCTGCGGATATTACCAGACCCTAACCAGCCTCCACAGCTTCCTGGATGGCTCTTCCCATCACTCTTGCTTTTCCCTCGTTTAGGGAATTTAGTTTATGTAGTCCAAGCGAACTGAGACAAGACTAGGCACACTACAGTGATGGCAAATGCAGTGACTGTGTCCCTGAGCATCCGTGAGCGACAGGAGAGCAGCAGCAGTCATGATGGAGTGGGCAGTGAGTCAGGACATGGGTTATGTTATCTGAGACCTCTGATATGGGTTCAGGACATACTCAATCAGACATGACTTTTCCTTGACACATATGAGCAGTACTCTGAACCAAAGCCACCCCTCTCACTGTAGCATGAAGGACATGCATTTTAAGTAATCATGACAGCTTTGGGGAAAGATGTTAACTTCTTATTATGTTCTGCATCTCTAAGAATGAAATATCTAGGGAAAGTCAATTAAAAAAAACATTTATCTACAAAATTACAAGCTGCCATGTACAAACAAATCAAAGTTATATTAATTGGCTGAGACACTTTGTGCTGCAAATGATGCCCTATGTATTAGAAAATAATGATGATAGTGTATTCCAGGGTCAGTGTTGTGCGCAAGTGGAATTATTGTTTACCTACATAAAGCGGACAGAAAGTGAGTAAGTCCCTTTTCTGTGCCCTCTTCTGAGCCTTATGTAGCTCCCAGGCAGGTCACCAAAGTTGAGGATTGCCTCTGACAAATATATTTTGGTTCATCCTGGCAGCAGAAGGGAAAAGGCCCTGGGGAGGCTGGTATCATGAACACAGATGACGGAGTTCAAGCCACAAGTCCAAGGTTTCATAAGACTGAACCCAATGTTCACCAGAGTCTCAGCACCAGAGTCCAATGGGATCCAGGCAAGGCCTCTGAGATGAGCACAGCTGTCTGGGGGTGACACAGCTGGCCACTGGGCCCCCTCTCAGTTCCTATCTCAATGGCATTACCTTTAAACTAGATTTTTTTTTTTTTGTCCAGCTTTTTCTTTTCTTTTTCCTCTTTCTCTTTAAACAAAAGCTACAAACAAGGGACAAAAACCTTGAAGAAGAATGGTGTCTAAGAGAGAAAAGGGTCGTGTTACAAATTGTGGCAGTGACCCAGGGCAGGGAACCAGATGACACAGGGAAAGAAGGGTAGGCAGAAGGAGGCATTAGAGGGAAGTAGAGATGGCTTAGCGTGTGGCTGGCATGGCACATTGCTTCTCCACACGGACCTGTGCTGCAAGAAATGATCATGTTTTTCTCTATTTTCATCACTTTCTTCTTAAAATAAAGGCATGGAACAAAAGACAGACTTTATTGTAGGTCAATATGCTGGAGTGAGTGACTCCTCATTTGAGACGCTGTCCTGGGAGGTCTCAAAGACTAGAATTTTTGCATTTTCCGCAGTGTCCCATGGTGGGACTTAGCACCACGAACCTTCTCATTGCTGGTCCATCTGAGATCCTGTAGATGTTGCAGGAAAATCTCAAGTTGGTTTTCCTGAAAGGGATTTCCAGTTTCCTTAAGAAAGCTCTCACAGAAAGCACAGTACCCTGCTACTTCAGGTGCTTACCGATAAACCTCCCTGCCATCCTGGGTGGACTCACCTCGACGCCAGGATCTGGGAGGCTTTTATGTCAGCCACGACGTGCAGGAAGTAATAACTCATGAACACTCTCCTTTGCAGTAGGAGGAAGGCAAAGCAGATGCTGTCCCAGATAATTCCCGCTTCCCCACTGGGCAGCTTGCAGGAGGAGTCGTCATCAGCTGTGGTAACAAAGCAGAAACAGAACAAGCGAAAATGAACAGCCATTTCCAGTGCTCTGTCCTAGGCTTGGTGCACAGCGAGGCGTGGGTGTCACACACAAATATGCAACAGCATATTCGAATGCACTGATCCCTTACCGCACTAACTTTTCTGAGTGAAGCCCACCCCCATCGAGTCCAGCCTCAGCCATGAGTCATCTGGCTGACCACACAGGGGAACTCTGACGCCTGTAGGGTACAGGTGGGTTCCTTGGACTGAGAGGCCTTTTGAGTCCCGAAAAATGTCATGGAGAAATAGTACCCTAAGGGCAGGGCAGATGTTCTAATTTGGGGAACATGGCCTACCCAGGGGCAGAATGGTGTATGTGGAAAGAGGCACTGATAGCATGTCTCAACCTACACAGCCCCCATGTTGTTTCATCCTCAGAAAAGCATAGCGTGGGTCAGAGGCCACAGTGTAAGGACACTGTGTCCAAGCAATGTGTGTTCTGGACACTGGGGAAGGCCATGTATGATGCCTTTCTGAGTTCTGGGGCCAGAGGCTGTAGCGTGGGTCAGAGGCCGCAGTGTAAGGGCACTGTGTCCAAGCAATGTGTGTTCTGGACACTGGGGAAGGCCATGTATGATGTCTTTCTGAGTTCTGGGGCCAGAGGCTGTAGCGTGGGTCAGAGGCCGCAGTGTAAGGGCACTGTGTCCAAGCAATGTGTGTTCTGGACACTGGGGAAGGCCATGCATGATGCCTTTCTGAGTTCTGGGGCAAGAGGCCGTAGTGTTGTTGAGACTCCAAAAACTCTGATGCTGCTCCCAGCTGCTTTTCTGAGTTTGAGGTTTCCTGAGCTTCCTGACAAGAGAAGGGCTTAGAAGTCAAGTTACCTTGAAGATCCAAGATCCTAAGTAGGACAACTGGAGGGCTCTTTTAACTTACAAAAAAAAAATTACTCAAGGAACAGCAAGAGAAAAAACAGGAGTTAGCTCCCATCAGCTGGTTCATTTCCCCAAGTGAATGTAATGGGCGATGGGCTGGGCCCGGCTGAAGCCAGGAGTCAGCAGCTCAATCTAGGTCTTTCACAAAGTGTCAGGAACAAAGTCACTACTTCCCATGCTTTGCATTAGCAGGAAGCTGGACTCGGGAACCAGAGCTGGCTATTGAACCCAAGTACTCAGAGGTAGGGCATGGGATGCTTGACCCCAGGTCCAGACTTGCAGTTGCAGATTTAAGGGGGGTTCTGGAATTGTTCCTAATAATTAATTAAAAGTGTCCCTGGAGTTACTACAGCACTATAGCTAATATCCAGACGTGCAGGTGTGTGACGACCCTGAAAGATCCCTGGAGTTGGAGCACTACACGTTATGGACAATAGATTCACAAGGGACCACTGCTGGGATGGCACTGAGTGCTTTGCCCAGTTTTCCAATGAGAACAATGATCCGTCTCTCCATTTGTTTCCTACTTGATTCTCCAATTTTCAGTTCTTACTTACGCATTTTATAGCCTTTGACTGTGCAGGCCAGGCTGAAAGCTTGGATCAACCAGCAGCTGTTTTTCACTAGCGTTCCAATGTACCCACAAGCTCCTATCTGAAAAACAGAAAGGGAAGGCGCATTTGCAAGCTCTGGAACTAGAAACTATATCTTGTGATTTCCAAGGGCACAAGAATCCACAAGGTCCCAGCGCAGTGACCCCAGAAAGTATAAAATGTATGTCCAAATTGAGTCACCATGTCTTCACTATATCAAGAACAACATCAATTCCCAGAGAAAACAGAACCCAGTAAGTAAAGGCAGGGGTCTCATGGTACTTCTGCCTGGAAAGTGGGGCTTCCCAAAGAGAAAATTCTGGATTTTTGTAAGAATGAGCTCTTTGTGATAACAAACGTGTAGCTATTGAACCCCAGGATTTTGATTTTGATAGTTCTTTTCTCACAGATTGGATTATTAAATCTGAATTCTTCCCTAGGTCACCCCAGACACAACTTTAGTCAGGCCCCTGGATTGGCAGTCTCTGCCTCCATGGCTTCAAACACTGCAGATCAGATACTGAGCATGCGTACACGTTCCCTAAACACCACAGGGTATGGACCATGTACACTGCGCTTACAATGCATTTAGGCATGCTAAGTCATCTAGAGATGATTCTAAGTATTTGAGAAGGTCTGAGTCCTGTGCCATTTTGGTATCAACAGAGCCGATCCCCATGGCACCCGAGGGATCAACCACCATGATTTTGAGATGTTTTTGGCCAATTCTCTGGGTACAAAGATCTTCATTGTTTATTGGCCTCTGGTCATCTGGCAACAGTGAGCTAATGGTGGCAGTTGTGTTAAGCTGTATTTAGCCCATAACTGGAGGGGAGGAAACATTTAATTAACATGATCAAGGCAAGCCAACATGTAAAGCTGATGGATGAATTATGTGTGTGTGTGTGTGTCCTGGGGGCAAGAGGCATACGAATCATTAGTATTTTCTCCCAAAACAGTGGCTTCCCGGCATGGATGGGTTCCCCAGCCCCAGGAACAAGCTCTCCAAGTTCATGTTCCCATCCTCTCCCATGCTGCGTTTGTTCATGTTCTTCAAGTTGGGAATTTTGCTCCCCTTTTGTTTCCTGTGGAAAACCTCAATCTCTGATCAAGTCCGATGCTTTCAAATGGCATGTTTATATCATTTCACACTTACCTAATTCTTTCTAGGTAAGAGAAATGCTTTTGCCAATATAGGAAAAGACTCAATGACCGATTCAGTTCATTAAAGGATAGGGTATGGAGTCCCTAAAATGTTGCAATATTTATCATTTACAGACTGCATATTGTGTGTGTGTTCCTGTTTGGCATGTGAATTCCTCGAGGATAAAATTTGTGCACTGTTCATCTCTTGCATATTAACAGAGGTTTATAGAATAGACAAATGAAAGGAGTTGATATCTATGTTTTCCAGGGCCAGTGTGGCTCAGGCTCCAGCAGCAGATCCCTCAACACCAGACTGGCTTTAGAATGAAGTGTCATCATCCTGTAGCCTATTTTCCCTTCTCACACTCTCTCCAAGAACTGTCAGTGCGACTCCGAGTTAAAACAAATTAACTTTACTGGTGATAAACGTGTTGATCAAAGTCACTTTTACTGTCAGCTACAAAAATGAACTTTTCTATGGGCAGCAGATGAAAAATTCAATGTCCTGTTAGCTGAGTTGGCTTTCCAAAGCCATCTGAACACAGCGACGCACGGCCCAAAACAAAGCAAAAGATCCAATGGCTTTCGCAGTTGAGTGGCTTGGTGAGCTCATCTCTGAGTGGCTAGGAGTGGACACGCAGGCTGAACGATCTGCTAGAGCAGGCACTGGAGCTAATATTAAATCAGGGTCAGTGGGGAAATACTGACGCCTCCAGCTCATGAACGGGGGTGTTGTTTGATTTCCTGCAGCACTGAATAAAACGCAAAGGTGTCCTTTCAGCCTAAAGCATCGATACGACTCTGCAAGGTCCCGTGGCAGTGCGTGTCACTGCTCATGCCAGAGGAAAGCTGGGCAGCCGGACAGCTGTGCGTTTCTCCAGTCTTGACTCTAGCTAGGTCCTAATCTGCATATCTGTGTCCAGAGGCAGCAGTGAAGTTGCACTTTCGTGTCCACTTACATCTTACTGGCACATGAATCATTTTTGCCCTCAGCAGCCTTTTCTGTCTCTATTCTTACCCCCACACAGTGATACAGAGAATCATGCTGGCATTATTTTACACTTACAAAATTCTTTCCAGGTGAGAGACACACCTTTATCAATATGGTATAACTGCTGAAAAGATTCAATGACTGATTCAATTTCTCAAAGAGCCATCGCATAATTCATATTATTGCTCTTCAGAAAGGATCAGGTTCTCATGAGTAAAATGCATTTATGCCTGTGGAAACATATCCCTTCATCTGATGGTCTTGAGACAAACAAAAATGATGTTGCTTACTACAGTGCAACACAGAATAACAAGCGGCCACTGGAATTCCCAGTTTGCAGAATTTTATTTGGGCTTTTAAGAGAGCAGAAGCGCAGGCACAAGGCTGTTGATAACCATGGAGTAGATCATGCACTCTCACACAGGAACCACGAACATGTGACATTGCGAGAGCCACTTACCGACAGGATGTTTTTCATGGTGATCACGAAGACGTTGTAGGCGATCAGCCAGTCCCAGTAACGCAGGATGCTCCTGATGGGCTTCAGCAGCAAGTCACCCCCGAAGAGCAGGAAGTAGAAACAGGCCACCAGGTAGCCCATGCAGAAGATGCTGATTCGGGTCGTGCCCGTGATGAAGATGATCGTCAAGACGAACCAGAAGAGGTAGCTGAAGATGACTACTTTGGACATGTCTAAGTAAGACCTGGGAGTTTGAAAATGACATAGGGACAGCAAGCAAAAAATAATCAGGTGATTCTAACGGAAGAAGGGAACAATTTGCCTTCTGCAGTGGACTGCATAAGGACACCACAGAAAGTACATGGGGGAGATGGAATTCAGGTGGAAGGTGGTGGGTGGAGTGTAGTGGAATACCTGGGTTTGATTCCCGGTTCTGGCACCTGATTCCTGCTAATTCAGTCCCTGGGGAGGCATCCCCAAGTTGAATCTCTGCCATCTGCAGGAGATCTGGTCCTGGTGTTGCCCTAAACCCTGACCTACACTCTGCCACTGCAAGCATGTTGGGAGTGAGCCAGCCGGTAAGAACTCTTCCTATCCCTGTTTTTCTCTTACAAAAAGAGACAAGTTTATTCTGGTGCAGCTAAGTTCAAAAGCCATTTCTACAAGGATTTCATAACAAATATGGACAATCCATTCATGGAATTCATAATTTGGTAGCAAAATAAACATCTTCGCATTGCATGTTTCCATCAGCTTTTTGAAGTATCTTTGGATTTGAAAGCACGAAAGATGTTCATGCTGTAAGTTCTGTATTCATCTTACTCATGTCATTGCTAATGGATGAAGAGATAAAGTGTGGAAACATCTTGTCTACTTTGATCAGGATCTCAGCTGGTCCACCCTACCAAAAGCGAGGTTCTCTGCACAAAACTAAAGGTGCTTTTTCTGGTTTTTTTTTTTTTTATGGGAAGCCTAGATAACTGGATGGGAAATTTTTCCTTAAAGTATTTATTTGTTTCATTCAAAAGCCAGAGTTACAGAGATGGAGGGCAGGAGAGAGACTCTCTCTGCTCATCACCACAGCCTGTGTCTTGCCACCCGGCTTCCTGTAAAACATCAGCAAAGGCGCCCCACCATGGGGACCACAGCTGCACCTGTTTGTCTAGAGGGTTTTGCTTTGTTTCTTTTTCCAGTTTGGGGAGATAACATAGGAGCATCAATTCTGGATTAGTTATTTGGTTAATGGGTTGTTATTTTGTAGACTGTTAATACGTTTGTAATAATACATAGGCTATGCTTGACCCATGGCATTACTGGAAGTGGATGGTGCTTTTCTGGTTGATTTTTCAGGCAAGTGAGCTTTTATCTTGATCTTTCTTTCGAGTAAAACACTTTAAATGCTGCCATGCAATTTTCTTGAGCATGTTTGCCACACTTCCTTGGCTTCCTAAACAGAGCAGAGTGAATATAATGTCAGTATTTCCCAGTATTGTGGATTGTTGTGGGTGAAGGCGATGACCAGCTGGGGCCCACGAGGGCTTCTGAATGCCACGCGATTGGAACGCAGCCGATTTCAGCAGGCTGCTGCTGCCATGCAGGAGTGTGTGCTCACACGTGTGCATGTCAGAACAGCACATCCTCTGTGAAGGTCCCTACTGCCTGCAGTGACCGTTTCCACCTTCGGAAGCCCTGGCCTCTCTCTGCCGAGTGCCCAGCCTGCATCAGGTCCAGAAACCACAATGCAGACCTTGCAAGAAAAACATGAAAAACCACAGGAAACATGGAGCAAAAGGAGCCTCAGCTGGAGTGGCTAGCAGTGCCCTGGTGACAGGTGGGCAGTTAGGCGGCCACTTAACTGTCATGGCTGCCCAGGGGCTGACATCAAGGAGGCGTAACGAGAAGGCCTAGGCTTCCCTCAACAAATGCACCCGTACTCGAGGGCTTCTTAGCATCAAGGGACTTGCCAGGTTATTTTGCCCAAGGGAATTATTTTTCTGGCATTCCTAACAGAGAAACAGATTTAAATATGTAACATAATTCAATTTAAATAGAAGGCTCAGCTCAAAAAAAACCCATGGGTGTACAACAGCTTCCATTTGAGCTGGTACTTAAGCTTTTTGATAGGACATTGTGGAATTCAGAATTTGTACTTTTTTGTTTGCAAAAGGGTGAACTGGGCTGATATTTCGCTTAGCATCCCTATGGCCAATTTCCATGACCTATGCCCCATCTCTTTGCTATAGTGTCCTCATCTACAGAATGGGGGTTGCAGTATTCCCCCTTCAGAGGTGACCAGTAAGATGAAATGGCTCAATGTAAATAAAGCACCTGGGAGAGAACCTGGCACCAAGTAAACACTGTTATGTACACTGTGGGACAGGAACTATGCTGGCAAGGAGAGAACAAAGATGAGAAACAGAAAAAGAGGAGAAAGGTGGAGGACAAGGATGAAGAGGTGAGATGAGAGAGGGAGGATAAAGAGGACATGTGGAGGAGCAGTACAAATGACAGAGAAGGAGGAGAAAGAGGATGAAGGATGGAGGGATGGAGGATATGCAAAAGGGATGAGGGCAGGGAACAGGAGATGAGGAGTGGTGGATAGAAAAAGGGAGGCTGGAGTAAGGGGACAAGGGCCAGAGAATGGGAAGAGATGGGGTTGGTGAAGCGGGGCTGGGGTGAGGATGCAGTCAGGGCAGGAGTAGGGATGGAATGTTTAAGAGGATGGGTGGTTCTGATGATGTGAAACAAGGCATGAGGACCAGGGAGGGAAGATGAGAAGCAGAGCTTTTGGCTGGAGAACTACCAACTGGCAATATTGACGCAAGCTAATTTCTACACTGAGAAGTGTAGAAAAACTCAGGCTTGCAGTTGCAGGGGACTGGCACTGCAGTGCAAAAACCATCACCTGTGATGCCAACATCTTATATGGGTGCCAGTTCATTTCCCCACAGCTGTTCCACTTTTGGTCCAAATCCCTGCCAATGCACCTGGGAAAGCATCTAAAGATGACCTGAGTCCTTGGGGCACTGTACCCACATGGGATGCCCAGAGGAGGCTCTTGGCTCCCGGCCTGAAACAGGTCCAGCTCTGACCATTACAGCTTTAGGGGAGTGAACCAGCAGATGGAAGGGCTACCTGTCTCTGTCTCTCCATATCTCTCTGGTATGGGACCTGTTACCTGCAGTGAATGAAGTCTGGCACGGGGTTATGCTGGCTGAAGGAGGCCGCATCAAGGTTCATGCAGATCTCAACATTGTCCCCAGCCAGGATTCGCACGGCAGCTTTATTTTCATCCTCAAATATCTGCCTTTGCAGGGAGGCACAGAGGAGCAGCATGAAGTCATCTGTCAAGACAAACGGGGAGATCCTGGAGCCACCTTCTCCTCTTCTGGGTGCACAAGCAGGAACATAGTCACTGCACACAATCAGCTGTCCCCAGCTGGCAGACAGCTGTGTTCGCACAGTCCAAGGTCAGGGCCAAATGCTGCTTTCCCTACCATAAGGGAGAAGAGTGACCACAGACATCCCAGAGACTTCGTATTGAGGGAAGTAGGGCTACGATTTATCCACACATTAGTATATGAAAGCACTAGGTACTAAGCACTAGACTTCATGAGTCTCTTGGGAAGAAGTTTACTTGCATTTGTCTCCCACCAGCTTTGAAGAGGCCATTTGAACAACATTCTCCATTTTCCCCTTTCACATGTGGTGGTTCAGACATTTCTGTCTTTAATCCCTCCATTCTCCTCTGTATTTGAAGCAAAAACAATTTCCAGGGAGTGGATAGGGTTGGCAGAGAGTTTGACATGGGTAGAGCTGCCCAGAAGACTCTCACATGGTCAAGCATGCCTTGCAGCCTGTAACACAGGTGTCTTCCTTGCTTTTGAAGTCAAACATGAATTTGGCCAAGAGAGCCATTCTTGAGTTTTTGGCAGCACTCAGAAGTTCTTGTTGTCTTAGACGTGTGTGTGGGACCACTCCAGCCTTTGCAGCTGCCTGGGAGGGCTTAGAGACTGTAGCCTGGCTTTCTGGTGATTGAAGTCTGGGCAGTATGCTCCTAGCAGTCACAGCCCTGTCCTTGGCTTTGGTCTGTGTGTTGTGACCGCCAGAAACCACTCCTTCACGGAACATATGGTCCTTCACTCTCCTCTATCTTTTAAAGAATAGATGTGTGGACACTGGTGGGTACGTATAAGGGTCTGCACTGGGGGATAAGCTCATGGAATATTGACTTTTCAATAGTGCAAACACAACAGGTAATTCATGACTTGTGCCATTAATGCCTAAAGAAGCCCTCCTGTGATTCTAAAGTCCAGTACATGAAGCAGTGCACACATCATAATGACAAGCCACCAGAAACTTAAATACCGAAACCCAGAGGGCCCTGGGGCTGAAGCACTTACAGACAAGGAACACGGGGTTGGGCCTCACAATGAAGTCTGGAAAGTACAGCCACTTGATGATGTTATCATTGAAGTTGGCACCCTTGAACCTCCATGGGTAATCTGTAGGGGGAAGTGGTGAGCAACAGAATCACTGCTCTGGATGTTCCATTGGGCAATGGCTTCTGCTAAGAGCCAATGGCTGAGGCGGAGCAGCTCACCTCTGCAGGGCGAAGGAGGGATGCCGACGCAGATGAAGTACTGGAAGGTGATGATGCAAGCCAGGAAGCAGCAGTATTTGGGCCAGATCTCTGCGATGGCTTTCCTTCTGCGGCGGTACAAGACTGCAATGAGCCAGCAGGCGTGGATCATGGCATAGAAATCCATCCGCTGACCAATCACGTTCACTGACATTAGGAAACAGGTCTGTGTAAGGAAGACAAGAGGCAGAAAAGTGGGTTGACAGGGAAGGGAAGTGTTGGTCAGGTGTCAGGCCTGAGCAGGCGGCAGGGACCTGTATGCCTTAGGACAGGTCTGGAAGCACAGGTTTCTTAACTCTTGCCCTTTTCAGTGTCTTTTGACAAAAATACGAAACAGTTTTAAGATGTTCTTGGAAAGTAAATTAAGAATACGTATATCTGGCACAAAAAATTTGAAATTCATGAATCTTTGATCTTTGAAAAATTTGTGCAAAAGTCCATGTATTATGAAAAAGCAATGCAAGGTTTTCTAATTTTTTGCATCAAAGTGAATTTATCTTCAAAAGAAGTTTTAGGATGCATTTATTTCTACTTATTAGAAGGCAGAGAGAGAGAGAGAGAGAGAGAAAGAAAGTCTTTCACCAGTTGGTTCACTATCCTGATTCCCACGCCACTAGGGTGGGGTCAAGCCAAGCCAAAGCCTGGCGTTGGTGAGTCAGTGTGGCTCTTCTGTGTGAATGATACGGAGCTAAGTACTTGACCCATCACTTGCTGCCTCCAAGGGGAGGCACTTCGACATGTGAAACAGGCATCCGGAGTAACATCTAAATTGCAGCATCATATGCCTGCCCCATAAACACCTTTTAATTAAAAATTTCCATGAACTTTTTAAGTTCTCTCATTTCTCCCCCCCCCAAAAAAAAACAAAAATCAAAACAAACAAACAACAACAACAAAAACACTGGTTATGTTACAAGTGAAGATAATGACAACAAGACAAAACATACCTGTTGTAAATGCATTCTATCAAGGAATAGGCACTATCAATTCAAGTTGAAACAGTTCTTTGTGGTTACAGGCAAGACTTTCAGAATGCACAAATAAAGATGAATACATTCTTAATAAGAAACCAGCTAATCTGGCAACATACATCCACTTACTGAGCTAGCTTTGGAGATCCAGGGCACCGCTGGGAGGTAGGGCATCACTGGCAACTGGTCTTGAAAAACTCAATGAAACCAGGTTAACCCACTGGGAGAAACACTGCCTGCTGAGGTGGAGGTGACGGGAGCCATTGCGTGGAGCTGTGTCACAGGCTGTGGGAGCCAACAGCCGCGAAGTAGCTACTCAAGTTTTCATGGCAAGACCAACAAAACAAGTATTGGGGAAACTCACCTCCAGACCAAATTTGTAGAAGAAGTAATTGATGAAATACTTGGCACAGTTAACCAGCCCGTCGTCTAGGTGGAGTCTTGTGATGTCATGGAAGATTGTCTTAGACACGGGAGCTGTGAGTTTGTTTCGACCCCGGTAGTATTCCTGATGGCGATAGATGGTGACTTCAAAGGCCAGAATAGCCAGCATTAGCAGATTGTTCTACAAACAATAAGGAAGAAAACAGAACTCGGTAAGCCAGAAGCCACCTCTAAAAGTCATCGTATTTGATTCTGGAGGTCTAGATGATGATTTTTATAAAATCCCACCTCTATTAAACACCATTATTAAGCTCAATATTCCTTTAGTTTGTGTTGTTTTGGGATGAAGGTATCTTCATTATAGGGAATGGCTAATGTCTATGGTAATGAGGTCTGGACTCTCCAGGCATAAGACCATGGCCTCATATTCCTCCTCCTGCAAAAGTTCACACCACATTCCGAGGAAGCAGCGTCCAGTTACCTGGGGGCAGGAGGTTCAACTAGAAACGCCAAATGGTAGGGAGACACCCTAGGAATGTCTGGAGGGGCTGTGCGTCTCTGAAATCTGTCCAGAGTGCGGAAAATGGAGAAGTACCAGCAGTGATAACAGCAACGACAGGAAACCGCACTTGTGAAAGAAACCATGGAAGCCCAACATTTTAATCACCTTTTCAAATTTTAATTTGCTTTATCCTTGTAATAACTACTGGTGGTAGGCTTTATCTATAAAATATATCTTCCGTGAGAAGAAAAATTAGAAATCGACACAAAGAAAATGGAATGCTTGTCATATGTAAAAGCCTCTGTGGGAAGGTTTAACCTTTAAGTCAGTGTGGTATGGTAGGAACTGCTCTGACTATCCATCAAGGCGAAAGTGGAAATTCCAACCCACATGGTTTTCATTACGCTTGCAAAACTATGTGAAACAAAAGTTCTTCAGCAGAGATGTGCTTCCTTATTTCTAAATGTAACCTATGCTTTTTTAAGTATGAAGAAATAGAATGTAGGCAGCAAAGACTTCTTGCAACAAGACACTCACTTCTCAGAAACAATCACTTTGCTCTATTTTAAAAAAAGATCTATTTACTTCGTTGAAAGAGTTACTTCAATATTTTTCTTCGGGTTTAGAAGAAGTAATATTATGCTCAGAAGTCTGAAACTTGCTTTCTAAATTGAATGATGTGTTTTGGGGACATTTCAGTTCTAATGACCCCATTGACCTCATTCATTAATGGATAGATTAGATTGGAGTGCATATATATATATATGCATTTAATTTAATTTATATAATCATTTTTAGACTGCTTAGTCCATTTCTCTTTAGCACAATGGAACGTTGACTGCAACATTTTGTCATGGTTCTAAAGGTGGTTCCAAACGCAAGAGAAGACAAGATGACTGTCGTGTGGGATATTTGGAAACTCAAAGGGCAGGATCCTGGCTGCCAACTGTGCAGCAGATTGTCGAAACCCTTACCCTCAGATACACAAGCAAAGGAGAAGACTTCCTGAGGCCAACCCACTCTGTCGGATCAATAGGAGCACTGTAGAGAAGAGACTTGTTCAGCTCTGCAAGGGGTATATTCGTTTGATTTTCATTTGGCTAAAAGGGAGAGAACACGGAGGAGTAAGAAATGCTTCTCAGGTTAGAAGAGCTGAGACTGTTCTTCAGTTTTGACAAGGGTGTACTAGGGAGGGACATGCATCAACAGGGCAAACCTCAGCAGGGCCAGAACAGATCCCAAGTGGATGGGGGACTTACATCCTGCACAAGATGTGTATGCACATGGCAGTTACCCACATATCTTCTTCGCTTCCCCCAAAGGGCAGTAAGGAAGATCCCCCCATCACCGAGGCTCACCAGGGAACAGTTAACAGAAAAGTTCTCAGGCTTAATGGTCTGAAGCTGGTACAACATCTTGCAGACGATGATCACACATGTCCAGACAGTGCAGACGCTGGAAGCCAGGCGGCGGAGCTTGGCATACGGCAGAGCAAATGCCCAGGAAATCAAAAATACGTAGTTGAACAGAGACACCTAAAAACACAAAATCAGGATTGGAGACAAACAATACAGCACACGGCATAGCATCCACAAAACATGAGGACTTGACTCAGTCAATTTAGCAAGGGCTGACTGAGTTCCTAGCATGTGCAAAGCATTGCCCAGGCACAGGAGGGCAAAGTGATGCCTGGTCTCTCCCCTGGGTGACATTCTGTCTTGCATGGAAGTTGGATGTGTAGGCAACCACAGAAAATATAACACAGCAGAGCTCAGTTATGGATGTGAACAAGTGTGAGCGCCGAAAAGGGGTCTGTGGGCCTGAGGGTCACAGAGGGTCTTTGGGAAGGGAGAGAGGGCCTGAGCTGAGCCCAGCTGAGGTATGTGAGAAGTGCATCCCGGGTGAGGATGCATGAGCAAGGCTGGGACAGGTAGTACAATCAACTACAAGCAAATGAAAACTTCAGAGTCAAAAGCACAAAGTGCAGCGGAAGGTAAAAGGCCACGATGTGGCCAAATTTTGACAGGTCCTTTTCACCAACTAATGACACATGAGTCCATTCTACAGTAAGCAGTAAACTCTGCACCTCACTTGGATGGATGCAACTGCAGAATGGAGAGTGCATCATGAGGGTCAGACTCAAGGTCAAGGACTAGCTCACGTGCTTTATAGCAGCCTGTGAGAAATGGAGGAGCAGCCTGGAGGGGCTTTGGTGATTGTTATAGCAGTGGTTGGGCAGGGATAGTAAAGGAGCCTTGAAGCCTGGATGAATGGTAGTGCCATGGCTGGCATACAAACTGCTGAGTTAAGCAGGTGTGAGGAGTGAGGGCAGTGAGATAAACTTGAACATGCTGGTGTGGAGCTGCGTGTGAGTTTGCTGGTCATGTGAAATGACCTATGTGAAATGGTCCATGGATAGTGCAGAGCTGCCATAATCTTATTCAGCCTTGCAAAATATTCCTTTATTCTGAGAAATGTTAAAATCATATCTGCAGGACATTTAATATCAGGTGAAAATAACAGCATACATTTACAATTAATTTATGCAGGACTTTCGATTTAAAATTTTCTTATTTTGAAATTTTCACTTTATCCAAAGTTCAGAAACACACACACACACACACACACACACACACACACACACACACACACACAGTATTTCCATTCACTGGATCACTCTCCAAATACCCAAAACAGCCAGTTACCCTTGGAATGAAGACAACAACAGCAATAATTATGATGGTGATAATAACATTTAAGACAATGAAATATTAACTGGGGACCAGGTCCCCTAGGAGAACAGGAGATGATCAAAGGAGAGAAAGAATAACTAGATTTCCCAGGGCTCTTCAGTGACATTTTGAAGTTAGAAAAGTATTGAGGCAGGTGCAGGTGCTTGGTGTTGCAGCTTATGTCACTGCTTTGTCACTGGGATGCTCACATCCAGGGCTAGAGTGCCTGATGAAGTCACAGCTACTCAGCTTCTGACACAGCATCCTGCTCACGCACACCCCAGGATGCAGCAAGGGATGGCCAAGACACCTGGGTTCCCATCACGCATGTGGCAAACTCAGACTGAGTTCCAGGCTCCTGGCTTTGGCCTGGCTCAAATCTGTGATTGCAGGTATCCGGCAAGTGAACCACTAGATGGAAGATCTCTCTTTCTGTTTCTCCAATTCGTTCTATATACCTCTTGCCTTTCACATAAAATGAAAATAAATATACTTAAAAACTTAAAAAAAGAATAACGGTGGTGTATTTTAAAAGGAAGAGAGACCAGTTCGATCAAGGAAGTATCTAATGGATTAGACACACAGAGCAACAGGGACAGTAAGGGACACAGGAGAGACACATGAGGGAGCAGCAACAAGCAAAGGAGAAACTTGTGTTTCCAAAGGAGTTAGATTACTGTTCGTGGCTGGAGAAATTTAATAAACCAAATGAGAACTTGCTGGTCTTTCCGTCGCCTAGGAATCTTAGACAGTACAGTGTGTTCAGGGACACAGAGAAAGGTTTGTGATAGAGCACGTGTTAAAGTCAAGTGGAAGCTTGACTACGCGTTGCTTTTGAGCTGAGACTCAACCAAGCAGGCTGCTTAGGACTCCAGCTGCAACAGATGCCATCAGCAATGTGAAAGTTGCTAGGCCTCTCCAGCCAGGGCCAGCTGATCCCAGCAGGGAGCATCTGAGCCGCCTGCTGTCACTCACCCCTCAGGGCCAGACGCCACTCCTGAGGACGACATGGGCAGCTAAAACAGCTGCGACAGCTGCTTTCAGTGGTCCCTGGTCGCTGGTCGCTGGTCTCTATACTGTGAGTCTGGGAGTTCCCATAACACGTGACTCAGAGAAGAAATTGGTCGTGTTTTATCAGAGGTCAGGTTTCTCATGGATTGAAATGGTAGCCCAGATTCTTCAGCCTCATTGGGGATGATCTAAGAATTCAAGTCCTCCTTTTGTTTAAAATTTGTAAGAAGGTATGACGTTTAACCCTCTCTTTTGTTCTCCTTTTTGCCTCTAGGATGAATTTCACAGAGCCGATTCTCTGAATCTAACTCCTGCTACACACACACACACACATACACAAAACACCTGCTTCCATCTTCCCATTGTTTCTCTAGGTCTCCACCATCCTGCCACACAACTTCTCATATGACCAGGAGTTACCTGTCCATTAGATTTGGTGAATTCAGATGCGATAGCCTAGCACCTAAATCCTCGCCTTGCCTGTGCGTGAATCCCATATGGGCACCGGTTTATGTCTCGGCTGCTCCACTTCCCTTCCAGCTGCCTGCTTGTGGCCTGGGAAGGTGGTGAAGGACGACTCAAGGGACTTGGGACCCTGCACCTGCGTGGGAGACCTGGAAGAAGCTCCTGGCTCCTAGTTTTAGATTATCTTAGCTCTGGCCATTGCAGTCACTTGAGATGGATGGAAGATCTTTCTCTGTATCTCCTTCTTTCTGTTTATCTGCATTTCTGATAAAAATTAAAAAAATCTTTTTTTTTTTAAAAAAAGAGTCTTTGTTAATTTTTAGGCAACTGTTTTCTTTGGCTGTATTCCTTCTTCCTTTACTATTTGACTCTCGAAATTCATCTGCATCGGCTAATACACTTACACAGAAAATGCTTAAATTATTTTTCTCTCAGTCAATATCCATACTAGGCTGTTTTTAGGTTTAGTTCATTAACAACACAGCCTATTTTTTAAAAAAAAAGATTTATTTATTTTTATTACAAAGTCAGACATACAGAGAGGAGGAGAAACAGAGAGGAAGATCTTCTGTCCGATGATTCACTCCCCAAGTGAGCACAATGGCTGGTGCTGTGCCGATCCAGAGCCAGGAGTCAGGACCCTCCTCCAGGTCTCCCATGTGGGTGCAGGATCCCAAAGCATTGGGCTGTCCTTGAATGCTTTCCCAGGCCACAAGCAGGGAGCTGGATGGGAAGTGGAGCTGCCAGGATTAGAACTGGCAACTATACGGGATCCCAGCAGGTTCAGGGCGAGGACTTTAGCTGCTAGGCCGGGCCCAACACAGCCTATTTTATGACACAAATCTCAAAGGGCAGTGGTTTCTGTTTTTATGCCCTCGTGCATGGATCCACCTACTGGTTTCAGATTGCTTGAATGAAATGGAAGAAAGTTTTAAGATTGTAGAGCTAAAATTGTTTCATCTTCTATTTGCCTATGTGTAAACATTTCAAGTTTTGTAGCATTATGGTTGTAATAGTTTACTATTGATATGTGCAGTGGTACCCTGGCGTAATTTTCATAGGGCAAAGACTCTTTGAGTTGTAATCAACTAGAAAACAGTGCAGAACATGAGAAATATGTCAAACTTGTAGAAATAATTACTCCATAGCAAAAAGAAGCAACCATTGGCTGAATGGTAACTGTTCATTACAGGAAATACGGCTGTTGGAGATTCTTCTGCCTAGTCTTTAACGATCCAACAATAAACAAGATAAGCTCTACTGAATAGTTTGTTACGTTTGGGGTCTTGGGTTTGCTTTTTGGTCACATAAACTGAAGTGTTACTTTCCTCAAGGATTCGAGCAAGATACAGGACCTCTATGATCTGACCAAACCGTCCAGAAGCTAAGCCTCAAGCCTCCTCTGTGGTCTGTGTCCCACTCATCTTGGGCTTTCCGCATGTGGACACGCATGTGCTTGCCTTACAACCCGACCTCCCAGGGCAGCGAGGGAGACCTGCGGCTGCATCACAGAGAGCTGGAGGGGGAGGGTGAACCCCTGCCATGGCGCTGCTCAATCAAATCACCCAACCAGCTGCACTTGCCTCTTTCACAGCAACCCAGATGATGTAGGATGACACGATCTTGATGATGTGCAGCTCCAGGATCCACCACATGAACACCTGCAGCTTATGAAAATACTCCAGGAATTTCAGGAAGAGCACAGTGAGGCGGTCGATCACCAGGTGCCATTTGTTCCTAAGATCTGCAAAGGACGAGACACACCATGAGCATAGGATGGTTTTCCACGTCATCACGTCATTATGTAAGGTACCCCACGTAATCTCAGCTGGCAGTGAGAGGCTACAATGTACTCATAGTGATAGGGGCATAAGGATATCCTAATTTGGGTGGGCAAAGAATTCCAAAGGGCAATGTTACTTTTAAATGTCCATGACCCTAACAGGTGAGCCTGTCAGAGAGCTGCCCCAGGTTGAAGCAGTCACTTCTTGCCAGGGCAAAAGGGAACACTAAGAATTCAAAGGAACCAGTGCACACTTTGATGAAATGATCAGAATCGTTCCAATGATCATTTTTTATCAAATGAATTCTTTCGTGCTAAGCTGTGCAGCCACAGTGGTCATGCGTTGGTGTATTAGGACTGTACTGTCTGATCGCATCGAAAGTCACACTAGGACTATGTGTACGACCATCTCACATAAGCAAAATCTCACCCAGAACTGAGTATATCTCTTTATGATCTATTTTGTCCGAATAGGGTAGTATAAGTTATGGTGCCTGTTCTGGAAATGACTGTGAATTATGAAATATGATTATTTATACATGGCAATGATAGTCCACGCAAAGGGCTAGGTAACGCATGCGCATGAGTAACAGGCGTCAACGACGGGCAGCCGATCGACAAGCACGCACGGCTCACATACGGAGAAGTGCGCCTTCAGTAGGGGTCCTCCACCCCACACTGCTGTGGTAGAGGACAGGGAACAGCACAGTCCAGGGCAGGATCCTGTTGTCGAGGCCCCAGAACATTTCCGCAGGTGTCTCCTGCCTTCTGTTACCCTGTCTGCAGCCTGCCAGAAGGGCCTGAACCCCTCCATCCCTGGAAGAGGTAACATTCCCTGACTACTGAAGCTATTCAGTCCTCATTAGGCTCTGTCCCAATAGTATTTCAGATCTGGGAAGACGTGTAGAGGATTAAGAAAAAAATCCCTAATAAGACAATGAAACAGGCACATATCTAGGAGTTGGCATGAAGTTACAGTTATCTAATTGGTGATTTTCTCCTCTGGGTCTTGGGCCCTTAAGCATTAGAACAGCTAGAGTGATACATGCTTCCTTGATGATGGTGTTCCTTGAATGGCTTTGTGAAGATGACATTTAGAGATTCTACACCCAACAACCTGTTTCTGAGCGTTCCAGAGGTTGTGCCAATAGTCTGATTCTGGTAGGAGTGGCTTCTGGAAGAGGTAGCTGATGGATACAGCCCCTTGACGCCTTCACAGGAGCCTACGCTCAGCTCAGGAGTTGATGGGCTAGCCACCCGCTCTCTTCTCCTCACTCAGAATAAACAGGGAGTTGCTGGCGTAACTGGGTCAGGAATACATATGAGCACAGCAACAATAGCAAACAACCTCCAACTTTCATGCCACCGCCTAGGTGTGGAATAGAGGGATTGTTTCATTGCTTAGAGCAAGTCCCTGGTTCCTGTGCTCATTCAGGCAGCCAGCACCTCCCTCGCAGGCTGGTTACCTGATGTTTCTCCCTCCTCCTCAGACTCCTCATCTCCGTCCTCTTCAGAGCCCTCGCTGTCATTCCCAAGCTCAGCCTTCTCGGAGAACCCCTCTGCTTTCTCCTTTGCGGCCTCGGTCAACTTCTTCACTTCCGGTTTCTCCAGGCCTGCAGTGAGGTTCATTGCCGCGAGGTCTGGAAGGCTCCCTTCAGGGTGGGCCAATCTGCGGACAGAGAAGGGTGGAGTCAGAAGCGGGAAGGGGTGTCAGGGTAGAGTGGAGTGAGGGGCAGGGAAAAAGAGGGGAAACAAAAAAAAAATGAAAAACTGGAGCATGTGCAAAGACCTCACACGGTGGGGTGTTAGCATTTTGCCACCATTTATTTGTTGGTTTCTTTTAAGCTCTTTCTAAAACCAATGAACTCGGTTAGCTCTGGTCGGCTTTTCCAATTCAGATCTCAGTGACTAGTCAGCAGTGAGTACTCTGGACACCTAAACTTGACATTGTTCCCTAGAGGGGAACGTGGTCAGAGTTTAGGATGTAGAAGCATGAAACGGCATCATGTAGAGCAAGCATTTCATGGCTTCACAGGGGGACTTACTCATTTTGGTGGATTGGTAATTTTTTCTTGATGCTGCTCAAAGTAATTGAAATAGAAAGGAAAAAAAAAAAGGAGGTGAGAACAGAGAAATTATAAGGACTGTCAGATCACATATCATGCTACATTTCATCCATGATTGCATTCCTGTGTGCCAAGGCCAAGTGCATTCCGGGATGGCCTCCACAGCGTGCTTCTGCTATGAGCCTGAGGACTGGCAACTGGTCTGAGAGTGGACACAACTGCAGGTTTGTAAAGGAGAGGACTTAGAGGTACCGAGGCACATGATCTCATGCTTTCTTACAAATGCAATGATAATAATAATAAATAAAAACAAAAAAACCTTGCAAGAATCCAATCATTCACGTTATAGCTACTATTTTTATTCTTGAATCAGGAGTGCTTCCAGCCAGCCCTCTGTGTAGACCACTCCCATTCGGCCTTCTTCTCAAGCAGGTGCAGTGGGAGCTGAATGCGTCCAGGGCATCTGCACCATGTCCCCGAATGATGGTGATGGGTGCAGACTGCTGGCTGGCAGCAGTGGGGATACTGAGAGCTGAGCCAGAGTGAGCGTGAGGGACAGAGATTTCTACCACGCCCACCAGCAACCTATGACATCATCACTTTGCTCAGTGGACAAAAGCATGTATTTTATTCACATCCAAAATGTTTTTGAAATTGTGCAGGATGCAGATTTGTGGTGTGCAGTGTCATATTTTGTGTGTGTGTTTTTGCACTTCTGGAAGGGGTGAGCCAGCAGCAGAGCGGGGGGCTGCCCAGAAGCACAATTCCAAGACATCAGCAGGTGCACCTTGCCGGAAGGAGCGGCCGCACTGCCTCTCCAGGAAAACCTGGGCACCTTCATTCACCTTTTGTTTGCTAACTTCAAGGAAATTATTACAAAGGACTATTGCTTTTCCCATAAACTAAATTAAAACTTGAAAAGCATATCCTAGTGAAAACATTCCTTGAGTCCTCAAATGCTTCTCCATCTTCACGGATCATCACACATGAATGTGGCAACAATCCTGTGAAGGAATTGTATCTGAAGACTTCAGACAGACGTGGTGGTGAACTAACTGGATCCCTAGATAAGTCAACTCATCCGCTCCTTGGCATCACACTTCTTTCTCCAGAGACCTCCATGTTCTTCTTTGCATATTTTAAATTTACTTATCATGTTATTTCATTTCTTGTATTAGGAGGTAGACTCTGGGCTTTAACTCCCTCTTGTACTCTTAAGTACATTAGTTCTCTCCTTCCATGTTCCCACAAAACAGATGACATTGCAAGGAGCTTCAAGGGTTTGTTAGGGAAGTGAAGATAAGTTTGTTGTGATGAAAAAAAATTCATGCATCATTTTTCATAAACAGTTCATTTCCATGAACTGTGTGAGAATCTCTATGTGTGACTTTTAACCCTGCTCCTTCAACTGTGCTCCAATGGCTTTGAAAATACTTTGAAAATACTTAGTGTGCGATTGGTTAATCCTCTGTCTGTGGCACTGACATTGCATATGGGTGCTGGTTCTAGTCCCACTTCTAGTTGTTCCACTTCTAATCTAGCTTCCTGCTAACTGCCTGGGAAAGCGGCACAGGATGGCTCAATGTCTTGAGCCCCCGTCCCCTTGTGGGACATCCTGAAGAAGCTCTTAGCTCCTGGCTTCAGATCCGCCCAGCTCTAGCCATTGTGACCATTCAAGGATCGGGGATCTTGCTTCCTTGTGTGAGTGTGTGTGTGTGTGTGTGTGTGTGTGTGTGTGTGTGTATAACTTTTTCAAGTAAAAGCAAACAAATTTTAAGAAATAAAGTCTTCAGTATGCAACATTCTCCATGTGTACCTGCAATTATTCTAGTCCATGTTTTCAGGATAATCTTGCTGCTCCCTCCCCCGTGCAAAATGTGCTGTGGTGCGTGGTACACTCCGGGAGCCATGGAGTTGGGTGAAGACATTGTGTATTGGCAAGTTGGAGAGGTTTAATTCTGCACTGGGACGTGACTTTGAACAGCATTGTCGTCAGTCAGTTTCCATGAAACAATATGGACATGCTACCATGGCAAAATCCTCAGTGTCAATGTCATTCATTTTTAATATCCTGATGTGGATTATGTGGCTATGTAAGTTGCACTCATCTCATTCATTAACACACTAGAAAAAAGGAACGCTTGAAAATGTTTGGTTTTTATATGCAATGTTCAATGTTATACTGCTTAATGAAGCTAATAAAGTTATTTTCTAGGATTCAGAACTTCTGATGTTTAACATATAGCTATTGATGTGTAGATTTGTTGTCATAACCAAATAATATTAGTAATATCTCTAAGAGAGTCTACCAACCATGGATTGAATAGATTGGCTTTTATTTCTGCATATATGAAGGAAACAAACATTATTCCTTTTAAAATACCCCAATTCATATTAGTCATTAAGTCAGTTGTAACTGTATCATAACTGCTCACATTATTACAATTTCATCATAGCTACATTCTATGTTCGGTTAGACTTGCATGCCTTATACCTTGTATTTTTTAAGTTTCATTCAAATCCTGGTTTTAGTTGTAGGCATGGCTTCTCTTTTGGTCTAGAATAAACTTTTTCAAACACATATTCTCCTTATAAAATAACATTGAGCCTAAGAAATACGTTTTTGAGAGGAAAAAAAACACACATATTTTATATATTAAAGGATTTCTTGTTGGGGCAGTGCTGGCATCACAAATGGGTGCTGGTTCGTGTCCCAAACACTCAAGTTCTGATCCAGCTCTCTCTTATGGCCTGCGGAAACAGCAGAGGATAACTCGGGTCCCTCTACCCACATGGGGACCCAGAAGCAGCTCCCAGCTCTTGTTTTTGGACTGTCCCGGCCCTGACCGTTGGCAACCACTTGGGATGTGGACCAGCCGAAGGAAGATCTCTTTCTCTGTCTCTCCCTCTCTCTGCCTTTCAAATAAAAATAAATAGTTTTTTTAAAAAAGAATTTCTTATTTAATTCTAATGAATATTAGGTTCTACTAAATGTGGACACTCACTTTACATATGGCATTTCAGAAGCTTGTGTTATGGAGCTACATTTCTTTGATAATATTTCCTTTGAGACATAGCAGTGTGCTTATCATATTGAATTTGCACAAAAATGGAAGATTCTACCAGATAAAGCAGTAGTACTGGAGCTGGAGTGCTTCAGGTGTGTAACTACTGGGTAACTTATAAGCACTCCTGAGTGAGCCCATTGCACCCGTGATTTGAAGTGATGGGTGCAGACGTCTCAGGAGGTGAGCCCGGGACAGTCGCCACCACAGCTTGCAGAGATGCTGCTCAGGAAGTCTTTTCAGACATCTCCTTCTAAAATAAAAGTTCTTGCTTTCCAGGAAACAGGAATCAGGAGAGAGCTATTGCCTATGCTTGCACGATGGGGTTTAAATAGTTGCTCAGTACTAGTAGCTAGAATCTCCACTGAACAGCTGAAAGCCTGATGCTGTTTTTTTCCTTCCAGGTTGTCAACAAAAGTGGTCCCCAAAAGGCACCAGGCCGTCCTCCTTCCTCCTGCAACAGCAATCTGCACAGTAACTCATTAAAATCTTCCTACTTCCTTCTAGGAGGTCTGCCTCCTCGGGTTTGTCTGCTATTTGGTTATCAACCTTTGCATTTTTCCTGAGAAAAATCTCTGGGATAAAAAAAACCCAAAAATCCTTTGAAGCATTACTTTTTTTATCAGCCTTATTGCCACAGGTATGTCTCTATTCACCAAACTCACTTAATGTCATGAACTTACAGGGGAACATTTTAACTTAATTACTTAATAAAGTAAGACTTATTTTGTTAAGATAAATCCCCGAGTTCCTTTGAGGACAACTTTGTGTGCAACATTTGCAAAGCTTACTTTCTGTTATGCGTAAACATTGCATGCTTTTGTCTCCCCAACTGGAAGAGACACACAGATAGGGCCATGTCTCGGGACCATCCTGGGACCTCGTGGTATAATGCAGACATGCAATCTGATGATGACAATGTCCTTCTTTGATAATAAGTCAGTCCTTCAAGTACAGATCTATTTGCAGACTTGATGTTTTCTTTAACTATATAGTGCTGTAGTTATTGTCACATCGTTCAGTCAATGTCAACTTCATGGGTAAGGTTGGTGATGGGGGACATTTTAACGAACTGTTGATAGAATTCAGGCCTGAGTAGCTTATGCCTCTAATGACAGAAAACAAAACAAAAAAAAAGACAAGCAAGGGACAAAGGACTTGAAGGCAAGTGTTAGGACAGCAGCGATGACAGGGAGGCCAGATAAGTTTCAGCAAGATGTGGGCATTTGGGTATTTATGGGAGGGGATGTGAAGGGGTGGTTCTTCAGCTGAGCTCCCACTGATGTGTTCAAGAGAAAGATGAACTTGCAGGCAAGCCTTGACCTAGTGCTGCCAAAGGGAGACACGAATAGGACAGAAGCTGGAACCAAGACTAGAGGCTTGGCAGCACCTGAAGACCCCGAGCCCCCTCCACACCCCCTTGGCAGCACCATTCAATGTAAGCATCAAATGGCTCGATGTGCAGAACACACCCACGAGCATGCCTGAGACCGCCGTTCACTCTCCGATGCCAACACTCCGGGTTGAGGAAGCAATGAAGGCTGTAACATACCGAGAAACAAGACAGGAAACATGGGAGTACCCACCTATTGATCATGAGATACACACGCCCATTGACTTTGGCATGGCTACGCGGGGAGACGGAGCACAAAGATGCAGTGGGAGCAGGTTGGAGAGAGAAAGAGGAGGGAGTTAGACCGAGATGAGGGAGCAGGTGCATCTCCATCCACAAGGGCTGCACCCACAAATTCAAGTTTCCGCGGCAACGTGAAATCAGACAGAATCAGGAAAAACGCTTGCAGATCACAAATGGCTCCCTTCTGCTCACCCTCCCTCCTCCCACATCTCATTAAAACTGCATCGTGTTTAAATTTCTCAAGGCCCGTTTTATCAAACAAAATGTCATACACATGGTTCATTCTGAATTCCTTCTCCAGAATTAAGATAAATTGAAAATCCTAGAAGTAATTAGATCCAGCATACAATAGTCTAAGATTTTCTGAAACCAAAATTTGAAAATTGTTTTATTTCTATGCACACAACAATAATTTTTAAAATGAATCAGGGATAAATTAAATTGATTTGAAATTGCTGGATCTTTCCATAGTCCTTAATAACTTATTAATTGTATGTCAAATAATTATCGCCATCATTTTAAGTACCCTATATTATTGTTAAGATATAAAGGAAGTGATAATATTGAGATTACCTACTTATAAAGAATAGTCATTTCTTCTTGCGTATGCCAGAAACATCTTCATGCTGCCAGCTTTGAAAATTCACAATCAATGCTAATTTTGCATACAAGTGTCTTTTGCTAACAATGTATGTGTGTGTATACACACATGAATGCACTTCAAAAAGTTCCCAGAAAATGAAATTAAATGATTTTGGCGCAAGAAATTTTGAATTACGCATATGAGGGCTCTTCACACAGTTATAAACATGCATATTCTGAAAACATTTCAAACATGTTTGCACCAAAAGAAATATGTCTTTAACCCATTTTCTGTCAACTTTTAAAAGTGGCCCCATGCCTGTAACAACAACAAAAAGTATACCAATCAGAAAAAGAACATTTGGATATTACAGGGAGAATGGTGCTGCAATCGGTTGACTTCAGTGGGTCAGTCATTCCCCACTGTGGCCCGTGCTCTGTGAGGAATCCACTGGCGATGTGGGAGCAAAGAAAGCAGGGCCTGCTAGTCAATCCCAACCCTAAGAATATCTTCCTCTCTTTAAAATAGCATTGACTTGGAATTAAGGGACAAAGAGTTACTGAGATGAGAACATCCATAAGGAATACGCCACGAAGGACAATGATTGCTACAAAGGCAAGATATTGGGTCTTTCATGCTAAACTCCAGCATGACCCTAAAACAGCAAACTGCAGTTCTTCCTATCTCATTGGGTATTAGAAAACTCTTTTCCCAAGCCTGGAAGTGAGACGTTAAATGCTCTGAACCTTTGGCTCGCTGGTATGCTGTGCTTTCTTCTCTGTATGTGTATTTTCTGAAAAACTTCGCTGCTGGGACAGTGCACAGGGCTGGGCAACAGCAACCCCCAGGTCTACTTCCTTCTCAGGCCATGGGGAGTGCAACAGGAAGGGAGGCGGTGTACGTCTGGACAAGGGGCAGGTTCCCCCTACGGCCTGCATAGCTCCACATCACTGCTCATTCTTATAAGGGATTCCAGAAGAAACTCATTTTCCATATGTGCTAGATGCAAACTATATGACCCTGGGATGAGTCAGGCTCTCTTGAAAAACCATGAACAGGGCAGTCTTTGTTCTCCTGGATAAGGATTACTGGTAAGAAAAGCTCCTATGAACTCAGGGAACATTAGGAGGAGACAAACACAGAAGGGAATAAGAGGCATTTGGACAAAGGCACTACTAAGAAAGATATTATCCACAATGATCAATAATTAATCTCTTTGACAGAGCTATCTGCTTTGCTTATTGAAAGAACTGACTTGATTAAATACAGCTTTTGAAAGACGTTGAATATTTACAGTCTGATTTTTACCTGGTCACAGCTGAGAATCAAATATAAGCTTTTCATAGATACTATAAGCAAGGCCAAAAGAAGCATCAGATAATCTTTTCTAATGATTGCTAACCTCTGCTTTTTTTTTATACAGCCATTATCTTGCTCAATTTATTTTAAATAATAAAAAAAGCTTATTTCTTGGGGTGCCCTTGTGGTATGGCCAGGTAAGCCACTGCCTGTGAGGCTGGCATCTGACACAGGTGCCAGAACAAGTCCTGGTAACTCTACTTTCAGCTCCCTAGCGAGGCACCTGCGAATGCAGCAGAAGACAGCCCGCTGCTCAGGCCCTTGCCACCCATGTGGGAGACCCGGATGAAGCTCCTCGCTCCTGGCCTCGGTTTGGCCCAGACCTGGCTGTCACACGTGTTTGGGAAGATCCTTCCTTCTCTCTCTCTTTGCCACTCTCCTCCATATATTCCGAAGTTATTTCACATTATTTCAAGTAACTGAAAGGCAGGTTGTCACAGAGCGAGAGAGGGAGAGAGACGCATACACAAGTTCATTTCTTCAATAGCTACAATCTAAGCTGAGAGCCAGAAAAAAATAATCCATCTGGGTCTCCCATGTGGAAGACAAGGATTTGCGTACTTGGTCCATCCTCTGCTGCCTTCTCAGGCATTTTCACAGCAGTTGAATGGTGAGTTCAGCAGCTGTAACTCAAACCAGTGCCCTGATATGAGACGCCGGCGTCGCAGGCAGCAGCTTAGTCTGCAGTGCCACAATGCTCCCTTGGCCAACTTTTAACACTAGGGTGATTTTCCTGTTGGTAAATTTGCTTATCGCTAGCATCTCCTCAGATTTTTAAAAAATCTGTTGTGCAGCAAGAAGAAAAACATATATTTCTCTTTTTCTCTGTCCTTTTTTTTTTTTTTTTTCAAACTCACAACTTTGTCCTGAACTTTTTACTCAGAGAAAGCTCCAGGCTGAGCTCCTGTGCAGGTGACAAAGCTGACTTCCCCAGCAAGGTGTGTCCTGCCTGCTCACCTGTAGATGGTGTTGTCTTCCTTGCTGGGGATGGCCTTGAGGTCTGTGAGTTCAAGGAAGCGGTCATGGAAATAGTGAAGGTGTAGGATGCACACCAGGAGGAAAGAGGTCGGGATGAATATACGCGTGAACAGCTCAGCCACCGTGAACTGCTTCAAGCCAAGGTCCTCCAGCCTGCAGAAGACAACAAAGCGAATGCGAGCGCCAGTCCTCCACCTGTCCATTCATAACACTTGCACAACAAATCACACCCCACTCCCTCACCCAATCCAAGCTGGCTTTCTCCTCCACCGACCCAATCAACCCATGTCTATGATGGCCCCTGTCTTCACTGAATTCAACCCCAACTCCTTTGTGAAACAGTCTTGGTTTCTGGTGCCACCCTGCTCCCCCGCTGTCTCCCCAAAGACCACCTGCGCCCCTCGTTCATCAGTAGATCCCCCCACGATTTACTCTCCACTCTGTTCACTGCTTGCTTCGTAAGTTGCTTATACCAAGTGGGTTTTTCTTGTGTCCTGTGCTACACTATAAGTCCCATGGGGCTGAGACTGCTCCTCTTCCTGGTCAGGAAAGTGTTCCATAAATCATATTGAAAACAGTCCTACAGAGGTGTTTGTTGAGCTGTGGGTCATTCTTTCTTCTTGAACTTTTACCCTGGCCATTGTAGTATGTTCAGCTCAGGACCCATTCTGATGAGATTTTTTCCACTGATTTCACACATTATACAGGAGCTGGCAGCAGGTGTCACAGGCCCAGGAAACACCATCTTATCCTGATGACTCTGTTGGCATCGACAGAAATGTTCTCTGCGGCACTCACGAGTCCTTAGATTCAAAAGGCTCAGCAACAGGAAGGAAGAATGCTTGATGCCTTATCCGTGGGCACTTTTATTTTTTTTATTTATTTTTTTTTATTGTTGCTTACATTGTATTATGTAGTACAGTTTTATAGGCGCTGGGGGAAACTATAATACTAAGGGAAATGAGCGAATCCCAAAAGATTAGATACCACATGTTTGCCTTGATTTAACCTGTAATTTTTTGTTTGGTTGTTTGTTATTTTTTGAACCTGTCATTGATATTGTCTCAACCCAGATGTTTCGAAGAATGGAACTTGCATTATTTTTAACATATTGTTTACCCAATACTATGTCAATTAATTCCATAATGTTGTATATTGATACTGAGGCCTTGTTGGGGCTTTTAACTGACCGGATCTTTACTCTGTTAGACCTATCTTCAGACCTATCTTCAGACCATAGAAGGTCTCCCCAAGAGGCCACTGAACTTATCTGGACAATAAGACGCTGAACTTTATGCTAGGCATGTGTTTGCAAGGAATGAATCTCAACTGAACTTGAACTATGGTTATGCAACAAGGTGGAGGAATCCACCATGGGGGGAGGGGTATGGGAGGGGTGGGGGGAATGAGGTACCACCTAACACCAGTAAGATTGGCCCACATAAACAAGAACACCAACGATGCTTGCTGGCGAGGATGCGGGGAAAAGGGAACCCTACTCCACTGCTGGTGGAGCTGCAAATTAGTACAGCCTTTATGGAAATCAGTCTGGAGAACACTCAAACAACTCAAAATCTGCATACCATATGACCCAGCAATAGCACTCCTAGGAATATATCCAAAACACCCGTTTTACGACAAACCAACATGCATCCCTATGTTCATAGCAGCACAATCAGTAATTGCAAAAACATGGAAGCAACCGAAATGCCCATCAACAGAAGATTGGATAAGAAAGCTTTGGTTCATTTACTCCATGGAATACTACTCAGCTATTAAAAAAAACAAAATGCAGTTCTTCGTGGGCACTTTTAAAAGTGTGTGGGGGGCCCGGCGCCGTGGTACAAGTGGTTAAGGTCCTCGCCTTGCATGCCCAGGATCCCATATGGGCGCCGCCGGTTCTATCCCGGCAGCCCCGCTTCCCTTCCAGCTTCCTGCCTGTGGCCTGGGAAAACAGTCGAGGATGGCCCAAAGCTTTGGGAACCTGCACCCGCGTGGGAGACCCAGAAGAGTCTCCTGGCTTTGGATCGGCATAGCATCGACCATTGCGCTCACTTGGGGAGTGAATCATCGGACGGAAGATCTTCCTCTCTGTCTCTCCTCTCTGTATATCCGCCTTTCCAATAAAAAAATAATAAAAAAATAAATCTTTGAAAAAAAAGTGTGTGGGAAATGGAATGAAAGGATACATGCACGTTGGTGTGCAAAACTGAAAGCCATATAGGAGGGGCTTCAACAGGTTCACGAGAAACATGTATTATGAAAAAGCTATGCACGGATTTCAAAAAGTTTTGCAATAAATAAAGTAGGGTTTCATTTCATTGTTTCCGTGAGCTTTTTGAAGCCTCCCTGTTGGATTTGGCACATCCACCTGTGAACTGAATAACTGAGCTCCTGTTTGTAGTGCAGAAAGCACGGCCGAGTGCTCAGTAGGTGAATTGCACATGGACCTGATCTTAGACATGTCCTCGCATGGAAATGGGGTGGACCATCAAGCTTTGACCGCTATTCATAGAGTACCTACTGTGTTCCAGGCTCAGGGGTAGGCCAGTGGGACTTACAGATGAGACTATGATAAACTCTGTGTTCCGTAAGCTTAAAGCATGTGCCGGCACCGTGATTTATGCCAGTCTTCCTTGGTGAGGTTTGGAGCCGCATGCTTTTGACTCCAGCTCGTATCATTTCCATGACCCATTTACCACCCAACTTGCTTACTTTTCTTTTTTCAATCCAGTCATATTTTGCCACAGGCCTGGGAAGTTTTCAAACTGATATGTATATATAAAGATCAGCACCAGCATGGTGTAAATAACCACCGACATCCAAAAATACTTCAGAATTTTCCTCCACCATTCGTAGTGCACCTGCAAAGCAGATGTGGAACAATCCATGAGAAAACAAAACTATAGGGCAGTTCACAAAAGGTCTTCTAGACAAAGGATTATCTGTAGACCAATTTGAAAATAAAGTCTATTTAACCTTTCCCATTTGAAGTTGGGTGGATACAAGTTTGATCCCATTCATTCGACCTCCGGGTAAGTTGTCGAACTACACAGAGCTTCTGCTCTCGCCTCCAAAATACTGCAAAGTTATTTTGAGAACAGAAATTATAGACAATATTACATAACATTAATTACAGAAAATATTTACAAGGCCTGCAAAGAATTGATGAAAACACCTCTTTTGAAAAAATAATCCATGCATTTCAAGATTTTTGTGCAGAAATAAGCTCAGCTTCAAATTTCACTTTTTTATAAATGCTTTGAAGTCTAAGAAATTATATGTTGGTTATCTGTTATCCTCGTGGAATTTGTGGTTAAGAGAACACCGCATCCTCTGTTATGAAATTTAGAGATAGCACAGGAATAAAATAGGAAACTCTCACAGAGTTTAAGATCTCTGCTTATTATAAACTTGTAGATACTCACCAAGAAATACCTGCGTTAAAACCATTCAGAAATTCTTTGGTTTCCATGGGGTTGTTATTTTGGCCATGGATAACGTTCTGTTGTTAATTACAGTTATATTGTTTGTTAATAACTTACAGGTGACTTTACGAGAGGATGACTCATAGTATGATCTTGCACAAGTTTGAATTCATGATATCTTAAGGCAACTGACACATTCTACATACATGGGAACACAAACTCACAACTACATACACACAAGCACACGCCTATGGGCCTGGAACACAAGGGCACTCAGCCAGAACTCTTAAACATAGTTATCCAGACTTTGCTATTCTTAAGTATTTAGAAAAATTGCACGTGGTTTTTTTTTTTTTTTTTTGGTTTTGTTTTCCTGGATCTTTAAGAACTAGAATTTTAAAACGAGCACACCGAAGAGTCATGTCCCACTTTGGTATTCTGAGGACAGAGTGTATCTTGATTTCCTCCATCACTTGCTCTCGTGGGCTCAGGGATTGGATGATCCTCTCTGCAAGGGGGAGCCCCAGGTGCCCCCGGGAGAGATGTGAGACACCGTCACCCACCTGGTACAAGGCCACGCAGAAGAGGAAGAGCACCATGTAGATGATCTTGTACATGACAATCTTCCCCTCGAAGCTCACGAAGAAGAACATGCCCCCGCACACGTAGATCCAGTACTTGATGAACATGGCCACCACCAGGTTGCCCAGCACCTTCATGATGTCCTGCTCGTCGTCCTCCTCCACCTCCTCCTCCTCCACCTCCTTTCTTCTCTCGGGTTTCTCCTCCTTTGCTTCCTCATCTTCCTCCTTGGCCTGGGGCTCCCCTTCCACAGGAAGGTGGTGAAGATCCTCATCTTCAAACAGAAAGCTGTGTGTTACCTCACTACAACCACACTTGGACCAGGCATGACGCATGCGGGGCAACAGGCATTCGGTGAGTTGTTATTTCATTTGAATGAGTTCAGCCTGTTCTAATAAACCAGGACATCTTCATAACTAATGTCAATTTTCACAACCTTCTTGAAATACAAATGAAATGAAAATGAGTTTGAAAATATATTTATGCTAATCGCTTTGCAACATCATTCCTTCTGATATAAGGATAGCTTTCTAGGGCTGAATCTAGAAAAATAAATGAGTACCATCAACAACAAAAATAACTCTTTCACTTTCAAATTTGAATTGTTTCATAACCCTTGGCAATGCAAAGGATACTTCAAGATCAACAGTGCATGGCAGGGTCAAATATAAATCAGTGGAAAGAATAATTACAATTTAACCATAAGCAAAGTAATTATAAACCTGTTGGAATTAAAAACCTGCTTTATCCTAATTTAACATATTCTAACATATGAGGCCTGTCTCCTTGTTACCAAGGTTACTTAAAATCTGAATAATGTTTTCAAACAACCAGTGGATTCACAAAGTGGCAGGGAGAATGAAGTGAATTTCTGAACTCAAATGAACCAATCTTTCTCAAAAAAAAAGTTAATTTAATCAATTTTGAGTCCAGAAATCCAAATTTATATAGGCAAGGTTTAAACTTCATATCAGGCTTGTGCTCCTGCAAAGCAACTCAGGGGTTAAGCTGGAAACTACACACAGACACAACCTCACACAATTCGCGGTGTGTGTTGGTTTTCTCACGGTTATTCATCTTTAAAACTTTTGAAAGATTGACTTATTTCTTCAAAAGGCAGCATGACAGAGAGATACGATGGAGAGATCTTTCCCTGCTGGCTCACGCCCACATTGCTGCAACAGCCAGGTCAACCAGGCGGAAACAGGGACCTCCTCACGCCAGCTGGGGTCTGGCCCAAGAACTTGGCTCATCTTCCAATGCTGCCTAGCTTCGTTTTCAGGGAGCTTGCTGGTGGGTCAAGTATGCAGGACTCCAATGGGCACTGCTGAGTTCTCGTTGTCGCAAGCACCAGCTTAAAGTGCTGCGCTCCCTATGGAGTCGTCTCATTAATTAAGGTTGCCAAGGTATTTAAGTTTATTTGGCCTACTCTAGTTTAGTCTTCCATTTGTATTTTTTTAATGAATGATAATAGACTAATATTAATAATTGTTGGCACCTGCCGCTTTAGTGACACTGACAAGGGACAACACATAGGGTGAAAAAGCTTGCTTGATCACGTGATGTTGTTAGGTACAATTAACAGGAGCAGACCGTCTGGCGGATGAGGGTGTGCCTGGGTCCGTGTCATGTTCTGGATGCTAGTGTGTCCAAATTTGATTACACTATTAAGGGGCAAGAGGAAGAAACAAAGCAGTCTCCTGTAAGTATTAAGCCAAACATGAGCGAGTGTGGTGAGAATATATGAACTGTCGCTAATGCAGCAAAAGTTAAGGCAAGGTCTGGTAGACTGTGGGTGGCTGGGCGCTTGGTCTGTCACTTCACAAACACTGCAGCTGTAGTCCGATTATGCTGTGGCTCCTAAGCAAATGTGGATGCTGAAACCCAAAGTCGTAATAGTACCAAGAAGACAAGAACTGAATCCTATGCTGCTGTTTGCATAAGGTGAGCAGCAGGAGAGGTCCTCAGGTCCCCAGGGTGTGCCCTCAGATGGCGGTGCTCATGTGAACATTGGTTATAAAGGCCTGAGCTGAGTCCAACCACTCTGTTCTCCCTGGCCCAGCAGGTGCAAGTCCTCCGGCCGCCCCCACCATGCATCCTTCACTCTCACAGACTGATCAGTGTGGCTCTCAGCCTTGGACTTCCAAAAGGTGAAAGAAACAAACCTTTCCTCTTTTCCAAGTTTTTTTTTTTTTTTTTTGAAACAATGCTGTGCTCCAGCGTGGCCCCTTGATTAATTTCATGGCTCTCAGCCAAGCTTCTGTAAACAAATACAGCCTCTTTTTCAGAAACAATGTTACCAAACCTCACCAACAGTCTCATACTGGATTCTACCATCACCGAGCTTACACTGGCAGGTACACTTAGCAAGTACACTTAGCTAAGTACACTTAGCAAGAAAATTATTCTCATTTTACCTACATAGTCTAAAATGACAAAAAAGAAAATGTGAGAATGCATTTTAAAATTGGATGAAAAATATGCATATGAAAAGTATATCGTGTAAAAATTATACACTTATTTCCCAAATTTCAGCACTAAAATAAACTTATCTTTTGATTCCGTGCTCCTTGAACTTTTTGAAGCTTTTGTATGAAAACACGCTCCTTTAAAAATTCTTTACTTGATACTATGCTCTTTTTCAGAAAACCATTTGATTTTGCAAAAGAATTGAGTTAATTTCCTGATTAATACTACTTGGTCTTTCCCTGTGTAAGAATCAATGACATGTTTCTCAAAGTCCCTGTGAACTCCCACGGGGACCCTGCAAGTTCCACTCCAGGATGTTGTCACTCCTCGCTCCCGGTTCATGTGCAGCCCAGGTGTCCCCCAAAGTTGCCCTGTGCTCTTTCTCTGCCACGGCGCTGAGCCCCAAATCGCCACCGACGCGGGATTTACTGGCCTTTACCTTTGTCTTCATTTTCCTCACTTCCAATTTTGACTTCTGATAAAAGGGCTTCCTTCTCCTGAAGGGCCTTCTGCTCTGTGAGGTGCTGTCTTAACAGAAGCCAGAAGGTGATGGTGAAGAGAATCTGAAAGCAGAGAACCAGCAAAACAGGAATGAAGCCGCGTTCACACATCTCAACCAATGCCGCTTCTGTTTTTCAGGTTCTGGTGTGGGCACAAGAAACTGCATTTTTTTAAATTTATCTGAGCTGGAGTCAGGGAGCTGCCTGGCTTCAAACGGAAGTTTCTTCTCCCGCACAACCTTTGCTGGAGGGCGCTAGGGGTCAACCAGCCCTGACGACGTCCCAGAGATGACGCTGGCCATCAGCTTTAACAACTGGGCTCCCCCAACGTGCTCATCCGTGACCAACTTGCCCCTGACAGTGACATCACTACAATCATTAAAGGAAGATGGCCTTCTTGTGTGATGCTTCTTGGATTCAGAGCTCCTTATCCTGAGGGCTTCTGAGCTGGGAAAAAGGAACTGTCCTGCAGAAAATACAATTCCACAGGCTCACTACTCTGTCAAAGTAAATGAGGAATACTCTAAGTACTCAGACTTTACACTAACATTTTCTTTAGGACTAGAAGAAAAAAAAAAAAACCCTTTTGATTATGGAGGATTCCATTCTTTAGGGATGTGGCACCTGGCGCATGGTAGTTTTTTTGATACCAGGTTTATGTATTTCTGATATATAATTCACACAGCATACAGTTCACAATTTAAAGTGTCAAATTCTCCTTTTTAACTGTTTATTATTATGTATGTATATACTTCTAAATATATACTTATATGATTTGTTACATATTCATTATCAACTATATATCTAACTACCCACAGATCTGTGCAAACTCACTGCAATGAATTTAAAAATATTTTCATCACCAAAAGCTGCCCAGTCCTCATCCACCGTTAGTTCACTTTTTATCCCTAGGGATCAACTTCATTTCATATAAATGAAATCAGATGTGTTCTTTTGTAAGCGATTTTATTAGTTCACGCAGGAAGTATGTAAAAGTTCTCCTCTTTTATGCTTCTTGATCGTATAATATTTGTAAGGTTCACTTATACTTTAACAACTTAAAGCGCTTAATTTATTTTTATCATCAAGCAGCATTCCACTGGATGGAAATACAATAGATTTTTATAGCCAGTCATTAGTTGATTGCATGTGACAGGCACTTTGCAGACAAACCTTTGTGTGAATATATATTTTCAATTTTCTTGGACATACAAACTTAGGACTGAAATGGACAATCTTAGGATAATTAGTATTTGGAGGAATTGACAGCATTTAAGGAGTAAAGTTCTTTTTTTTTTTTTTTTTCTAAAGTGCTGCCCTACTACTGTGCATTCCCCAAGCAGTGGCTGACAGTTCCCTCAGGGCCGTCTGCTTTTCTCTTTTTGGATTTTTGCCATCCTAGAGGATGTGACGTGGTGGCTCATGGTGGTTCCCAGTAGGCTTATATGCAATACTTGCCAAAGAAGTGAAAAACATAAATAGGCAAATGAATAAGTTCGTTTTCATTTTGAGTGACTGCCCATTTCACTATTCATAAATGCCCATTTGTCATTTGCTTTCATTATAATTCAGTGCCAAAAATTTCTTGTAAATATGTTTCGTGCTGGTCCTTTGGAAAAGTTGCTATTATCATTCTGAAAGTTGTTGAGAATTGATTGTAAATTGGGAAAAAATTTTTATCTCTTCTGCACATTCCTAGGATTTAGGAGGAACTAGGACTTATGGGCTTCTTGCTTAGAAGTGACACTTGCTTGGTGAGTGACAAGGCAGCTTTGGAAGGCACCACTGGACGCAGCTGGATGCAGCCAGGAATGAGAGCACTCAACAACATTGCCACTCGGTCAGACCTGGGTGCCCAAGGACATGGAGGCCTGAGAGGACCCCAGGCAGACTGCTCTGCCACGTGGACTCATTGAACGCTCTGCAATTCATCAAGATTGCTCTGTGCTTAATTACACATTTTAACAAACATCCTGGGCCCTGTGACGTGGCCTAGCAGCTAAAGTCCTCCCCTTGAACGCGCCAGGATCCCATATGGGCACTGGTTCTAATCCCGGCAGCTCCACTTCCCATCCAGCTCCCTGTCTGTGGCCTGGGAAAGCAGTCGAGGATGGACCAAAGCTTTGGGACCCTGCACCCATGTGGGATACCCGGAAGAAGTTCCTGGTTCCCGGCTCCAGATTGGTGCAGTACCGGCCATTGTGCTCACTTGGGGAGTGAATCATTGGACAGAAGATCTTCCTCTCTGTCTCTCCTCCTCTCTGTATATCTGACTTTCCAATAAATAAATAAATCTTAAAAAACAAAACAAAACAAAACAAACATCCTTTGCTTGAAGAGCTATGAATCTAAAGCCCACGGCAAACTATTGCCCTGTTCTTTTTCCCCCTTTTTTCGGATCCTGGGTGCCTTAAAATGCAAGTGCAGATCGCAGGTTTCCAGAAATTCTTTTTAAGACATGAGCAACAGTTTCCCAAATAGCGTTTCCCTCCCAATCAAGTATTAATTTTCGATGAGTCAGGGGTCATGGCACACATTTTTAGAAATCTCAGTGGCACCTCCAGTTAGCTTGAACTGGATTTGAGCAGTCTGAAGGAACAGGTTTAGACTGCCTTTAAGAGCCCGGATTTCTTTAACAGAAAAAATGAACTGCTGTGTGTTACTGTGATGTGTATCTGCGTTTAAGGGGAAAGAGGAAGAGAATGAAAGTGATGTCACAGGAAGGTGACTCTGGAGTGCGTTAAGGGCCTTGTGGTCAACAGCATGGCTAGAGAGAGAGAGCAGGACTGGAGTGCCAGGGATGGATGAAAGAATGAGTCAAGTGTTGCTGGCCTGTGCAGGCAGGGAATGACCACCTCCTCTCGGATTGCCCTTGCTATGCACCTGCAAGTGCTTAGCCCTTCATCATTAAGCCTCTTGCACGGATGTGTCTTCGCAGGTGTGTGCTCATCACCCCATTCGATTCCTGATTGCCCGGATATGTGATGGTGATCAACTCTGCTAAAGATGTCTTCTCCCAGGAAAGGCAAATTGTGCGTGAGGTAAGTGGACATCATTTGAGGGATGTTAACTTTCTGCTTTGTTTAAAGGAGGACGTTTCAAGGCTCATCCAGCACATGCAGGACTGTTTTTGCTGTCTTAAAGGCATCCATAGCCAGGGGATGTGTGTTTATAATCTGGTGCTTTGCTAAGTCAGAACGCCTAAGATTCTCAAATAAGAACTAGCCACATGACCTATGAAAATAAATGAGTAATGGAAAGTGTGTGAATACTCTAACTACCAATGAAGACATATCATTTAGTCAGTCATTTTTTTATAAACCGATTATCTATCAAAGCAAGTTCTGTGACACCTTTATATTTTTACATTGTATTTTCTGATTTCCACATTTATTTTTGATATACTGTAATTTATACTGTAATCTTTCTTTGATTGGAAAGCATTAACTTTCCAAGTTAAAAAAAAAAAGCATGGCATGGTTCATGTTTCAGAGACTGCCAAGCAATAAAAATTGTTTCAAATATTTCTTTTTTGAGGTAGTGATCATTTGGAGATCATTTTAACAAGATTTTGCTTGGTACAATCATTATTGTGATTTTCACCCTTCTATTGTCTTGTTTCCTATTTACTCATGCATTTGTTAATTTTTATTTTCCATGTCACAGTTACATAGGTTCACCCACTTCCGATTCATTTACCTTCGAAGCAAGTTCTCCTGGCTCTTTCTTTTCCAAAAATCCTGGGACCTTTTTAATTTCTGGAAGTTCGAAGCTCCATATGTATTGCAACACCAGCAGTAGATTTCCATACACCACCATGAAAGGAGAGCTGATCATGGCGTATTTCCTCCGGTTGCGAATCATCCACAGAGTACATGACCAAATGAGCAGCACAAAAGTCAGCCAGCTGTGGTAAGTAATGCTCCAAGCCTCACGGGAGAGAAAAGGACCAGTCAACGCCGTGCAGTGTCCTGCTGTGCAAAGACGAGCTGACTTCACGCAAAACAGCACAATCGTGTGCGCATAATACATTGATTTCATGATACAGTTCAATAAGCTCAGGGATTTTCCCTCCTCCCCAAATTCCACGCCCCGCCCCCTGCTTGAGCTTCCCTATATTATTATCTTGGTCCTTCAGCAACAGTCCCAAGTCCATCATTCTGCTATGTAAGTGTATCCTGACATTGTAGGCATAGAGAGAAAGTCCAGCATCCCAATGTCAAGATCGTTTAACAGTTTCCTGGGGAGTCCATCTTGGATTCAGGAGTAGAGATGTGTACTACAATGTAGCCTCACTTCTCCACGTGACAGTTTCTATTATCTACCCTTCACTGCTCTTCATTATTATCTACCCTTTCCTAACATAGCTTGGAGTCAGCAGCTATTCAGAAAGGATTATAAACACTTAAAAATATATTTGAAAGAGTGACACACAAACAAAAAGACCAACCTTAACAATAATACACAACAGAAATCAGACAATTGTATGTTGGGCTTCCACATACCCCAGGTAAAGCCCAGTTAATGTGAGACAGCCCAGCTTCAGTCCTGTAAGGGTTAGAACCTACATGGGTCAGACCCCATGTTCCTCTGTGCCTCTTAAACTTTCAGTTGGCAGCGAGCAGAGCAATTTATACATCAGGCTCACAAACACTATTAGCTTCAGGAAACCTGTTAGCTCTTACCACGATCTCTGCTAACACTTTGGGTTTTAGGTTTTTGTTTGCTTGCCTGTTCTGGAAAAAAATTTTTTCTAGCTCTATCTGGGACTCATTGAAATCCACTGCGTTTCTGAATATCGTGAACTATCAACACTTCATCTAGAAGCCTGTTCTGCATCTGGAAAGCAGTCAGGTACAAGATAACTAAGAAATCAGCAAAGGACAAAGGTTTCCTCTCAGCAATTGCAGATTCGCCCTTAAAGAATCACGTGTTATTTCGAATGTTGAATGGGGCCATCAGTGTGGCGCCCACAGCCCCCGCCAGCAGCCTCCCCATATCAGAGTGCTTATTCAAGTCTGGGCTACTCCGCTTCTGATCCAGTTCCCTGCAGCTGAGCCTGGGAAAGCAGCTCTTAGAAGATGACCCAAGTCCTTGGGCTTCTGCAACCCAAATGAGACCTGGTTGGCATGTCAGGCTCCTGGCTTTGTCCTGGGCCAGCTCCAGCTACCGAGGCCACTGGGGAGGAAAACAGCAAATGCAAAATCTCTCTCTCTTTCTCTCTCTCTTTCTCTCTCCCTCTCTCTCTCTCTGTATATTTGTGAATGCGTGTGGAATTCTCTCTCTGTTTCTCTGTTAGTCAAAGAAATACATCTTTCTAAGAAATGCAACCACAATGTTTTAAAAATTACATGCCAAGCAGAAACTCGAAATTAAAATAGGTTTTATTAAAATGAAATCATGACTGTTATCAATTTTTTCAAAAATATTATTTCTTGCAAATAGCAATTATTAAAGGTAAGGCAACATTGAATGTCTTTGCACTAAATAACATGCTTAAGGTATCTGCATTTGATGATGTGTTAAATGCAATATGAAATGAAGATACCACTTTTTCACGTGGTCCGGGTAAATAAATTTCACACAGAATTCCAGCAGATTTCTTTCCCCTACTCTGTTCTGGTTTGGAAACATAAAGAGAGAGAAAAGCCAGCCATGAGAACTAGTAAAAAATTCTCTTTCCTTTTATGTACCTCTTTCCATCTGGCCTTCTGCTAGCCGCAACTAAGAGCTAAATCCCCACTCCTGTTTCCTGTGTAGCTTTGAAGTGGTCCGAGATACTAATCTGCATGCCGTTTTACATCTGAACAAGTCATTTTTTTTTTTGTTCTCATGCCTTGATCTTGGGGCTCCTTGATTTTATTTATTTATTTATTTTTAATGTTCCATTGCATTTTTTTTTATTGTTAACCACACTGTATTATGTGATACAGTTTTATAGGCACTGGGATTCCCCCTACCCCTCCCACAACCCTACCCCCATGGTGGATTCCTCCACCTTGCTGCATGTTCACAGTTGAAGTTCAATTGGGATTCATTCATTGCATGCATATACCTTGCATAGAGTTCAGCACATATTTGCCTTAATTTAACCAGTAATTTTATTTGTTTGTGGATTTATTTGTTTTTGAACCTGTCATTGATACTGTCTCAATCCATGCATTGTGAAAAATCGAACTTGCATTACTTTTAACATTTTGTTTACTCAATACTGTGTCAATCAATTTCATAACATTGTAAATTGTTGCTGATGTTTTGTAGGGGCTTTTAACCGACCGGGACTTTACTCTGTTAGCTCTACCTTCAGACCAGAGAAGGTCTCCCCTAGAAACCGCTGAACTTATCTGGACAATAAGATGAACAAGTCATTTTTAACAGACTTGGGCCCTCCAAGGACTTCTGCTTTAGTCTATGCTTAACAAGAAGGCAGCAGCCGGTGAGGGCCGGTGAGGGTCCCCATCACGGGCTGGCGCTTGTAAAACATCAGTGCTTTGGCCACGCAAGCTCACAGCTTTCGGGAAAGACTGCATTGTTATTAAGTAACAAAGTGTGTAGTCAAAAGAACCTTATGATTTGACTGAGGAACAAATCCAAACTCAACTTGCAGATGGAAGAAAAAAAGGTGTATACTTGTGTACTTTTTGAATTCAGGATGAGGATTGTGAATTGTCTGAATAATACAGCCACTGTGTAACAGAGATCAGTAATTGACAGTAGTGGTCAACCTAAGGGACGTTTTAAGAAGTAAGGCTAGAGCAGAGAAATGATTTGATGTGGGGAAGTTAGTGAGATGGATAAACCAGCTAAGGCACCACTTGGAAAACCTGCCTACTGCTGGTTCAAGTCTCGCTGCTCTGCTTCGGATTCAGCTTCCTGCTAACGCACAGCAGAGGATGACACAAGTCCTTGAGTCCTCCTGCCCACATTGAGACCCCGGTGGAGTTCCTCGCTCCTGGCTTTGGCCACACTGTTGTTGACATTTGAAGAGGAAACCGGTGGGTGATACACCTCACTGTCTTTTCCCTGGCTCTCTGACTTTCAAATAAAATAAATAAGTAAATGAAAACGCAAAACAATTATAGAGTTGGCAATCCCCAAATGAAGCTCAAAATTCAAATTGAGAACTCAGGCTTGGGGGCTCTGGGGAACTCCGGTTGCTTCACACTGCATCTGCTGAGTGCTGCTACAGCGAAGATGGCACGAGGACTCTAGGGCCAGCCTCGGAGCTTAGAGGGCTACACAACACCTACACTCCATGTGGGGCACTGGTTCAAGTTCTGCAGCTCCGCTTCTAACCCAGCTTCTAGATAATGCATCAGAGAAGCAACAGATGCTGGTCCAGTAGTTTGAGTCCCTGGCACTCACACGGGAGACTATGATCAAGCTCCTGGATCAGACCAGATCCAGCAGCATGGCCCAGGTCCAACCATTGGAGCCATCGGGGGGCGGGGGGAATAAATCCCTGAATGGAAAATCTTTCTCTCTCTGTTTCCCTCTCCATCTCCCTTTCAAATAGATAATTAAAAAAAAAAAAAAGATGTGGATGTAGTTTTCACTTCCCAAAAGAAAGAAAAGCTGGCCGTGAGAGGACAAGGGACAGACCAAATTGATCAACTACCCCAACCAAGTGTTGGCAGTGAATACCTGAGAAAACAGAGAATCTAATGTGGACTATGTCAACCAGTGGATTCCGGAGAAATGTCATCGTGCTTGGAGTGGAGAAATTAGCAGTAATTCAGAACTGTTGAACTATCAAAACCCCTTGGCAGGACCCTCAGACATGCCCCACATTGGGGACATTAGGATGGTGTTGGGTGGCTGTCCTCCATCCCAGGGTACAGAGACATTTGGGAGGCTGGGTGTGGCTTCTCCCCTTGTCTCCCCAACCCCCAGATACAGGAAGAAAAAAAAAAGAATGTGGAAATAATGGTTTCACCTACCTTCCCGTAATCCTTATCACCATAATCAACTATGCAAAAATCATCAAAAAATAAAATAACTAAATAAATAAAGCCTCCCCCCCCCAAAAAAAAATAAAGAAAAGCTGGCTATGTTACCCTTGAATACCTTCAACAACTTTTAGAAAAATAATCTAATCTGTCTTTAGACAGTCTGCCCTGGTCAGATCATTTGGGAGGAATGCATTAAGATTTGTATTTAAAGAGGACAGGTCTGTCCAATCTGCACTGTAAAATCCCATGAAAAATTAATATAACATAACATAACTGACCACCCTGTGCTCAGGCATAGCAGGGAATCTGAAATCCTTGTACTGTGGTGCAAGGATGGTGAAGCCTGGGCCAGCAGGATAGTGCATGCCATCTGGGCCAGCAGGATAGTGCATGCCACCAGGGCCAGCACGGCAATGCGCGCCACCAGGGCCAGCACGGCAATGCGCGCCACCAGGGCCAGCAGGGAAGTGCGTGCGACCTGGACCAGCAGGGCAGTGCGTGCCCAGGTGCAGCACCTGCTGTACCCAGGACACCTACCATCATTGCGATGAGGGCGCAGATGTAGCTCTGCTTCATGATAAACTGGAATACGGAGACCATGGCGTGGACTTTCACGCTTCTCTTTTCCTCACAGCTTCTTTCCTCTTCAAATTCTTCTTTCTCATCCTCATCTTCATCTTTCTTTTCTAGATGGGCAGGGACGTTAACGATTGATTATAAAACAGTTGGAATTCATCGTGTCAGGCAGTATAACACATGAGTAATTTTTGGCATAACTGAATTCTTCTATCAATGCTTTCTGTTTTTTGCTTATTGTATTTAACTTTTTAAAATTTCCATTAGCTTCTAACAGATTTGCCGGGACTGGTAGATACCATTCTAAGAGCACCCTCTCTCCTCCTCAATCTCAACCTCCCATGCTTCTTCCTCGTCCCTTAAAAAAAAGTTTTTGAGATAACATTTTAAATTCACATGCCATCCTTGGCAGGCTCCCAAGTGAGGATGTGATGCCAACTTTCCTGGGCCACTGTCTTTCCCTAAGCCTAGGGTTTCTGCAGGAAAACCCCTAGCTCAGCAGCAGCGATGGAAACGCGGATGGAATGTGTAGGGAGCTCTCTGGTTGTGGTGTTTTTGTGTATAGTTTATTCTGTAGCTATGTGTTCCGGATGCTTGCATTCAACCAAACAGAAAGTGGGAATTGTGGAAAAATAATATTGTATCTTGTAGGGAAGATATGTAGACTTCTTTGTCATTATTTCATAAATTAAGTGGTGTCACAATGATTTATATAACATTTTACATTGTGCTAGGAGTTATAAATAACCTAGTGTTGATTTTAAGTCAATGGGAGAATGTGTGTAAGTACCACATCATGTTACAAAAGGGACTTGGTGTCCAGAAATTTTGTTATCTTAGGGTAGGGGGTTTGGTACCTACCCCTTTGGATGTGTCCTGGACAGAGAGTTAATATGTTAGAAGGATCAACTTTCCAGCTCTTATTTCACATCTAAAAGTTTATTTGATGATCTGTATATGTTTGGGTGGCCCTGGTCAGCAGTCAGATCCTGGGTATTTGTCCTCATGTAAAATATGTGAGCTAGAAGACCTTGGGCTGCTCAGTTGTCAGTGGTGGCCATCACAGAGGCCAGCTCTTGCATCACACAGATGCCCTGTGTGACTCGGAGCCCACCCCGCAGAGTCCACACATGGAAGGCACTGCATTGCCACCGGCTTTTCAGGCCAAGTCTGAATTGCAAACCAGCACACACTGCTTGTAAGACACAGAAATGAGTAACGAATTGGTGGAATCTGATGTTCTGTGGAGCCTACAGGTGTCCTTTAGGGTTGGTGCACGAGTGTGTCTGTGTAGGGGACTGACCTTGCTGTGATCTTAAAAGGGGAATGTTGGGTAACAGGACAACCCAGCTGTCCCCGTTAGGTGCAGCTGGAGGAAGTACTGATAAAGAATTATGAAGAACAGATCTTCGGCTTAAGCCTGTTAAAGAATTATGCAAGAGGGCCCTCAGAGTAAGCTTAGCTTAATGTTCCACTAATGCAAATTTGATAGCTGCTGGCATTCACTGAGCCTGGAGAACATCTGACAATTCCCATTTTAATTCCACATAAATAGAGACAAAGATCCACTGTAGTTCCGTTGCTACTTTGCTGCCACCTATATCAGCTCACTGCATGTACTCCCCCGACCCGCCGCACAGTAAGCTGATCCTGTCTTTAGTGACTGGTGACTGGATGGTTGCCCTGGCCAGGGAAATGACAGCAGAGGTGCTACCAACTGCTGCCTTGTAAGAACGAGGGGCTAACGCTGCCAGATGCGCACACTCTTCAGGAGATTCTAGAAACATTCATTCTTCGATCTGACCCGTAGGTTTATAGTAGTAGTTATCATCCCAAAAGTGTTTTTTTTTTTTTTTTCCCAGTTGCTGGATGAATGAAATGCTAGTCTGAATGTCAAGTTCTCAGATTCTCTTAATAATAATCTACTTTCCTTCAACCAAATAAACTGGAAGAGAGAAAAACACCTTTATGCAAGCAGCGACTCTTTCCTATTCCTTTTAAAATAAATGACAGGCCTGGTGCGGTGGCGCAAGTGGTTAAAGGTCCTCGCCTTGCACGCCCGGGATCCCATATGGGCGCCGGTTCTAATCCCGGCAGCCCCGCTTCCCTTCCAGCTCCCTGCCTGTGACCTGGGAAAGCAGTCGAGGACAGCCCAAAGCTTTGGGAACCTGCACCCGCGTGGGAGACCCAGAAGAGGCTCCTGGCTTCGGATCGGCATAGTATCGGCCCGTTGCGCTCACTTGGGGAGTGAATCATCGGACGGAAGATCTTCCTCTCTGTCTCTCCTCTCTGTATATCTGCCTTTCCAATAAAAAAAATAATAAAAATAAATCTTTTTAAAAAAATAAAATAAATGACAAAGGGCTCTTAACTAAAGCATTCATGTACTTAGCTAGTTGACCATATCTGCAACTTCAATGACATGCACGTATGTTTAATGCCATAAGTAAGTAGGTACTTGTAACCCATTTTTTTCTCCTCTTATCTTTTCTGTGTTCTCTCAATTGTGCCCTTTCTTTTGCATACAAGAATAAAAGCCAGACAGCAATGTGCTGGCTCAAATTACGGGCAGAACTTCAGGAAATGAACTTTCTTGTGCTGACCACGGAGGATAACACTGTTATTAAAAGAGGAAAAACACATCCGATAAGCAACACATTAAGGAAGACACCGTAGGAATGAGATGGAGCCCGCCCGTGTTACCTGAGGATTCACCCGAGGGCTGCCAGCGGTACTGGGGCGTTGAGTACAGGTCAGCCTTGGCGGGGCCGTTCTCCACGGGCAGGCTAGGGTGGATGGTGTGGTAATCCACTGGGTTGCCATTCACCGTCACCAGCAGGCCCTGCCGAGGCAGTGCAAGGAGAGGCTGGTCAGGGGAGAAGGACTTCTGCCTTTATTCCAAGCATGGCTCAGCAGTGAAGAGCTCATTGGAAACTGAGCAATGTAATAATGCACTCCAATATTTCAGCAAGATGAAAGGTGTGCACCCCTTTTCCAAATCTCACCTCCATGGAATGTTCCAGCTTATACCAATGCTGTCACACTTTTGTTCAGACCCATGCAGTGTACTCCCCGGTCCCAGTGCAAATCGGCCCATCGTTAACTGATGAGGATTTGATGACAGAGTTTGGTGTTTTCATCAACTGTAACTGCTCCCACCTGCCAGCCATTCCTCTGGTCTGGAAGTCTCCAGCCCTGCCCTGGACCTGGTCTGTGCCCCATGCTGCTCTGTTCAGATCAAAGTGAGTACCCTTCGGGTCTCGGGTAAGTGTCACCTTCTGGCCATCCTGGACTGGTCTAAATGCCACTGCCTGCCTTCCCCCCTTTGCCTCTTGGCATTATAATTTTTACAAATAAACACATGAGCACCCACAGTCCAGGCCATAGGAGACTTCCTAATTTAAATACTGTCACAAGCATGCAACTACAGAACAAAAGCACTTTTTAAAATCCTCTCAGAATTTTTAAAGCTTAAAAATATTTTGCGTGACTATATTTAGTCTCACATGAAATGGGTCATTGCTCTAACAGCAATAACCCAAACATAATTTCTGCACAAAAATGCCTGAGAAGTTCCGAGACTTTATGGAGTAGTGATCAATAAGACGCACGACCGTGAGCCAATTCCATTTCTGTCACTTTCGTATCACACAAACAGACGCGAAGATTCTAAGGATATACTAACATCAGATGGCTTGTAGTCATCGTGGGTCATGGATAAAAGCTGTAAAAGCAATGTGGGACAGCATGTTAATTAGTGAGCTGGAAGCAACGCCATGTTTACACATACCTATAAAGTTTTACTGTGTACATACCAATTCTCTTTAGCCAGCGGGATGCTAGTACGTTAAAATAGCCATGCAGGGGAAAAACAAACAAACAAACAAAAGGAATAATAATAGAATTGGATGCTGCTGGCTGTCGTTTTCCAGGTTCTGACACCACGTATTAACAGCAAACAAAGTGATTTTAAGCCACATGACCATAAACACTGCCCTGCTTTTCCAGTGTTTTGGTTAATAGCATGAGCTGTTCTCGAATGGATGCTCCCCAAACCCTTGGAGACATCTGCAGAATTTTAAATGTGCTTGCTTTCAAGAAATGAGCATTTTTAATAAAGGGAAATTGCAGTGTGCTTTATTATTTTATTTTCATACCATCAACAATAAAGTAATTATATGACTGTATTTCTAAAACACATTAGTGTTGAGTTGTTTCAGGTACCCCTACACAACTACTAGTACAGCAATTGCACGTGCTTTTGTGACTTTTGGGGTCAAGATTCATTTACATTCTGAGAGATCCAAAGATATTTTATTTATGTGGATATCAACAACATTACCAATAACTACCATAGTAGAAATTAAAATAGAGCTATTCCACATAAGCCTCAGTTAACATAAATAGTAATGCAAGCACTAATTAAAGCATCTAATTGATGCAATTACTAATTCAATCATCTTTCCGCATCACTGTTTTCGCACTGATGTGCATCTTTTACTGTCTGTGTGTTTCTGCACTCAGGCCGCTGCCATGTGCTGTTCTGGTTGAAGTATGAAGGAGATCCGGCCCCCCTGAGGTCTGCACTTGGAAGCAGAAGGGATATGCTAACAGCCTATTCGGACAATGGCACAGTCTTAACCAGCCGAAGTTTGTGAAGGTTGGTTGGAGTGGGGGCTCTGAAAGCACCCCAGAGAACTTGCCGTCCCCCACATCCTGAACGCCCACTGATGCTGATGTTGGCTGCATCCTGCACGGCTCTTGGCCATGGGCCTCTCTGCCGTGCGCTGCAATTTGGAAGCATCTGGGTCAGCGAGTTCTATAGCTGTATCAGATACTGGACCACTTCACAGAATCCTCCAAGAGCATGCATGTTCATGCTATCCTGACCTCATCGCCAGGTCTCAAAATATGGGGAAGTTTTCAAATTTGCCATGGTGGGCACAAACTTCCCACATACCAATTTTCACCTAAGTGCTCAAACTCTTTTAGTGGCATCAATTGTTGTCATTTGTGTGTCTCTGAGTGATGGTCTTACTGCATTAATTTTCAAATGGTATCTGCCAAACACCTGGGCCCGAGTAACCATAACTTGTCCATCAAGATAAAACAAATAATAGCCCCGCGTAAGGCACTTAGCATGAATGAACTTGTGGGCCTGGAACGTTCTGAGTGATTGGTGAATGCTGAATGAATGTAAAGGCAGAGGGCATTTCTCTAATATAGACTTCATCAGTGCTGAGTATTCAGTGTCTACTAACTTCACTCAGGTAATGTTTCTTTTCTCCAAAAGATGTTGTTTTCCTTACCCCAGCATCAGCACCACCCTGTGATTCATGTGCTATGCTCCGTGATGACAACCACAGCATCACGGGAATCTTTTAGCTATGTTCTACTGTTCGTGTGAAATGTGTCATTGCCTACACCTGCTTGTGGCATGACTGCAGCTCTTTCTGGCTCTCGCAGGATTTTCTTAAGGTACGCCTGCTTGGGGGCTTTGCTTTCCATGTGTGATTGTCAGTGGAGGTCCTCGTGTACCATCACCAGCTACGCAATGGGGCCTCAGTCTTGGTTTGGGTCCAGATGTCTGCCTTGTACCACCAGGCAGAACTCTTCAACATCAGCACAGACAGGGTTTGGACCTTGAGGACACAGGGTCATAGGAGCTCTAATGTGCCACAGGCCTCAAACGTTTCATGAAGTGAGATACAGTGAGATACAGGGCTTACCCTGAATCCTGGTCCTGTGAGAGGGAAAACCTCCAGAGACACAGGGCACTGTCCCTGCCCCATAGAGTAGTGTGGTCATTTTGCTCCATGGCCGAGTCACGGCTCACTCTCCTCCGGCATAGGGCAGCAGCCCTGAGAACAGGCCTCGGTGCTCTGCCATGCCACGAAATAAACTGGAAAACCCACTCCTCAGTGCCGCAGCTGGGGATCTACCCCTCAGTCCTCAATGCCGGGAGATTTCAGCACGTTGATCCTACCCAAGTTAACAAGCATTGCACGTAAGCCATTCTAGCTTAAGACATTGCAGTGAGTTGAGTTCAAAATGGTCAATAAATGATCAAAAGGTGATAAAATTATGTATGATGTGATCTATATATTTTAGATGATACTTAATTATATTCACTTTTCTGGTCAATACACACAGTTGCCTAAAGTGCGAGATCTTCACTCACATTCACATAGATAGAATGTTCTCCAACGGGGTATGGTATTATCTCGGCGGCTAACTACGCTATACAAGCGAGTAAGCTGCTAATGCCCTTCAACAAGTCCACGGAAAATGGATGAAAAGATGAGCAGATTTCAGTGCATTGTTCCATGCATCTTTTGAAGACCTTTGGTGTTGTCAGCCATGTATTTCAACATTGAAATTTTCATCCATGTCACCAGATTGCTATCTTTTTTGCTTGAAATATAGAATTATGCTTCAAAAGTCAGGGTTTTTAGAATGTGTTTGTGTGGGAAGCAATGAAACATAACGGGGCCATGATGTTTTCTTAAGAAGCCTTGAGTTCCCTCCGTGGAGGGAGTTCTCTGTTCTCTGGGTCTAAGCCTCTAAAACAACTTCCTTAGCATGATGAGCAACACATGTAGACTGGGGAGATGACAAGGCTCGGATTCAACCACCCAACACAAAGTCGGCCGAACAAGCTGGGAAATGGTGACCCTCTCTCCGTGACTTACTTTTCTCTCATCAGTTGGGTAATGGGTGGCGTACCACAGGCTCCGCCTCCTCTCGGCTGTGATCTGGACGGGGCTACAGGCCAGGGCTCTGTCTTCTTCCTTGGGCTTGTCGTCCTGTACCTGGAACAACAGGAAGAGCTCTGCTTTCCAAAAAACGTTCCCCAGGCAGCCGGGGAGGCCAGCAGGAAGCTGTTCAGCTCTGGCTCCCTAGGGTTAGTTTTCAAAGAGAATGTATACAGCAGGTGAGCTTTTCTGAAGACATCCTTTTTAAAAATGGCTAAAATGCTGCCCTGGGATTGACATACACGTTGGTATGAAAAGTTCTTGGATGCCTACTGAGAACATGTTCTGATGTTATTAACTAACCACAGATCCCAATGTGTATTCCGAGGGAAGCAGCTCTGCAAATGGCTCTTAGCGAGAAGCTTTCAAAAAAAGCATACAGCTAACTGTGAGCCAGTCACTGGCAATCTTTAATTATGAAGGTCTTTGTTAAAGATGCTAGCTTTTAGAGTTTGCACATGGTATTCAGCAAGGGCCTAGCAAGTGCCTTGTCAAATGAGACATTTGCCTAGATCAGGCAAATGGTTTGCAAGAGAGGACAAAGAGGAAATGCAAGGAGCACAATGCAGTTGATTATTAATACAGTTTCCTGATGATTGCACCCCGAAGAAGGCATTACTGAGTCCTGTCCCTGCTTTTGGAGTGGAGGGGAAGGGCTTGGTCTCTTAGCCTGACTGCTGGGGAATGAGTTAGAGTACCTGAGGGCAGCACCCTAATTTGCTGGATGGGAAACTGGTCTTGCAGGTGGAGCTGCCGAAACATTTAATTCTTGATACCTAACTGTTCTAATAAATCTGGTAGGTTGAGTCTCACCTTCACATATAGTCATATCAATCAATTGTGCCAGGCCATGTGACAGAATCGCTAGCATTGCCTCTATGAGTAAGTCTCTGTCCCAGGCCATTCGGAATACAGAGCTTTGCAAGGAGTGATCGAATCTAGAGAATAGAATGCTTGTGCCCCATGTCAGGGTGGCTGACTTTCCTTCTTGGCTTCAGTTTGCTGCCAAGATAGATGTGGTCATTACGTTGATGACTCAACCAACTGGGTCCCTGCCAGCCACTTGGGAGACACAGATTGAGTTTCTTAGCTCACGGTTTCAAACCCAACCTGGTCCTGGCTACCGCAGTCCTTGGGGAGAGAATCAGCAGACAGTAATGCTCTCTTTCTCTTGTTTTCCACACACATACATAAATAGATAATTTTAAAAAACACTAAATCTACCTGAAACATTGATGCTCACAGGTAGCCTTATTCTCCATACAACCCTCCAGATAATATGAGTTTTGACATTGCTATTGCCTTGTGGTTTACAGCTTTGATCATCTTCTTAGTTCTTTCTCTGTCTGCCTGCCTTGCCCATAGACAGTCCATGTAAGCACATTGGCCTGAAGGGGCTACAACATAAAAGAGCCTTCACTGTGGCACTGTGCATCTGGAGCTAAAACAAGGCTCAAGGTACTGGGAACTCTTGCTAATCAGATGCCTTAAAAGTAATTTCTGGAATGTTTAAACAATGTTTAGAAGTTGTGCTGAATTGAAGAAGCATTGAAAATTTCAGGGAAAATTAAATTAGAAACTAGTGCAGTTTTTCTCCAAACTTCTTGAAGTTCCTGCATATCTGTTAATCCCTTAGATGCACATTTTTATTTGTGTATACACAACACGCAGACTCGCATCTAAGTCTGTGGAACACGTCCAACGAAAACTGACGTCGTTAGAAGAGAGTTATGAAATTTCTTTCCGGTCTATACAGCACTACACAACTGTGAGAAGCCTGCTAACAAAGGTGACCCCGCAGACTCTAAGCATACCTCTTGTGTTACACCCCCACAATGGGGTGGGGACACTGTGGGCAGCAAGATTTCGGCCTCATTTCTGCAGATGGCACCTGTGCCACAGATGGACATGGCCACCATCTGCCTGAGATTCTAGTTACTCTGTTGAGACTGTGTTTCTCTTGGAGAGCACACAGTTTGCACAAACACAGGCCTTGTTTGTGATGGTGGCCCTTAGGTTAGCAGTCAACAGAGGCAGGCTTCACTACATTTTTGCTAAAATATACTTTTAACTGAATGACTGACTGACTGAATGGCTGTGCGGGCTTAAGCCTGTGAACAAAGGAGAGCCACAGCTCCAGGTCCCAGGCTGAGAGTGAGATGGAGTAGGCCATACTAGAGCTTAGGGACTTAGGCTTGGCAAGACTTGCCAATCTATCTGAACTATGCCTGCAGGTAGTGAACAAGAAGATGGTACGGCCTTTAACTTGCTTTTGTCCTGTGCCAATAAACTACCTTACAGCTGAGTTCCTGCCTGTCAGCTATTTAGGAGACATAAAAGCGGATGGATGCTTGGTACCACTGAGTGGAAGACATGCCCCATCCCACAATAGCGTTAGCCTTACTAACCTTCCCATAGGGACACATTTAAACTCCAAAGCAATGGGGTACATTATAATTCCCACACCTTGCAGTTGGATGTGCAAAAGAGTACAAGTATGGCAGCGCCTTCAGAGGCCACGAGGGCCAGAAGAAACTTGGAAAAGTCTAGTCACCTGCAGTAGGAGATGTGTGGTCTCTAAGACCCTGGTCTTGTCAACAACCACTTGGAACCATACAATGAGGATATTATTTCAGAGCACATTAGTTTAACTTGATTTTCTTGATCTGTCAGCTGGGCATAATGCCTGTTCATCAGTTATTTAGCAAGTCACGTGAGGTAACGCATCACCTGTGTGCCCAGTCATCGCTCAGTAAGAGTGACTGTCCCATGCTTGGCAGCACAGGGCTATGCTAACAAGAGGAGCCAGTCCCCTTCTGAGGCACTCAAGCCTCTGCAGAATTACAACGCTGCCACCAGAATGCAGAACAAGTAAAATAGTGGGTCCCTTCACCTGGCCACGCCAGGCTACTGTGCAGTCAAGAAAACGAGAACTGTGCATCCTTACCAGGGGTTCTTGGAGCCAGATTCGGATGAGTGTGGCCAGGGTGTAGTACATTACAAGCAGGAGGATGGGGTTGGCATGGTGGTACCACGACAGTTCTGGGTTTACTATGATTTTCCAAGTACTGGAACAGTCTGTTTGAATGACTGATTTGATGCCAAACAACCTGTTTCAAAACAAAGAAAGATGCTTAAAATACACAATAAGCTCAGTCACTAACATGAATGAAGTATCTTGTTTCCAACGCATTCATGGGCTATTCCTAGGGTAACAAATGTGTTCTGGACATGTCAGTTGCACTTCTGATTATATCGCTACATCTTCGAATATTAAATGTAGCTAAAATATAATCTACACACACTTCAAAATACTCACACAAAGTGGAATTAAGAGATGATTTTAGTGCAAAATGTTTTGAAATCAATACACATTTTTCATAGTACATATTTTACATAAATCTTAAATATCTCATACTTAAAATACATACATCTTTACATGATACGTTTGTACATTTTGAGACAATCTTTACATCAGTTAAAAATATAGAAAATATGAAATCTTTGGATACCTATTGCACATTAACATTTAAATTGCCAGTCAGTGCTATTAAAATCATGCATTATTGAAACACCAAGTATGTGGTAACATATTACTAAGTCTGGTGAAATGAGCAAATATTTTGTTTTTGGCTGGATTTAGCATTAGCTATTCAGCCAGTGTTGATATTATTGGATAAATATTGAAACTGGACATAGTTCTAAGTGAAGCCGTGAAAGTCATATATATCATATAGCAAAATATCTGGAAGATGTATTTCTGTCCAATAACATTTTTGAGGGTAATTTGATTTTTTTTCAAGGTTCTGCAATTCATCATTTGCTTTGAAATAGAATTCTATGGCACTTGTTAAATCTTGAGATGGTTTTTTAATGATCATTTCTAATGTCTCATGAGTGTTTCTGACTGTATCATAAGAAAACACATAAAGTATGATTTGCATAGAAATTCAGTTTGTTTTTATAAGAAAAATGACTGACAAATTCTTTCACGTATGAGGTGGAACGCATATCTTTTTGATAATCTGAATTTTATTTTATATTCTTCATTCAATTATAAAACCTAAGATTTCATGCCCTTCACTTGTAAAACCCCCATTGAGTGACTGTCTCACAATATAACTCTAGGTGCTTTTTCTAAATAGAGTTAATGTTTGCTGTAGAAAACAGCAATGTCTTAATAAAATTCATTCATTTTCTGGAAAAAAGTCATACTAGAACTTAGTCTTGTAGTTATTTCTTAAATCCATTTTTTTGTAGTTAGCATTTAGTTAGCATTCAAAAGAAGGATTTCTTGAGGACTAAACTGTAACATCTAGTTAAGACGTGCAGAATTTTTGAAAATTTTTGCAGCCCTCAATTACAATGTAGATTTCTTGTACACATTAAACAGAGTGAAAGGCTTTTATATTTTCAACCAAGTGACGTGGCCAATCTTTTGGGTTAAACTAAGCAGTGACCGCAAGGTACCAGGTCCCCGCACCTGGCACATTCACTAGGAATGATCTCATCAGTCATCAAGTTTAAAAACACCTGTTTTGTCCCATCAGAAACTTAACATAACGTTCTGCAGCTGTGTGTAAACCTCACCTTACAGCAACACTTCATACCTTGCCACTAATGTAATCTATTCCAGACTGATTTTACATGTTTCAACATTAGCACTGAGAATCAGATTTGTAGATTGGCTGATGGTTGTCCCACACAACCACATAAAAATTTTTTTCTAGCAAGCCTTGAGATCACTTAAGACCGAAGATTTCTCTCTTCGTCTCTCTCCTTGTCTCACTCACTCTCTCAGCCTGACTGTATTTTGTGGAAAGGATTCATATATGTGATGGAAAACGTGTACCTGAATTTCACATTCTTTCTGGCAATGCAATGGTAAGATTTTACACAATAGGGTCTGGTATCCTACGGTAGCCTAGTGGCTAAAATCCTCGTCTTGCACACACTGGGATCCCATATGGGTGCTAGTTCTATCCCCAGCTGCTCCACTTCCCATTCAGCTCCTTGTCTATGGCTTGAGAAAGCAGTTGAGTCCCAAAGCATTGGGACCCTGCACCTGCATGACAGACTTGGAAGAAGTTCCTGGCTCCTGGCTTCAGATTGGTACAGCTCTAGCTGCTGCGGCTGCTTGGGGCGTGAATCATCAAATGGAAAGATCTTCCTCGCTGATTTTACGCAGTATACTAATTTACTTGGTCTTTTTTGCAGATTGGATCTGGACTTTGATAACACAAGCAGGGGTGATCTCAATGTGCCCACCTTCCAGGAACTCATTCTCTGAACCCCAACAGTGTTACAGGAAGGACGGAATGTGTGTTGGGGACAAGCACTGGAAAAAGGCAGAAGAATGCCAAAGGGTGAGACCTTCGGTCCAAAAAAAGCTACATGAATAGATGAAAAACAAGAGAAACTCAGAAGGATTGGCGAGATGTTGTCAGGGTCACCCCTTTGAGGGACACACACTTGGCCTAACTTCTTAGGCTATTTGTTTCACAGCCCATTCCCCACCTGTGGAAGAGATCTTCACTTCTCTTCGTAGGCAATTACAAAACCAAGGTCGGTCTCCTTGGCTCCAGCTTCTTTCTAGCCCATAAGGTGGCAGTTGCCAGTCATCTTTAGGATGTACGAGTGCAGCCTGCTCCCTTCGCCCTCCTCTACAACCTGGGGAACAACCCAAACAAAGCAGCCCCCCAGCCTTCAGCAACCTGGTTTTGTCTTCTTTCTCCCAGACATGTAAGCTTGAGTTACACTGGATTTTTCAGATCTTTCCACACCATCTCAGTGCCTCGGTCTTGCCAGGGTTTTTTTTTTTTTGCTTTGCCAGGGTTCTTGCCAATAGTCTTAACTTTTCTTGGGTTGCCAAATCAAACATCAAGGACAAATTAGCCTTACCCACTCCTTGACAATTCAGATCCAAGAAACAAACTGGACAGTTCTTCACAAACTTTCTGGCTTCTTGTAGAAACTCTAGTCCTAGCCGAACCCCATCTGCACGCCTTAACACGGCGCTCAAAAAGAGTTCACGGAAAATCTAAGTATGGATTTTGCACCAAAGTATGCAAAATATGTTTCATCTCCTGTGAGTGTTCTTTTGAGTATCCTAGCATAGTTATCTGTTCCCAGACAGCTGGCATGGCTGATGAGCCCTGTAATTTGGGAGATGGTTGAGCAGACTTTGCAGAAATCCACTGGCATGTCAAAGGACACTTCAAGAAGCTGTGGCCACAAGTACACTGTAGCACTTCCGGCGGAATGCAGCTGGTGTTTGACCCCCCAGCTCCTATTTTAGAGGCCTGAGAAACAGAGACACACACAGGAAAAGGCACCCAAAGCCCATTGTTATGGATCCAAAGTAGATCACGAGTTACACATAGAAGGCCAGAGTGTCTGTGTTCTGGGAGGGGAGTTAGGCTCCATTGAGTTAAGCTCCTGATTGCAACGCGCACATCCCATGTCTCAGGGCTGGTTCAAGTCCTGACTTTGCTTCTGAGCCCACTCTGCCAGTGTGCCCGGGCAGGAGCAGAGGGTAACCCAGTACCTGAGTTCCTGCCATCTTCTAGGCTTCAGCCTGCTCAAGTCCTAGAAACTGCTGCCATTTGAAGAGTGAGCCAGAGGACAGAAGGGGTGTAAGAGTGTGTGTGTGTGTGTGTGTGTGTGTAGCTCTTTGTCGCTCTGCCTTTCAAAGAAACAAATAAATAAATGTTTAAAGCATTCCCAATGAGGCAGTGAACTAGACCTTGACAATGAGATTGTGCCTTTTCTACCTTTGCCTATGCATATACTATGATGCACTCAAACAGCGCACTGCTAAACTTGTATCTATCACAGAGGGACTGTACTACTGTGGTAATATGGGGGACATGGTGGTAGCCAAAAATGGGGAGGGAGGAAGCGGAGGCGGAGGAAGGAATCCCTATATCTGCAAAATTGCATCATGGAGAATAGCAATAGTTAAATTCAACAAAAAAATATTTTAAAAATCTTCGCTCTATTTTAACTCCAAGTAAGAATCATGAACCTCAATTTGGAATGAGTCACCCATAAATAGGTACAGATAAGAAATAACCCTGGCTTTGTTGTTGTTAAACTAAGATTTCAGGATTTCGATGAACAAACAATAGACTCAAATGCCCACTAGCAGCACCAGCTAAGGCAGCCAGGGTGGATTTCTTCGATTGCTCAAATGTACGTCACTCGGGCGATGTCCATGGACGCTCACCCCATGCTTGGGGCAGGAAGCGGACATGAAGCAGGCAGCGTTTCCCGCTGCGTCACGCCGGCCAGCCCGCCAGCTCACATTTTAGCATCGGGCCATTAATTTCCCAGCTCTGCTGCTCCCTGGGCTCCTCGGAGAAGTCCTCCCGACGCCAGGGAGCACTCACTCTGCCCCTTACTGCTCCCTCTGAGCACTTGTAACGTCTGAGCGTGTATGGCGCTGACAAACTGGCATGCGCTCAGATCTGCTTGCACGTGTTGGCAGATTTATAAACCTCCACCTGCTTTCAGGTTCACTCGAGACCACTTCTGCTTGGTCTCCACAGGAACCCAATCGTTTGCAAAGAATATGCAATACTGAAACTAATGCCGCACTTTGAAAGAACGTTAATTGTGGTGGCAAAATGCTCATGAAACGGATCGTGTAGCCATGCGAAGGTGTGCAAGCAACCTTCATAAATTCATGGGACTATGAAAAAAACTGGATTGCATAAATTGGGGGTGTAAAAATAAACTTCTCTTTTCATCCCATCTTCCCAGAAATGTGTTGGCAGTCCTCTCTGATGGCCCAGCAGTGAGAAGCACATCCGTGTTGTTGTGTAGTGGTTTCCACAAGGTTGCCAGCTGTGAAACTCTACAACACAGCGACTCCTCTCCCACAACTGCTGCCAAACGCTGGAAACTACTGCTCCACCATCCGGCCCACAAACTTCACTACTGGCTAGCTCACCTGCACGGACTCAAACAATATTTGTCTTTCCGTCAGTGGCTTATCTTACTTCGTATAATGACCTTAAGGCTCATCCATGTTATAGAATTTATCAGAATCTCATCTGACTCTAAGACAGAATAGCATTTCACTTATGTACATATGGCTATGTGAGAA